GGATGGTTTCAGAGAGCTTTTAAGGAAACTACTTGTTCGGTGTTGTAGAGGTTTTGTTGGACTTGCAGTAGCGCTAGCATTAGCACTATCAGTTGAGCTACTGACAATACTGCTGGGGCTTCTATTTCCTATAGTCGAATCACTAGACATTGCAAGATGGAAGTTTTTATCCACAAGATCATTTCCAGACACAATGCTATTGTTTCGAGTACTGGTGGCAAACGCACTTGGGGGGCTATTGTTTGAGAGATGAGTTTCAGTCTCAGTTTCAGAGAAGACAGTTGTGATATCTCGTGGGAAATCTGACAAAATATGAGGCCAGACATCTGAGCCTCTATTTTTTAATGAAGGTGACGAAAGTACACTGGAGTTACTTGTAGGAGAAGACATTGCAGTGTCTTCTGATGACCCGAGAGAAGGAGGGGATGAAGGGACAGACAAAAGTGTTGAATAAGAGGAGGATGAGGATGAGAGGGAGGAACTATCGAATCCATTTTTAGAATTGTAGTCGGATAAAAATGGAGAAAAAGATTGTTGTTGTTGTTGCTGTTGTTGAGGGTTTAATCCAATATCGAAAGGCAGTTGGCTATTATTAGATAATAATACTCCTTGTTGAGATGGGAAATTACTGTCAAAGCTTGTTGAAGGATAATTCATCAAACTTTTAGTGTTTTGAGTTGCACTGATACCAGCAGTACTTATACAATTATTATTATTATTATTATTATTATTATTATTATTATTATTATTATTATTATTATTATTATTATTATTATTATTATTATTATTATTATTATTGCCTTGAGGCCAAACACTATTATGGTTATTATTATTAATATTATTATTATTATCAGCGCTGTTTTCCAAAAAGGGATTTTTAACTTCTTTGGCGACATTAATAACCACATCAAATTGGCTGGCTTCCTCAAGGGTTGGCTCGGAGTAAAGATAGATATTGGGATGACAGACAACAATTGGACCAGAGGGGTAGCTTGAATAAGAAGGTTCCAAATCGCTGGGATCACCTAATGGGATGGTATTAACAATGACATATTTTTCTTCTGTGGCTGTTGTTGTAGAAGAGGGGAAAAATGTAGATGGCGAAGCGACCGTATCATGTTTGTAGTCTTGGTAGTGTGATATCGGATACGAAAGATATGGTTTCTTTTTAATTTGAGACTCCAATTTCCCTGAAGCCTCATCAGCTGTTTCAGTTCCGACAGTGGGATAAATGTGATTTGTTTTAATATGTAAAGGTGTTGTTAGGCTGGAAGACTGCTGTTGGGGGATCGATATAAAGAGAGGTTGTTGTGGTTGTTTTCGAGTGATTGAAGGAGGAGATGCAGAAGAAAGCAATGGAGATGATGTTTGTGAAGAGCTAAATGATAAGGGAGAAGAAGAAGATGATGATGATGAAGAAGAAGAAGAATAGAGTGAAGAAGAGTGGGATGAAGAGACAGATGATGATGAGGATGCAGATGAAACAATCCCATGCTTATTATTATTATGGTTTAAATGGCCTAATGGACTAGCATAGTACCCAGACACGCTAGCAGAGGGGTGTGCAGTTTCAGAGTCTGACTTGGGTAAAAAAGGGCTTGAAAAGTCATTACCACCACAACTGTGAGAGTTTAAAACAGGTTGTATTGATGGAGTAAATTGAAAAGGTTTTGAAGATTTGGGACGTTGTTGATGATGAGAGCTGTTATGAATAGGGAGAGGGGAAGAAGAAGTATGAAGATGAGAATGAGAATGAGGAGGGTTTGTAAAGGAAAAGGAAGGAGCCACAGCAGTTTTTGGGCTAGCCATTGCAACTACAGAGAGCTGAGAAAATGATGGCACATTGAGTGAGAGGTTTTTTGCATTTCGAGGACGTTTCATATTTTTTGTGTGAGGAGGAAGCTGGAGAAGCCTTGATGGTGGAGGTGGAGGTGGAGGTGGAGCGTCCATAGTGCGTGTTGTAGATTTTTTTTTTTTTTTGAGTTTTATTTAGGGCCAGGAAGAAGCTTTTTTGCAAAAATAAAAATAAAATTGGTAGTAGTAGTTGTAGTAGTTGTAGTAGTAGTAGTAGTAGTAAGTAAGTAAATGGTGGAAAAAACTGTATCTAAGAGGAATAATGAAAATTTAAGATAAAATAGAGAGAGAAAGAAAGAAAGAAAGATAGAGAAAAAAAGAGAGAAAGAAAGGGATTGGATATATTTATATATATTTATATTAGAGTAAGAATATTAAAAAAAAAAAAAAAAAAAATTCAGATTTAACGAGAAGGAGAAAATAATTTTGTTTTTTTTTTTATTATATATATATATATTGATATATATATATATAAAATCCCATACTGGGTTATTATTATTATTACTATTATTAAATATATATATATATATATTTATATTACGTAATTTAATTATGCACGACCAGCTATTTTAAGTAACTGCTTGTTTCATAAAAGCTCTTCCTGAGACTTGTAATTGTAACAAAAAAAAAAAAAAAAAAAAAAAAGAAAAAAAAAATTATTTAAAAACCAGCCCAGCCCAAACCCAGCCAAGTACAACTAAAAAATAAAAAATAAAAAAAAATTACCGAAAAGGCCAGCAAAGTTTTTTTTTTTTTTTTTTTTTTCTCAAACCTCCAATTTAAACACACACAAAAAACATTTTTAATAAATTATCATCACCAACATCACCTCCACCACTACAAATTCATTAAAAAAACATACACACACATACACAATAATTTCTTAACTTAGGGCATTTCAGTAAATAGTTTTGGAAATTCTCTCTTTTTTTTTTTTTAAATGGAAATTTTTTTTCTAATTTTTTTCTAATTTTTTTCTAATTTTTTTTATCATTTATATTTATACTTTTTTTTTCTTTAATTTTACTTTACTTTTTATTCAGGATGATGTCATGTAATTATATGTTCATAATTCACACATTCCATATGATGACGATTTTTTTTTTTTTTTTTTCATTTGTCACAAATGTAAGAAACATGTAGACCTAAAGTTATTAGACTTATATATATATATATATAAATATATATACTAAACTAATGTACTTTAGCTCATATATATCTTTTTCAAAATTGTTTCCTAATAATTACAATGAATTTCATTTTCTTTTCTTTTTCCTTCCCCTTTATTTTATTTTTTTTTATCCTTTTTGGAAATTCTTTCTTTTATTTCTTATTCGTCACAAAAATGATTTTATATATATATTTAACTCAGTATCAAACTTGTTACCGTCAAAATCTCTTCTAAGACATAAGTCCCAACCACTTAACCCTGCTGATCTTCTTAATATATATTTTATATATTATTTAAAAATTAAAAATTAAAAAATTAAAAGATTAAAAAATAAAAAAATAAAAAAATAAAAAAATAAAAAAATAAAAAAAAATTTAAGCATGATGTATTTTCCGGTTACTGTCATCTATCGGCTGCCCATCGTCTCTCTCTTTGTTTGTCTCATGTTCCACATCCTTTACTACCCTTTTCAACTTCCTTTTTTGCAACCACTCCAGCCTTTCCCGTCTTCTCCCCTTCTTCCTCTTCTTTTTCTTCTTCCTCATTGGTCTCTAGCTCTGTTTGACTTTCTTTTGGGGGTCGGGCGTCTTTAAGTACAATGTCTCGTAGTAGTAACACCTTTTTGTTTGTTTCATTCTCCAACACCCCTTCAATTATACTTCCATCGTCACCACAGGAAATCTTTTTGTCCTTAATCTCACTTACCTTCATGATCTCACTAACATGTGAATTGATTCTGTCACTGATGTGATCATTGTTGTAACCATTATTATTGTTTTCATTATTAATCATTTCAGAACTTTTGGCTTTGCTGCTTTGCCTATCAATACTGGGATTGGCATCTACTTCACCTCCATTGTTACTGCTATTTCTGCTACTATTGCCATTGTTATTGTCATTGTTATTGTTATTGTTATTGTTATTGTTATTGTTATTGCTGCTGTTGCTGCTGCCGCTGTTACCACTGCCACTACCATTACCACTATCATTGCTGCTACTACTACTACTGCTGCTGATAATTCTTCTAACCCTTCGTTTCCCCTTACCTTCTCTTCTTCTTTTAATCTCATGAACTGAATATAGACTCCCAACTGAATAGTTGTTAATCCCACCATTGTTGTTGTTGTTATTATTGTGGCTAATACTACTCCCTTCGCTTTCTGAAATGTGCTTGCTCAAACTAAGCTTCCGTTCATATTCCTTCAACTGTAGATAAGCTAAACGAGACTTGTATTCGTAAAGTCTACACTCAGCCTCTGACTTTTTATACTGATTAATCAAAATGGCATCTTCTTTCTTTCTTCGCCGTTTCCGTTGCTGAAGTTCCTCTTGCTCATCCTCAACCTCTTCTTGAGTCTGAGGTCGCTGCTGAAATGATTGTAGTACTTTGTTGTTGTTGTCGTTATCTCCGCTAGGTGATACCAAAAAACTTGCTTGCATGCTGCTACTCGTATTAACCAACCCCCCACTCAAACTATTAACATTTGAATGTGCAAGTAACTCTGCCTTGAGTCGTTCGGTTTCATACTCTAATCGAGTCACCTTGACCCGTAACCGGTCTCTTTCAATCCTCAAATACTCCATCTCAACTTTTTCACGAGACCCTCCCCCACTCCCTCCTATTTTCAAATCATGGCTTTTTAATGAAGGTAGCATAAAATATTCAGAGTTCTGAACAGTTTGTACATGTTTTTGATGCTGTATTTTCAATTGTGACTGTTGTTGTTGTAACATATGTGTAGAAGCATTGTTGATTGCTCTTTCTTTTTCTTTTTCTTCTTCAACCGTCAACTCTTTTTGCAAATTCTCAGATTCAGAAAATTTATTGTTGACCAAATCTTCACCAGTATCAGAAATATTATTACTACTGTGACTGATACTACTAATACTGCTATTGCTACTAATACTATTGCGTCTTTTCAGGAATCCATAGCTACGGTCATAGATATTACCATTATTGCCATCGCCATTATCAACCCTTGTTCCAAATGGACTAGAACTCCGCTTATAGCTAGTAGTTAAAACTGTAGAAGATTTATCACCCGCCCCAATTGTAGAATCGTTACTTAATTGCTTAGGCATGTGTTCTGAATCACCTGTTAAAGTTCTGAATTGCTTTTTTTCAGAAAACCTTTTAGTATCAACAGCTGTTTTGCCTTCCTGTAAAGTTTCAAGCTGTAAATTCCCACTGCTGGTACGTTCTTTGTTTTTATTCTTAGTGTTGAGACTCCAGTCAGAAAACTCTGCTGCTGACTCTGCATCAGTAGAATTACCCTTTTGAAGCTCATCTTCATGGTATTTGCTCCCATCTTCATTTTGTTGAAATTGCCCATCATGATGGTATCCCATTTTCAATCTTTCTGCTTCATTGGTAACAACATCTCTATTAGAAGAATCTAAGTCAAAATTAGATTCATCATTTTCCGGGTATCTTGAATGTTTCTTAAGCTGTGGTTCAAAATACTTTGTTAAAGATGGAACCCTACTGTTTGCATCTGCTGTATTATTATTATTATTATTAAGCGACAAACCAGTAGTTGAAATTACGGGTTCATAAGTGTGTTGTAGTGAATTCAAATTATTTAAAGACTCAGAAGGTTCTGTACTAAATAATCGAGAAGGAGAAGGAGAAGGGGCAGTTGAAGTTGGATTTGAATGACCAGTACCCTTTTCTATAAAAAACAATCATGTTAGCTTAAAGATTAACCAAATCAATGATAAACTCTTGAGCATAAATATATAAGCAAAAGTTTAAAGGTTTTGAAAAGAAAACCAGTTTTAAAGTTTTTTTTATTTTATTTTATTTAAAAAAAAAAAAAAAAAAACATAGCAAAATAGATGCATCATGAAAAGAATGATGATGATGACTCATGTCATTTCTTTTAGTTAAAGAAGAAAAAAATGACATCAAAATAAAAAAAAGGTGTAATATTTAAACTTACCTTCATATTTCAAAATCATCTCTTCAATAAGAAAAAAGTCTGGAAAATCATTTCGAATTTCGGCTATAATTTTAGTATTAGTATTAGAAAGTCTCTTAATCATAAAGTTGTTGTTTTTTTTTAAAAAAAATAAAAATAAAAAAAACATGATCTTCTATCCAATAACCCTATTTACCCTTTGTTAAAGGAATGTGTTTGCTAGGAATATGAAAGCGCTCATCATTTGAAACAAAAATCACTTTAAACTTACACTCATGTCTCTCGGTATCATCTGCCCAACGGCCCTTGATTTTTCTGTATTTGGCTTTAAGGTTGTTTATCTTGTGACGGATGTTTTCCGGTGTTATTAAAGGATTGTCGTTGTATAACGCACGTTTAATCCGGTGAGCATGAGAAACACTCGCTTTCCCCCATACTTGTGGTAAATAATCCCTGGTCCAACTCATTAATTCTCTGTTTTCTGTAGTCGTCCAAACATAGTTTGTAGGATTACGTTTCCCCTTGCGCTGGAATTGGTTTCGATCGATTTCTCCACCCAAGCTTGAAATATATGTTGCATATGGCTGTTGCGGCCCCAAATTTCCTTGCCTAGTATTTAAATCATCTGAAACCCTTGATGTTTGTAACTGAAATTGATATGGTTGTGCCGGCATAAGTGATTGACTTTGAGACTGTACTACTGACTGGGCTAGCTGTGCTGGCGGTGCTTGTTGTAGTGACTGCGCTGACTGTGCAAGCTGCTGCTTGAGAAAGCTCGGACCACCAATTGGAGGTAAAGATGTATTTTGATGTTGTTGTGATTGACTTTTGGATATACTAAATGGTGTTGGAAGTTGATAAAATGGCTGTTGGGCTTGGCGAGAAGAAGGTTGCTGGATATTAGGGTCATAACGATGTACAATATTATAAGAAATGTGTCCAGCAGGTTCAGTTTTAGAAACACCTGATGGCCCGTAAACAGAAGAAGGTGCATTTCCAGAAGGATAAGTCTGTACTGGACTTAATGGAGATGTTAAAGAAGATGGATATCTTTGATATGTAGAAGACGATGACCCATGTACCGAATGGTCCATCTGTCTATGTGTACTGCCTCCTGGTTGTGATTGCTCTGCTGGAGCAACAGACAATGACGATAAAACAGGCTTTGGAAAACTTTGAGATTTGATCAACGACGGGGACCTTGATAATAATGCTGGCGGAGGTAAATATGAATGTGATTGAGTATAATGGGGTCCTTTAGTAGGCTTTTGTAAATCTTGATTGGCCAATTCAGATGGATATGGTAAAGGAGCATGTGTTTTTGGAGATGGCTGGTGATTTGACAAGTACATAGAAGCTTGTGGATCTCTAGAATCATTGGAATTAAATGGTGATGAAGAATTAGGATGAGGATTAGGATGAGGATGGGGATGAGGATGAGGGTGAGGAAAAGAAGAGTGTACCGGTATTGAGTTAGAGTCATTATTGGAATTATAAAAAGTAGGTGCTCCAGAAGTAGTCATAGGCTCCTTTGAAACAGAATCCGCTAACGAAGAGCTTGGAGATTTGCTTTTTCTTATTAGAGGATACATGGCTCCTAAATTATGAATTTAGACCTTCATAGATTCATAGATAATAGCTAGAACCCCCTTTCAAACTCTTTGGAAAGAAAGATGACGTTTTTTAAGAAAAACAAAATTAGAAATACTTTCAAAATTATAAATTTTTGATTTTTAAAGGAAAAAAAAATTACCTTGACATAATATTTAAGTATGCATTTTGTTAGACAATTTGGTCAATTATTAACAAAGGAGTGTGGTTGGAAAAAGCAAAAAAAAATTATCAAATCCTGAGTTTTACGCTTTTTATAAAAAAAAAAAAAAGAGAATTTAAAACAAAACACCTACACCAGAATTTTTTTTTTTTTAAATAAAAACAAAAAATAATAGATACCATTTAAATTTCTTTTTCCCCACTGTGCCTATATAACGTTCTTTTACAGCATTTCCTGTATGTTGTCAAGATACGTCTTGATTCTCGCCTAGATTTTTTTATAGAAAACATTTCTCATTGCTTTTCAAATTTTATTTTGTTTTTTATTTTCACTTTGATTTTCAAATATAAACCCTTGTCTTTATTTTTTTTTTTTCATTTTTGCACATTTATTATTTTCAACGGATTAAAACTCCCGAAAAATAGTTTAGAGCTTACATTTCGTATCAATTAAAATAAAAATAATAATATTCTCTATTAAGAAAACAGACCATAATTTCATGGTTTTGGTACGTTAAAAATTGCCTTGCAAATTTTAGGATTTTTTTACATGACCAAAGCTTGTACCGTTCATGAAAATCCACCATAAAATGGCAGACTTCAACCATATCACCACATAAATCTCTCTCTCTCTCTTTCTTTTAACTCTTTTTTTACTCTCTACATTTCAATATATACTTTGTGACATATATTGTCAAATATACTTTGTTGGCAATTGAATTGAGGCATCAAATGGGACACTTTTGTACACATTTTCTTCATTAAACTTTAGAAATAAATCATGTTACATTATTCTATAGCTTTTAGATTGCTTTCAATTTGTTTTAAATTTTCAACTTTAAAGCTCTAAAGTATTTGGTATAGAAATCTAATAAATCAAAGACTGTTTATTGAAAGTAATTTTTTTTTCAAAAAAAAAAAGAACTTTCTTTGGAATGTTATGATAAGTCTGGATTTTTAAAGGGGTAGAAAAAAAAAAGCTCGTTGTCAATTTCTGCATAGAAGCTTTATTGTTTTACACAACAAAAGTAACTTCCGTCTCATTGAACATGGAAGTTACTTTTGTTGTCAAATAGAAAAAGATTATGAAAACAAATACACTATATTAGAAAGCTTAGAAAAGTTTTAATACTGTGCAGGATTGAGTTGGGATATTTGCAGTGAATTGAAAGACCAAATTGGTGGAATTGTTTAAATTGCTGAAACCAAGTCTGCTGAACATAAATACCTAGACTATTGTTTGCACTGTTTGCTATTTTTTTAGTTAAATCAACTATTGAAAAGGTTTATGTATTTCTTTCAATTGAAAAGTTTTAAATCCTTATAATTTTTCTTTTTTTGAGTCCAATCGTTTTAATATTTGGCATGTCATATGTATCATCCAAGTCTTCATCATCATCATCATCATCATCATCATCATCATCATCATCATCATCATCCGGTGCCTTAAAGGTACTTTTGAATGTAACAAACCTATTGATTTTGCTAATCAGCATAGTAAATTTCAAAGCATCATGTATCAACTTTTCTTCGCAATTTCTGTTTTTACTAATTCTACTTATTCTTTTAAGAATTTTTTTTTTCCTTTCATTCAATCAAAAACAAAATTCTTTTATTTAAATTTTTACATTGGTGAGTTTTTGGATTCCCTATGTTACTGCTACACAAGCTTTTACCCACCTAAAATTTTTAGAAATGATTTGTTTGCTAATAAAATAGATTTTTGAACTATATTTTTTCGTATTTTATGATGCTACATTAGGTTTGTGCCTTCAGCTTAGTTTAATATTAAATTTAAATTTAAATTTGACTTTGACTTTTTCGGTATGAATGCATTTTTTGGGAAATAGAAATTACAGAAAGTCGGACCTATTAAGTCATAAAATTAATCAATCTGATTAAATTGTGAGCGTCAGATCTTATAGGAAACTTTCAATCAACTGATGGTCTTCCTTTCCATTAATCACTATTCCAGAATTTCCTTGTCTGATAATAGGACTACTCTATATTATTTGAAATTTTTTTTATTATTTGTCATAAAGAATTCACTTTATAATAAAATAAAAAAAAAAATGCAAAATAATATTTAAAAGTTCTTGAATAAACTTTGTTATGTTTCGGTTGGTGTGGTAAAAACAAACATTTCTGTAGGAAAAGACTAAATATTTCATCAGGAATATATTATCAGCTTGGTACCTTTAAATAAGGAAGTTTTTCATATCTAATTAATTGACTCTAATGTAAACTGGATATTTCAAAATAAAGATCGCTCGTGCCTTTGCATATTTTTGAGCTTTGACCTTTGACCGTTGGCCAAGCAGCATCATAATGAATAAAATCTTTGATTAGGAAATTATTTTAATGTTTTAGATAACTAGGTAACTTACAAATTTGTTGAATTATAAGTATGAATGTGGCTGTTCTTGTTATCTGGTTTATTTTGTCGTATGATTGTTTGCAACAAGCATATGATTACCTTTGTTCATAAAGTCATGTGTAATGTTTGTTCTTTAAAATGAGATTTGATGTGACTAAATTGGGATTCGAATAACAGATCCGGCTATCATGATGAAAGCTCATATAAGGCAATCTCAACTCTTATTGGTAAGTAAAGGATTATTTTCATTAATTGAAATTTTCTTTAGCCAAATAAGAAAAACATTTTCATTAAAAAGTCGTTTGTCTTTAATTCCTTTTCTCTATTCCATATTTCTTCTTAAAGAAACATGCTATTTTTATTGTATTGTTATATGGTATATTGGTGATCCCTTTTTAAAACGAAATTAAAATAAAATAAAAAAATGTTTAGTAAGTTATAAAAAAAAAACATGAGCAAAAAAAAAAAAAATTTAATATTTTGATGCAATATAATCAATACATGGTTTTTTGACTGTTTCTTTTGCTTGTTTGTTTATTTGTTTTAATAACACTTCTCTTTTTATTTATCGTATATAAACAAAAATTTTAATCGTTTAAGTAAAGTAACTAAATATACTTATTTTAGGCACAATTCTCAATTTTGAAAATGTACATACCTTATTTGAGAATTAGCTTGGAGAAATAAAACAATAAAATCATAGTGGTTTTGTTTTGAAATACAACTGTTCATTGTTTTTTTTTGATGAAAAAATTGGGCGGCTATTAAATAATATTAGATTGTTGCCATGCTAATTGATAAAGCAAAAAAGGCATTTTAAAAGGATCCTGTAAACAAATAAATTTAACTTTTTTCCGGCAGAAAACAAGCGAGTTTTTTTTTCAATAATCACTGAAAAAACTGGCTAAAGGTAAATCAATGGATATGTGTATATATACTAAATAAATATAAGCTTAATAAATGCTATATTTGCATAGTGGCATACTTTTAAGTAAAGATTAATAACTCTTAAAATAAATCTCATATTTTTTTTATAATTAGAAAAAGATAGAAATTAGTCAATTGGCATATCGAAGGTTTGAAAAGCTAACTACAAAATTAGAAATTTTGCTTAGTCTTAAATTGAATGCAAACAATTAATCTTTAAAATTTTTTCCCCATTCTCAAAAAAAGAAATGGAATGAAAGAAGGAAATTCATTTGATCATTCATGTCTAAAAAACCAAATGCATGTTACACTAAAATATTATGTTTTGAAAGTTTCTTTGAGTCCTGATGCTCTGAGCACTAAAAAATTCAATTTTTTTTATTCAAAACTAAATTTAAAAATCAAATGAGTTTATGAATAAATCACTAATGTAAGTAAAAATAGATTTTTCAAAATTTTTATTTCTATTTTACAAAGAAAAAGCAAAGTTAACTAATATCTAATTATAATTGTAAATTGATCTAAGTTCATGTTTAAAACAAAAGAAAGAAAAATGATAGGTATAAGTGCTCAGCACTAAATTTACTAAACATTGGTGATTTAAAAGGATTATTTTATATTCACTTTGATCAAACCCAATTGGCCTTGATTTAGAAGAAAATATTTTTTCTCTTAATATTCAAGCAAAAGCATTGATTAAAATTGGATTGAACAGGTTGGATTTAAGATGATTTTTTTTTAGCATCTTAGCGTGATATCATTAAATTAACACGTGTAATCTTATCTTATCGAATGATCTCAAAGTGTTTAGTTTATGCACTATTAAAAAGTCAACCTTGGATACCCGAGGACACTTAGTATATTAAATACTAAAATAAAGGAAAATAACGTATTTTTGTTTTCACTATAAAAATTACGATATTTATTTTATGCATACTTTATGATAATAGACAAAAATGGTTAAATCAAAGAAATTATTTTTATGTATATATGTTATTGTTATTTTTTTTTTCTCATTCAGTTCTTGAGAGATAAAATTAAATTTTCACAATCTTTAATAGTTAGTGTAGTCTCTCATTCTGTGATATAAAATCAATTTTAACCTCGAATTTAAACAGGATCTTTATTTTATCGTGTTTAGATAGATAAGAACTTTTTTTTAAACCTAAATATTTTTTTGGGAATATTTTTTCCGATAAAGAACTTTTTTTTAAAAAAAAGTTGATGGCAACGATGATCTAAAGGGAAAATATTAATGATTTAGAAAAAAAAAAAAAAAATTAAAAAAAGGCTACTTTTAACGAGGTTTAAAGATGATGGAAGTTCAGTGATTCTATGCAGAGATCACCCCCCATTGCGAAACTGCTTTCGTTTTTTCATTTACGTTTAAAACACAAATCATTCACTAAAGAAAAATTAAAAATTAAAAATTAAAAATTAAAAATTAAAAATTAAAAAAATCCCCCAAACAAAGATATTGAAACTGCTAGTGGAGAACAACAATTTTTAATTTACTGTTTCTTTGGCATGTTAAGCTAAGACATGTTAATACAGGAAGGTCACAGCACTTTCAAAAGAAATGTTAATTTTTAAGAGTGATGAAAAAAAAAAAATTTGGATTCCTACTGATGTGAACTATTTTTTTTTTTTCATTTTGGAAAACATTAAAATGAGAGAAACACCACACGCACAAAAAAAAAACTCAAAACTCAAAACTCAAAACTCAAAAAAAAAAAGAAAAAAAATCGGAATGGCAAGAATAGAAAGAGAATTTTTTTTTTTTAAGTGCAGTTTAAAATACCAACAATGATTCATTATTTTGTTTGAGAATACATAATTTATTTCACTGAATGTCATAAAAAATATTCGTTAACCGAAAGTTTAGTGGTGCCGCGTGTGCAAAGATTTCATTAAAGTCGTAAACAGAGTTTTTTTTTTTTTCTTTTTTTTTTGGTTTCTTCATTTTTGCTTTTTTATTCAGAATCAGATTCATAATCCACTGGTGCAAGACCAGGAGTCAAGCCAGGCCATGAGCGCTCCTTTGAACCACTACTACTGCTAAATGTTTTCTTTTCAAAATAATCAGCCTTAGAAGACTCATATAGATCAGAAGATCCCTTTTGTGGTCTCTTGTTTTTAGAGTTTCTCATTTGAATGATCTGGATATCGTTAGCATAATGGAAAAGGGGGGAGGGTTATGATGTGTCTAGAGTACATACGTGATCCTTAATTTCGTCAATCTCATTTTCCGCGTCCCATGACACCAAAGTCTTAATATTTTCTTTTCGTGCTTTTTCCTTCTTTTCTTTAAGCTTTTGGGGATTAAGAGCGTCCTTCACAACTGCTTGACGGTCTCGCAACAGCTTTCTTGATTTCCTGTTTGCCGTGGACTTTTTGGCCCGCTTTTGTATTATTTTTGTTCGTTCATCTGGCAAATATGATGCTAGCAATCTTCCAAGAGTAGCCTCGGAGCGTTTAGAAGTGATTTCTGAACTCATAGGTAATTATATTATGTTTGGTATTAGAGACCTAGTATATGGGTATCAGCAGATGTTGGTGATATAGTTTGACTATTTTGAATCACGAATATTTTCCTAAAAAAAAAAAAAAAAAAATTTAATGGTCACGTGAATACTTTAATTTAACAAATTATTACAACCCTAACCCGTATATTTGTTACATAATCACGTTTTTTTAGTGGACCAATTAAAGCACAGCCAAAAATTGATTTTCTTCATTTGCAAGACGAATTACAAAACCCACGAACCTGTGTAGGCCAATTTTTTTTTTTCTTCAGTGGAATATAACAGGTACAACTATTTTTTTTTTTTTTTTCCAATAGCCCTCTGCGCCCAAACCTCTCCTCAAAGCATCACCATCCTCAAATTCTCCCCTTCCCCTATCCCTCTCCCTGTTTATAGACGCTTCGGCACCCTCATCTTCCATCCTCTCATTGCCAGCTTTGTTGTCAAGTAATTGTAAGTGACATTGCTTGTTGATTGTCATCGTGCCGAATAGTAGGAGCTTTTAATTTTATCAAGTGGGATTGGTTGAATACTGTTGATTGACACCTTATTCACCACTTGTATAATACTTGAGCCCTATATATATTTGATGATTCCTATAATTAAAACATTCTAACATCTTACTCATTTTTAGATCTTTTGACTTTACTTTGTTGACATTTAACCATTTCAGCTCAAACCGTTGCATGAAAGAATAATACGCAGCCAAAAAAAAAAAAAAAAAAACAGCCAACCACATTTAATTCTTTTCCCTTTACACATCACCAACACACATACATAATGCTTGCCAGACAAACGTTACGACAAGGCATGATGGCCTCCCGCGGTGCCGCTTTCCTCAGACAGCCTACTATCAACGCAATCAAGTTCTACTCCACTCCTTCTACCACCACCACCACCACCACCACAACCTCATCTACTCCTACTTTCCCCGTTGGTACTGAGGAGGGTATCCCCCCACTTGGTTACCGTATCCACCGCCCTCCTACTTGGGAGGAATCGCACGAGTCTGCTCTTGACAAGGCCACTAAGTTCTTCCTGTTGGCTGAGATGTTCCGCGGCATGTACGTTGTCCTTGAGCAGTTTTTCCGTGCTCCTTACACCATCTACTACCCCTTTGAGAAGGGCCCTATTTCCGCTCGTTTCCGTGGTGAGCACGCTCTCCGCAGATACCCCTCCGGTGAAGAGCGATGTATCGCTTGCAAGCTGTGTGAAGCCATTTGCCCCGCCATGGCCATCACCATTGAAGCTGAGGAGCGTGCTGACGGTTCCCGCCGTACCACAAAGTATGACATTGATATGACAAAGTGCATTTACTGCGGTTACTGCCAGGAATCTTGCCCTGTTGATGCCATTGTTGAGACTCCCAACGTTGAGTACTCGACAGAAACTAGAGAGGAGCTTCTTTACAATAAGGAAAAGTTGCTGGCCAATGGTGATAAGTGGGAACAGGAGATCCAGTATGGTCTTGATGCTGACTCTCATTACCGATAAATATTTGAATTTGCGCATCGTGTCATACTTTTTTAATTTTTTTTTTGTTTTAACGTCTAACTTTGATCATGCTTTAATACTTGGTGACTTTATCAACAAGAAAAATTATTAACAACCTATCATTAATATATATATGTAGAAAAAAAAGGGAAAAAAAATAAGAAAATTGTTTAATTATACATTTACTACTTGAACTTTAGAAATCCTTGATAATTTGCTCAAATTAATCCTGTGAAATCTAAAAGCCTCAATTATGCTTTTTTTATCTGCTTTTTATAATTTTGATTTTTTTTTACAGAAGTTAATAGCAGTTTTTTTTTTTACAAGACTTCCTAGATCAATGAGTTCTTCAAAAAAAAAAAAATAAATAAAAATAAAAACTAAAACCGTAATAAAAATACATTAACTTTTTTATGGACAACAAAAAACAATCAGAAATGCAAATATTCTATTGATACACATCCCCCAGGGTTAGGAAAGAATAGCTTACTGGGATGCGCACTGAACGCCTTGTGGGCCTTCACCATCAGCGTCCATATCTTCATAGTCATCTTCAGAGTTAGCCTTGCGGTACTTGGTCTGGTCAACATCTGACAGAACAACCTCCTCAATCTCAACACCGGCAGGGATGTCAAGGGTTGGTCGTGGAGGAAGAATCTTCTCAAGAAGAGTGAGTTGTTCTGGAGTGGCAAAGCCAGGAGCAGGGAACTCGACATCAAAGCTAATGTAGAGGTTGCCAAAGTTGTGATGGCGGTAAGAAGGCATACCCTTGCCCTCAATGACCTTGACCATTCCAGGGGAAATAATCTCGCCAGGAATGATGTCAACTCTAAGATATTCATCATCGAGGTGCTTGATAGAAAAGGGGCCACCAGCAAGAGCAGTTAAAAGATCAAGTTTAATCTTTGTGTAAAGATCATCACCTTTTCGTTCAAAAGTGTCATTAGGAACCTGGTCAATGACGAAGACGACATCACCAGGGATGATATCTGGGCCCTCGTCACCCATACCAGCAAAAGTAATTCGCTGGCCGTGAACCATGCCCTTATCAATGTGAACCTCGAGATCCTTCTTCTGGTCGACAGTGCGCTTGCCCTTGCATTCCTTGCAGCGGTCCTTGGGGTCAATAATCTGGCCCTGGCCCTGACAGTCACTGCACATAGTCTGGAATCTCTGGACCATAGGGCCCATTTGGCGAGTGACAAAGCGAACACCATTACCGTTACAGGCGGAACATGTCTTGACAGCGCCTTCCTTGCCACCCTTACCCTTACATGTGGGGCAGTTGACTGTTCGAGTAAGTCTGAGTTTGGAGACCTTGCCCTTGTAAAGATCAGTGAGAGTAGCCTTGATAGGGTGAACAATGTCTCTAGATTTCTGAGGGCCGGAGCGGCCGTGGCCATGATCGCCACCAAACATGCCATTCATGCCACCAAAGAAGTGGGCAAAAATGTCATCGGCACCACCCATGCCACCTGGTCCACCGTTGAGACCGGCCTCACCATACTTGTCGTAAAGCTCACGCTTGCTTGGATCAGAAAGGATTTCGTAGGCACCAGAGATTTCCTTAAACTTCTCTGCAGCTTCAGGGTTGTGTTGGTTCTTGTCAGGATGGTATTTCAGAGCATTTACTCTGTAAGCCTTCTTAAGCTGAGCTTCGCTGGCATTGGGTTGAACACCCAAGAGCTCGTAAAGTTTTGTTTCCTTAACCATTGTTGTTTGATATTATATCGTAAGATGTGATGAAGTGGCAAAAGAATAAAAAGGAGGTAAAAGTGATGTTTAGCAGCTAAAAAAAAAAAAAAAAAAAAAAGTTATGAAGAGAGATAAAGGGGTGATAAATTTATTATTTATAGAGAATAATATAAATTTTATCTAAAAAGTTGATAAACAAGATGTAAATGGTATGATGGTAAAGGATTATTTTTTTTTCAAGTTGATAAAAAAAAAATTTTTTTTTTTTTATATTATTACTATTTGGGTTTTATTTTATATGAAAAAAAAAAAAAAAAGGAGAGCAGCCAGAAATTTTTATTTTATATTATTATGCCAGGTTTCACACCTGCTTTCAATAGAACATGCTGGAAGTTGGTGGAATTCCAAAGAATTCTGTCGATCTCCTTTCCTCATCCAAAAAAAAAAAAAAAAAAAAATTGCTAATCTTAATATTAGTCATTATATGTAATGTTTATGTAATGTTTGATTGTTGTAGGTTCCGTTGGGTGTTGCAAACTCATTTCTATGGGCAATTTTTTTTTGTGATCTCCATGGAACGCGTAGATAATTTATTTTAACTAAATTTTTTTTTTTATAAAGTCAAAAGTATTTTCATATATCAAAAAAAAAATCAAATAATTAAATTAGTAAAATGGCTCTGTCTATATAATTTGTAATAAACTTAATTTCATTTTTTATAAAAGTTACTTCTTCTTTTTTTTTTTTTTTTTTCTTTTCCTTTTAAAGCTTCTCATCAATTTTCATTTTTCCGGGAAATCTCAAAACATCGGCAAGTTTTTTTTTTTTTTTTTTTTCACCAACGGAAGGGCCCCTGAATAAGCTGCGTACTTTTAGGCCCTGCTGTAATCTCGACATGGCTAGTTAGTTTCTCCATATGGGATCTGTTACATGTCAACATTTGTAACAATCTTCTATTGGGCCAGTCTGTAACTTTTTTTTTTTTATTTTTTTTTTTCTTTACTACTAAGGGCTTCTTCCTAGTTCGCTCTCTCACAAAACCTCGCTTTTTTTTTCAAAAAGACCAAATATTAACATCACCACCATCACATCTCTCCTGCAAAGTCCGATTACCTTATTTACTACCCTTTTTTTTTTTCTTTCAATCATTTCAACTCGCTCATCCAATATCTGCTTTCCTTGCAGCCAGCATCACATTTATGCATGGATAGCTAGCTATTCCACTGAATTGTCCCTATAATGGTAAGTTATTCAAAATTCAGCTCTTGAATCTCTAATAATCGGTCTTCAATGTGTTTTCCAAAAAAAAAAAAAAAAAAAAACTTGATAAACCCTATAATATTAAGCATTTACCGAGTTTTGACATTCTTTTTTGCCTCTTATATATATACTCTCTAACCTTGTTTTTTTTTTTTTTTTTTTTCTAACATTTTATTTTCATAGCGACAAATAAAAGGAATTGTTGAACGAGTGGTTTCCTCTCCTCGGCTATTCATCATTCTGCCAGCCTCCATTGCTTTTATTCTATCATATCCATTCATATACACATTGCTTACAGTCTCTTTACCAATAAAAAATCTTGAAACACCAATCCAAACTTCACCTAGACTTTTGTCAGAAGACCAATCATTACACATATCCTCCGACAATGTTACCCCGATACTTAGTGTCAAACAGCTTTACATTTCTCCACCTAGTTTTTCAAACGTATTATCCCAACAGGTCCTAGACTCAATAGCACCATTAATTTCAGACCTTGCCTTGCCAACAGTCAACTCTGGTAGCTACAGCCAGCAATCTTCACCACATCAAAAAGATTCTACTACTGAGAATAATGACGATAAACTAGAAGATAGAAATGAGCATAGAAAGGGACACGCTGATGAACATGGAGAAGAAGATTCAGATCTCCTTCACCCAGATTTTGCCCTAATCCCTAAAATCAAGACATTACCATATCTGCACTATTATTCCTCATCCACTCATAACGACCACTTTTCCCTCCTTTCTTTAAAATTTTCATCACCCTCATTAAACTCGGTCTTATATCTCCCAAGGCCCCCCCATTACAATGAGCTTAAGGCTTCGGGAATTCTTATTTCATATTTCTACAACAACTCTGCAGATGAGCAGAAATGGAACTCAGCAATTGAAAGCTTTTTGGGACCTCAAGAGTCCTTGACAACAAAGTTGGATGGATATCCTTCTTTTATACTCCCCACATCTAAGCCAATTAAAAAATCTGGATTTGCTAGTTATGTCCGGTCTCTTCCATTTGCTTACTTCCCCTATTGCCCTTTCCCGTTGATAAACCTAATTCTTTCTACCATCTTTTTGGCCTTCTACATCAACATATCATGGGATGTATCTTCAGTACGCTCAAAGTCTGGCCTTTTTGTTGCCTTTTTCGCTCAGAGTATTTTGACCTTGTCATCTTCCGTTTCAATTATATCATACTTTATTCCTTCATTCTCACATGACAGTTTACGGCATTTTTTGCTTGTTCCCTTTTTCGTCATCATTTTGAACGTTGAGAATATTTCTCGACTTCTTAACGCGGTTGCACACACCCCAAGCGAGCAACAACCGTCGCAGAGAATAATATCTGGAATGTCTGACTCTTTTGATAAGTCTTTAAAAGCAGTTGTTTTTGGAGAGATTATTCTCTTAATTTCTTGTCTACCAGGGTTGTCATATAGCCCCCAGATAAGACATATTTGCTTGTTTGCAATGCTTGCAATATTTATTGACTTAATATTGCACGTTACATATTTTACTTCGGTGCTTTCAATCGACCTGCGCCGATTTGAGCTAGAGGATCTTTTAACTGAAAGTTTAACATCCAACCACCAACCTTCAAAATACTATCTTAAGTTTATCAATGCCGATGAGCATTTCCCAGAAAAAATACGCCCATATTATCTTTATCTTCGGCATCTTTATTTCCATCCCAAATTGTCACTTTCAAACTCCATACTATTCCTTTCAATTTTTTTCCTAGCATTATGGGGGGTTTTGACAGACCCAGCAAATGAAAAGTTTTACTCCTCTGGGAGGATCCCATTTTTCTTTACACACCTTACTGCATCTTCACCAATATTTTCACAGTATCCATTTGTTAAGATCTTTGAGCCAGTAGTTCTGCAAGGAACTCGGCACCCACTCTTTTCCTCTACGTCAAAAATTGACTATTTTTTGGGGCCATCAATTTCTGGCTCCTATTCTAAATTTATTCGCATTATTTCCATAAACATAATTCTGGAACTCGTGGCATCAATAGCATTTATTCTCTCACTTACAGGGGTAATTCTTAAATATGTGCTTCCCCCTCAATCCGAACGCTCAGAGTCGACAGAACCCAATGAAGTCACTCAGTTCTTCTCCAAGGACCTGATTGGGTTTCATACGCTTGATGTCTTGCGTATTGCTACGGAAGGCTCTGCAATTGGCACAGTTTCTTTGGACCACAAGGTGTGCGTTTGGAACCCTGCTTCAGCCACAGGGAATCGTTTGGTTAAGCCCATTCCAATCCCCCTGGCCACTGAGTTTTGGCCAGTCACTAGGATGGTTATTAATTCTCAACTGTCTATGGTGGCTATATTTTCTTCGCGTGTATCGGGAATTTGGTGTTGGGATTATAAGAGCAATGTGCACTTGTACCATATCCAAGACGATGCGCTTTTTAGTACAGCGCCAGTGGAAACCTTTTTTTCAGGTCCTGACCTGATTGTGGTGACTAATACATGCAGCGTTGTATCTATCTCTGAAGTGGGGCAAATCACACAGTTCCCCATTGAATTCCCATCAAAGACTTCACAAGTGATTCACGCGCGACGTCTTTTGACACCAAGAATCCCTGAGCGTATTATATCCATGTCATCTGAAAATGAAATCAGTATTGGAACGCACATTGGGCGTGCTTGGAGATTCCGCCGACTTATGATTCAAGAGTCGCCGATGCAATTTACTCTCCACACTCTCCAATCTCAAGGCGGCGTGCATGTGCACGACTTGTCCAAATATAAACCACAGCCTATTCCTGCACCGCAGGCCATGATGGCCCGGAATCCAATGCGTGCTGGCCGAATATCAGCTGTTAACCGCATACCGAATATTCCGCCAATACGCCGGTCCAAGATATTGGACGAGAAGGTTGTATCTTTGGTGCCTGTGCCAGCAATCAATATGGTATTGATTGCAACAGCAGTCCATGTATGCTTGTTTGATGCGCAAACGGGTATCATTGTGAAGCATTTTGAAATTGGGCACTTGAAGCCAAGTTCACTGCGAGCCTTCCATTCGCAACCTACACATTGCCGATTCTGTGGATGTGTGTCAGTTGATACTTTTTCGATTGCATACTCTGATGCAGAGCACGAGGGTTTGACGATTTGTCACACTTTGACGATTGACAATCGTGCAAAGAATAGCATATGTATTCGTGTTGAAAGAGATCCCCGTGAAACGCGATGCTTGGGGTTTGAAGCGACAACAGAGCGCCAGCACTGGATTGATAGAGTTGAAGGCTGGGATGCGACTGACATGAATATGATTATGGGAGTTCGTCGGAAAGAGCCCCCATTCCAAGAAGATGATGGGGTGTTGAAGGAGGAGGTGACCAATCCAATCATCTCACTTTTTACCAGAAATTCCGAAGGACTTAGACGACGCCGTGCAGCGAGAGTTGACGGCAGTAGCATTGGAGCCAGTGGCACCAGCGGTAATACCAATGGAGGAGACATGTTTTCTGGGCATGCTCGAAGCGCTAGTAGTAGCAGCAATAATACCAATAGCTATAATGACAGCAAGGGTGCCGGGTATGGGCATTATGGTAACAAGCAATCTAGCGGTGGGGCATTGACAAAGCATCTCGAGCCTTCACTATGGGACCTTATTTTGGACATTTTGATTCCTGTGCCAGTGCTTGATTCACAAACAGAACGGTGGAACAGGACTCGAGGGCTTGGGTCTGGGCCAGTGTACTCGAAGCCGACGTTGGGGATGACGTGGGAAGGATGGGCTATGTCTGCGACAGGTCAGGTGACATACTACGACATTCCTGATCTTGATAGCGGAGGACGCAAGATCATTGGAGGTGATGACGGTAACGGGAAGAAGAATGGGAATGGAGTTGGGGGAGGGCTTTTGCTGAATGGTGGTGGGAATAGTGGGAATGGGCATGGAGACAAGGGCAAGAAGAATATGAAGGGGATGATGTTGAATAGTGGTCTGTTCAACACTGGGAAGGGCGGGGCAGTGAGCAACACGATTGGGACGGAGCTGGATAGCGTTTCGTTTGACCGGTTGCTGATTAGCTCAATTGGTCCTGTGACCAAGTACGGAGCCAAATCGATTGCCGTGACGTTTGGCAATGTGATTAAGGTTTTATATTTTGGGAATGAGGAGTCGTTGCTGCCGTCAGTGCCGCAGCCCATGACTGCTGCTGGAGCGTTACAGTCGAAGCAACAGAGGACACGGATGGCTGCAGTAGCTGCAGCTGCAGCAGCTGGTAATGCGCCAGCGGCTGGGTCTAGTTCAGGGGCTGGTGGCAATGGTCCATCGTCACCGATGATGTCTCGGTTTAGTAAGACGAGTGGAGGGCCTGGGGGAATGGCGTCGCCGACTTTTGGGCCAGTGTCTCCGATGATGTCAGGATCGCGTAAATGGAGACGGGAGGTTGGCTATTAAGCTTTGAATTTAAAACGAAAAAAAAAAATAAATAAATAAATAAAGATAAATTTTGATTAATTATTGATAATAAAAAAAAAAAGATACAAATATATATATGATATAAACTTAAATTTGTATGATTTTTTTCAAAAAAAAAAAAAAAAAGGGCTTGATGGAAATAATTGATTCAGTTTTGGAGGGGAGGGGTCAAAAGCCGTTGATTGTTTGAGGGAGCGGCTGGCACAGCTGGTCTATTGCAACAGGTAAAAACATTAGTGGGAAGGTTTTTGTTTACAAGTTGTAGAAAGAAGATGAAAAAGCCCATAATTATTAGTATTATTATTATTATTATTATTATTATTATTATTATTATTATTATTATTATTATTATTATTATTATTATTATTATTATTATTATTATTATTATTATTATTATTATTATTATTATTATTATTATTATTATTATTATTATTATTATTATTATTATTATTATTATTATTATTATTATTATTATATTAGTACCTTTTTATTTCATTTCATTTATTTATTTTTTTTTTGTATTTATCTAAGAAAATCTATCTGTTTCTTTTTTTTAAAATCTACGGAGATCCTATTAGTATCTTTTTTTTTTTCCTCTTCTTTTTCATTTGTTACATGAATCTCAAACATTTCTCTCTAAATTTGTTCTTGTTCTTGTTTATTTATTTATTTGTTTGTTTGTTTGTATTCAGCTCCATGCAATTAAGCTTAACTTTAACGTTAAAAACTCCCCCCTCCCATGCAACGGTGCAGATGACGGTACGGATTTGATTTAAATTCCCACTCTAAGAAATTTGAATGAATGGTTTGAAGTTTTTCCATTTTGAAGATATTTTTTTTTTTTTGAAGGTAATATCAGCTTGTAAAATGAATAAAAAGCTGGTCGTTTACTTCTACAAAAAAAAAAAAAAATACTGCGGTTTCACGGAATGTTCAATTAGATCCGTAAGAAAATATTAAAAAAAATAGAAAAAAAAAAAAAAAAAAAAAGTTGCAGTTTTGATTTTTTTATGTTTTGATACTAAAATATAGTATTTATATTTACTAATACTAACAAAAGAAATGGCTTTAACTGCGCCACCATTATCATTATCATTATCATCATCATCACTGTGAAAGGAAGGGGGAAGAGGAGGAGAAGTAAATTGAAGTTCTTTCATTTCCATGAGATTCCAATCTTCACTATTCAACCCTTTAATAAAAACAAACAAACAAACAAACAATTCACTATTCAAAAGAAACTAAATCTCCCCTCTTCAGAATCACCAAAAAAAATCGTTTAAATGGATGAACTAGTAAAACTGGTGTACTGGTTAGTTTTTTTGTTTTTTTGTTCTTGTTCTTGTTAGTGCAACAAGTTTTTGGGTGCAAATGAAACTTTGGTGCGTTTGTGTTCACAATAACTCACGTGCGCTCACACATATAAAATAAAATGGCGCTATCATAACCTCCTCCCTGCCTTTGTGATATCATGAATACGCGTTCTTTCCTGATTATATAAAACAAAAGTTTTCTGCTGCTGGTATTTCTTTCTTTTAAAAGTTTTTCTTTTTTTATATTTTATTTTGGGTTTTCTAAACCATCTTTCATTTTAAATAATATATATATCACGGCTTTTAACAATAAAAAAACCAATTTTTTTTTATCTGGTTATTATTTTATTATATTATATTATTTATTATTACTTAAAATAAACTCTTAAAAATAATCTTCGACATTTTTTATTTTTTTTTTTTTCCGACTTTTTTATTCATCACTTTAAATAAAATTCTGATAACGAAAAAAAAAAAAAAAAAATTTTTAATCTAAAAAATAATCTACAATTCACAGAACCAAGTCAGTTTTCTTTCATCTGTGGCATTCTTAATCATCATCCGTTCCTTCTTGATACATACACACATACTTTAAAAAGAAAAAGATATCATCCATCATCATAATGACCTCCCCACAACCTTCACGATTCCAAGCTTCCAAAGAAACGGCTTACGAGTATCTCAACAAAAAGGCCTTTAACTGGGGGTACGTCCCCCACTCAGACGTGGCCGCACAAACCCGTTGCTTCACATATCTTGAAGAATCAATTGCAAAGCTAGAAGCTCAGATACTAAATCAATCTCCTGAAGATTCATCATCAATTAATAATAAACCCGTGGATCTGAAAATCGACCCTAACCAAGACCAAGATATTTTGAAAACTTTGAAGGTCACCCTGCTTAGTACATACAACCTCGTCAAACCAAACTACGGCTCCTATAGCATGCGCAATGCCAAAATGTTTTGGTCATATTGGGATAGAATTAAACAATCCGTGGCTAAGGTCCATGAGGGCTCTGGAGCTACTGAAGAACAAATAACAAAGATTCTCGATGAGCTTGAGGTCGGAAGATACATATCAGTAGACTTCAGTGAGGAAAATAAAAAGTAATGGTAACGTTTGGAGAAATTATTCCAAGAAAAAAAAAATTTTTTTATATTTTTAAATTTAAATTTATTTATATATATACAACTTTGCAAACAGAAAAAGATAAGGAAAAAACATTTTTTTTTTAAAAATACAAAGTAAACAATCAAACGCCATCATTACAAAAAAACACACTTTTTTAATCATCATTATTCGTTTTCTTTTTTTTTTTTTTTAATCTTTTTTTTAATTTTTTTTTAATCATTATTCGTAAAAGGGAAAGGTGGGTTGGTGGTGGTGGTAGTAGTAGTATATTCCAAAATTGATTCGTTTTTAATTCCCAAATCTTAATATCCTAGAACTTTTTTTGTCGTCATTAATAGTTGAATAAGAGTCGTCAAAGATTTAAAAAAAAAAAAATTTTTAATAAACACTGGCATAGTGACGGCCATTTTCTAATTCATCAGTAACAGTTTCCACAGTATCGTCATCCTCGCCATCATCTTCAACAAGCTCAATGGCTGGATACTTGACCAAGTCCCACTTGTTCCAAAACGCACAAGACGAATCAATATCGTCCCGATCAACAAGATCCTGGAGATAGTACTTGGCCTTCATCAGACGCTGTTTGAGGTGCAAAAGACGAACACTGCCAGGTTGCTCCGAAGGAGCCAATGATTTGTCGCTCACAGCTGATAAAGTTGCTGAATCATTTTGAGTGGATGATTCAACAGAATCATCACACTCATCATTGTGATTGTATTCATCATAAACAATCTTACTAGTGTTGCAACTGTACATCTGGCGTGCAGGCGAGGTATTGTACCGGCTGCCAGAATCGTGGTAAGGTGTACGGGGTCCGTACGATTCATTGGTAGAGGAATAGTTGCCGTCTTCCTCACACAAGCTCGCCGGCGAGGTGGGCAACTCGTGGTCACTGTAGACAGACGTGTTGCGCTTGTGCTTCCAAGTCTTGCTTCGCTTCTCATCTTCATCCACAGCATACATTTCGTCTTCAGCACATGAAGTGTAAGTACAGTATTGTGCCCAGACCTCATCAATGGCCGAAACCAAGTAGTCAAAGCATCTAGCACGAGCTACCAAGTCGCATCGGGGGACAGCAGGAGCACGTCTCTTGCGAGAGGACCCCATACCGCCAAGAGAAGACGGGGTAGGAAGAGATGCTGGTACAACAGGAGCAGCAGCAGCAGTAGCCGCAGTATTGGCAGGCAGAAAAGTGGTGGAGGTGATATGGTTGTTTGAGTTTGCATAAATATTGGTGGCATCGTTAAAGGGTAAGAAGCCACCAGTTTGAGTGTCTGGGTTCATCATTGTGCAGTGACGACGAAGGGTAGCCACGGAAATAGACTTGTGTCTTGAGTGTGACTTTTTAGGGATTGCAGTATGAGAAGACAAGAAAGGCTTTGTTGTGGTGATCGGGGTAACAGCACCTGTAGCAACAATGGCATTATTTTCGTCTTCGGAATCGGAAGAAGAAGAGAAGCAAGCATTGTGGTGATAAGCCTTTGTTGCAACAGAGTTATTGTTGTTTGGACTATCCAGATCCTCATAAGCGTGATGTGAGTGTGGGGGGGAAGGTGGTGAAAAAAAGGTGCCTGTGGTTGCTGGTGCAACCGAATTTAACGACATTGCTCTTCTAATTTTAAAGAGAGCCGTCTTGTTGCTGCGGTAGCTTGAGGACGGGCTTTTATACACGGAAATGGAAGAGGAAGAGGAAGAAGAATTATTTGAAGGATGATGATGATTTACTGGGAGGTTATCGTCTTCGTCTGCAGAAGAGCAGGACGAATCCGAGCCGTCAAGGTCCGCCACGCACCGCCGTTTGAAGCTGGGCGAAGTGGCCGTAGTAATGTCAGCCTGCCGACTTCTTTTTAAACTATTAAGAGTAGCAGTAGTAGAAGAAGAAGAAGAATTTTTATGAGCGACATAATCTGCGCATGAAGCAGTACCTTCAATATTACTGTGAGTGGTTGTTGTTGCAGCAGCGGTAGGAGCAGCAGCAGCAGCAGCAGCAGCAGCAGAAGTAACGATGGGGGTCATGTTGTTGCAAGAAAAAAATTTATAACTGTGTAATATAATTATAATAATAACTTTGTTGTTGTAATAATAACAGTAACAAAAATAATCAAGTTACTTAATAGAAATTTGTTGTAATGTAATAACAGACTTTTTTTTTTAATTAATGGTGTAATTAATGTTTTATTATTAAATTTGTTTCAGAGTGTTCCACAGGAAATGAGTAGTAATCAACACGGTGGCAAAAAAAAAAAAATGAGGCAGCAAAGTTAGGGTAAGGGGGGGGAGGAGAGGAGAGGAGAAGAGAATAATTTTTGTTTTGTGAGGTGGCAAAAAAAAAAAAAAAAACAGGGGGGCGGGAAGGTGTTAAAAATAGCGCAAAAAAAATCGAAAAAAATCAGAGAATCAGCAAGTCACTTCAAATAAATGAGTAACAGGAATAACAAAAGAAATCAGTCGAGAAGATGAAGATAAAAGTTGAAAAAGATTGTAAAAGAAAAGGATTCAAACAGTCAGAGTATATAGAAAAAGACTGGGAAAAGACCTTGTAAATTTTTAGAGGGGAGGGAAATGGTTTTGGAGAAATTCTATTGGTTGGTGTGCACTGTTGGGAGTAGGAAAGTATATATAAAAAAAATTTTTTATTTGTGGTTTTTTTTTTTTGTTGTTGTTATTTGAAGAAAAATTGGTTGAAGAAAAAAAAAAAATTAAATAAAAAAAAAATAGGAAAGATCGCATAAATATATGCCTTTGCTGGGGGATCTCTTTGTTACCCTGACAAGCTAATTTCTAAGCAGGAAAAAAAAAAAAAAAAACAACAACAAAAAAATTATTTTTATTTTATTTTCTATCCACAGCCAAGCAGGCTTTTAATCTCACACACACACACACACAGGCCATTTTTTTTTTTTATTTTGTTGTTGTGTATGATATGAAATTTTGGTCACCAACCATTTAAGCGGCTTGTGCCAGGCCCTTTGTTTAAGCTTCCATTCCAGGCTTTCTATCGTAGTCTTCTATTTGTAGATAGAAGGAATTCTTATATAATTATATATAAATATATATAATTCTATAGATATGAGATACGTGGCAAGAATAGATTTTGTTTTTTTTTATTCAATATCACTAAGAGTCATAAACACTTTTATCTCAAATCATCATTACCCAATCTAAAGATTTTACATCTAAAAAAAAAAAAAAAAATATATATATATATAATAAATCTCTCATCCCTGAATAAGGAAACACCTAGAAATAAGGGGTGGGAGGTGGGTGGGAAGTATGAGGAGGAGACAAATAACACCACAAAAGTCGGTCCTTCATCACGTTGTTGTCATGTATATATATATAAGCTAGATTCATGCTTGCTGCTGTTGCTACTGCTACTGCTTATCACTGTATGTTTGTGTGTGGATCCACAAGGAAACTTTAAAATAAAAGACTTAGTCATCAAAACTGATCTCTTATGCATTTAAAATTGGCCTCGTATATGATATATATATATATATTTTTTGTTTTATTCATACTTGATACATTTTCTTGGCCTATCATTTATCACACGCGTAGTCATTCAACTTACTTCCTTTGTAGGTTTTTAGAAATTAAATCTTTAAGAAAAGAATAAAAATAAAAATAAAATTAAAAAAACAACATATAATAGAGTCATCAATTGAGACCAATATGATGATTGCCAATAACATTAAAAGAAGGGGGGAGATGAAAATGGAGGGGTTTTTTTTTAGTGATGATATTGCATTGCAACACCTCAAAATTTATCAACCGACACGCCTAAAAACAAATGAAATTAAACAATTTTTTGTAATTGAAAAAAAACAACACTCGCGTTTTAATGAAATATTCCATTAAAGACTTGAATTTAGAAATATCTCTTATATATATATCAATAATCAATTGAATTAAAGATTTTCATATTCCATATCTTAAAAAAAAAAAAAAAAAAAAAAACTCAATTGAACTTTCACGACTTGCTTCTCGTATTTCTTCCTTCATTTTGGGCAAAAGTGTGACATCTATTTGAGTTGTTTGTTTTAGGAAGACTACCTCAAACATAATAAATCATTTTCAAAATCTTCTACTACAACTGCAATTACTTCGGTTGTTTTAGCCTATTCAAGGCTTTTTTTTTTTTTTTTTTTTTTTTGGTTTTAACCCTTTGGTTTTCAAAAACATCATCAAAATTATTATAAAAGAAAAGATGAAAAATACAAAGCAAACATTTACTTCCGCCTCTTTGATCATCTACTTTTAAGCTTTTTGTGTGTAATAATACCGGACATTTAAATATTTTCTAGTATCTAAAAGAATTCTTCTTCTTTTTTTTTTTTTTTCAACATATGCAAAAAAAACTTGTTTTTATATATATATATATAGCTTCAATACCAAAAGGCAACTAACTCGCTATGTCCTTGTTTTCAAAAGAAACTTTTTCTACTGTGGGAAGCTGACCCCCCCACTTTAGGAGATACCAAGAGAGAGAAAGAAAATTAAATATCGTTCTCTCTTTTTTTTTTTTTTTTTTTTTTTGTTTGTTTGTTTGTTTGTAACTACAGACAATTTTGTTTCGGTCAATAGGAACCTTCCGAGGTTGAATGGTTTACAATTATGTTTTAACTGTAGTTAACAAAAATACACCTACGTTTGCATGTTACAATATACTACTATGTTTTGTAATTATACTAACGTATGAGTTTCATCATTTCATTTATATATATGCCCCTTCCTTCTTCTCCAAAATTAGAATATACAAAGAATTGTTAATCCTAAAATAGAACCCACGAGAAAAGAAAAATGTCTCTATGATCATAAAATATCAAAAGAGGTACTAGGTTAATACTGAAGCCTAAAAAAAAAAAGATAACTAGCACAGCCCTCATCAAATCTGGGTTTTGCCCACTCTTTTCTGAATAGAAAAACCGATTTGAATAAACTACTGTTTTAGCAGCATATTATCAAGATGATAAAGGGGGTTCAAAACAACTAATTATCTAAAAAAAACAATAAATGAATACTTGATAATATAAAATTTAAATTAAACAAAAGTTTTCAATTATTCAAAAGTTATGATGTAAGCGAAACATGAAATAAATATTTTTTTTTTTACAATGTGCAATGTCAAATCCTTTTGAGCAATATCCCAAAAATAGCATTCTAACGTTACATGCTAATATAAGTTTTGTATTCAAAAATAAAAACTTGAGGGAGAAAAAAAAAACTAATTGTAAAAGAAATTATCTTCAGAAAACTAAAAATAAACCATTTTTTTTTCATATCGATTTAAAAAAAGAGAATAATCTTAGATTTCAATATTTAGCAACTAAAAGTAAATCTCAAAAAAAAGAGGGAGATAAAAAAAATTATTGTAAAATAGTGAGTGGCCCTGGAAATATGGAAGTTTAAACTTCTTAAAGTCCTCCTCATTATTTCAAATCGTCTAAACTGAAACAAAAAAAAAATTCCTCAATAATAGTGAATTCACTTAGCTTTCCTGGGTTTAAAAGCAATTAAATACGCTTCATATTTCCATTATTCACTGTTTAATTAATAATGAAATCTTTTTAAACATTACAAATTACCCCATTCCCTTTTCTATTATTAACGATCGACAAGACAAATTTCCATCTTTGAATTTTGAACCATCTTCAATTGTCTTAAGAGATAACGCTTATCTAATTACATGCAACTGACCAACTCTTCAATTTCCACTCATCTCTATCATAGCCTTTACATTTTTTTTTCACTAATTTTAACATTTTTTTTTTTTTTTTACATGATCAATTAACATCAACAAAAAAAACCATTCATGGTAACAATAAAAAATAACTAAATATTTTCTTTCATAATCACTTTACCATCTCCTATTACTTTTCTTTCTTTTTTCTTTCATTCTTTCATTCTTTCATTCTTTCTTAAAAGTTCAAGCTCTTTCTAGTGGCAAACAACTTGGTGCTGACAGTAGAACCGTGCTCTTCTATCTGGGAACAGTACTTGTCAATTTGACCAGAAACAAGGAGATTGTCAAGTCTAGAAGGTTCAGTAGGAAGCTTGAAAACATTCTTCCAGTCGTCCAGAGAAAGAGTTGGCTTGCCAGCAGCAGCAAGTTGGGCGTTATCAACATTTCTCTTGTGTTGCCATTGTTGGATCTTGAGCTTCTCACGAGCAAGCTGTCGCTGGTAGTAATTGTAGTTACCCTGGTCGGTGTGGAACTGATCAATCGAGTCAAAAATGGCCTCAATGTTCTTCTCAAGATATGAATCGATGGAGATGTTCAAGTTATCAAAGTTGTTTTCAAACGATGCAGAGGGGGCCTTTTCAAGGTTGCTGGCTTCCAAAGACTGGAGGAAAAAGGTGACAAGGTGCGAATTGTGGATTTCAATGGGAAGCTTATCAAAAATGTTGTGGTATGAAAGACTGTTCTTGGTCAAAGATTCAGTGGTAAATTTGCCCTCCTTGCGAGCAGCAATGAATGACTCAGAAAGACGGTAGGCGTGTAACGACAAGCCGGAGGCCAGGGTCTGTGAAACGTCATTGACAATGAGAACAGCATTGGGGTTGCTAGCCTGGTATGAAAGAAGAGTTTCAATGGTATTGATATTGAACAGCTTGCCAAGGTTGGTGCTGATGAAGTAGCCGACAGTGTTGATGTCAACGTTGATGGCCTTGAGGTGGTACAAGATATCGTTTTGGTACTTTTGCACAGACTTGGATCGAATGCCCAAACCCTCATTGTCGTTGGCTGAAGGGGGGAACGGGAATGCATGGGAAACCGACAGAACGTTCTCCTCCTCCAAACCAAGAAGCTGGCCGGATATTGGTGAAGGGTACGCATCCGAAGCTGACTTTATGATTTTAAGAACAACAGTAGAGTCCAGTTGGACCTTGTTGGTGGTGGCGGGGCCAGCAGGGAAGGTAGCCACAGGGATGGCAGAGCGACCACTAGATGGGGTTAATATGGTATTCTTAATCTAATTTATCTAATTTACAAGAGACAACACATACATAAGCTTAGACATTATGGGAAGTTAATGAGGGGAAGGGCAGATACGATATGATCTGTGCGTATAAGGCCTGCTGTTGCGAGGATGTGCTATTGAAAAAAAAATTTTCCTTTGCCTTATTATTACAAGTGGTGTAGTTTTTTTTTTTTTTTCCCAAAGACTCTCTTTCCCAAAATAAAACCGAACCCATTTTAACCCTAACATCGAACCAAAAATTACATAACGTCTGAGTAATTTTGAAAAATTTTTGGCAGCCAGGGCAGTGGGTGCGTCGTGACTCTTTCCGCATGAACCTGCTCGAAACTCTCGCGACTGCAGGAATTTTTTTTTTTTTTTTTTTTCCTTCCTCTCTTTTTTTTTTTTTTTTTTTGATCTTATCTTCCGTATACTCCCAAGTAACAATACCCTTTGGAGCCTCTCCTTCAAACTTTCAATCAACCCAAGAGAGTAAGTCTCAAAACAAAGCTTCTATCATAATCTCATAATAATACTAACTTCACTTTAGTTAACAATGTCCGACAACGCTGTTGAACAGGCTGCTGAGCAACTGCAGAAGACCTACCTTGACGAGGAAACCGGCGAACAGGTTTCCAAGAGCGAACTCAAGAAGCGCCAGAAGGCTCGCGAGGTCGCCAAGAAGAAGGCCGAGAAGGCTGCCGCTCGCCCCGCTCCTGCTGCTTCTGCTTCTAAGCCCAAGGAGGAAGAGCTCACCCCTAACCAGTACTTTGAGATCCGAAGTCGCCAAATTCTGGAATTGAAGAAGTCTAAGGCCCCCTACCCTTACCCCCACAAGTTCCATGTCTCTGTCACCATCCCTGAGTTTGTCAAGAAGTACTCTCACTTGACTCGTGGCGAGAAGCTCGAGGAAGAAAAGGTCTCCATTGCTGGCAGAATCTTCACCAAGCGTGAGTCTGGTACTCAGCTCAAGTTCTACGTCATCCACGGTGAGGGTTCTTCTCTCCAGGCCGTTGCCCAGGCCTTTGACGAGGAGAAGCTTGATGAGATCCACGAAATCCTTAGAAGAGGTGACATTATTGGTGTCAATGGTTACCCCTTCCGCACTTCCCCCAAGAAGGGTGGTGAAGGTGAGCTCTCCATCTTCATTGAAAAGATCACTCTTCTTACCCCCTCTCTCCACATGCTTCCTACCGAGCACTTTGGTTTCAAGGACATGGAGGCCCGTTTCCGCATGAGATACCTCGATCTTATCATGAACAATTCCACCCGCGACAGATTTATTGTTCGTTCTAAGATTATTTCCTACATTCGTCAGTTCTTTGACTCTCGTGACTTCATTGAGGTTGAGACCCCCATGATGAACATCATTGCTGGTGGTGCCACCGCTAAGCCCTTCGTCACTCACCACAACGATCTCAACATGGATCTGTTTATGCGTATTGCTCCTGAGCTTTATCTTAAGCAGCTTGTTGTTGGTGGCTTGGAGCGTGTTTACGAGATTGGCCGTCAGTTTAGAAACGAGGGTATTGATATGACCCACAACCCTGAGTTCACCACCTGTGAGTTTTACCAGGCTTATGCTGATGTTTATGATCTTATGGATACCACTGAGCTTCTCTTCTCCGAGATGGTCAAGAGCATCACTGGTGACTACAAGATCACTTACCACCCTGATGGCCCCGAGGGTAAGCCTATGGAGATTGACTTTAGCCGCCCATGGAAGCGTCTTGACATGATCCCCACCTTGGAGGAGCGCCTCAATGTCAAGTTCCCTCCTGCTGACACTCTTCACTCCAAGGAGACCAACGATTTCTTGAAGGATGTTTTGAAGAAGGCCAACCTTGACTGCACCCCTCCTCTTACCAATGCCCGCATGCTTGACAAGCTTGTTGGTGAGTACCTTGAGGACACCTGCATTAACCCCACCTTTATCTTTGGTCACCCTGAGATGATGTCTCCTCTTGCCAAGTACCACCGTGAGATTCCTGGTTTGACTGAGAGATTCGAGGTCTTTGTTGCTACCAAGGAGATTTGCAATGCCTACACTGAGTTGAACGATCCCTTTGACCAGCGTGAACGTTTCGAGGAGCAGGCTAACCAGAAGGCCCAGGGTGACGATGAGGCCCAGCTTGTTGACGAGACTTTCCTCAATGCTCTTGAGTATGGTCTTCCTCCCACTGGTGGTTGGGGCTGCGGTATTGACCGTCTTACCATGTTCTTGACTGACTCCAACACCATCAAGGAGGTTCTTCTCTTCCCCACCATGAAGCCTGAGGTTAACAATTAGATTTAATAGGTCGTTAAGGATGAGTTTTTTTTGTATTATATAATTTTTTTTAATAAATTTTTAAAAATTGAAGAAAAAACATAAAATGCACAATTGTTTTATTTTATTTTATTTTTTATTTTTATTTTATTTTTTATTTTTATTTTTATTTTTTTTATTATATAATTTCATATTTACAGTCATTATCAAACAAACATTTTCACTTCTTTATTTACACAAAATCTATTTCTCTTCTTTAATGGCCAACTCGGGAGCACCAGGAGAAGTGTCCTTGTTGGACTCATCAAGGTGAGGCTTGAAGACGGGGTCAGATAACAGCTTGATGACTTCCTTGGCAACCTTGCGGTTGACATCGTTGCCAAAGTGAACGTTTGTGGGGTTGAAAGAGGAAATGGAATGAAGATGTTCCTGCTCTGCAGCCAATTCCTCAGGGGTCATGCTGGTAAGCTTTTGGTTGTCAAGAGACTTGACGACATTGATATCTTCACGGGTATACATATGAGCCTTCATACCGATACCAGACATGGAATGCTTTTGGAGGGTAGCGAGCCAAGTTTCAATAACTTCTGGGTTAGAGTCGTAGACCTTGATGACGCGCTTGTGGGTGCGGCGCTCAAAATTCTCCTTTGATTTGGCGTGGACAAAGGGTGAGCGGATGACAGTCCAGCGTTCGCGGCGGGTGGGCAGAGGAATAACACCAGAGACAGGCATTTTGAGGTAAAAAGCGGCACGCAGAGCAAAGTCAGCAAAGAAGTCGAGATCTTGGGTCTCGAAAGCACGCATCTGGATCTCAGCAACAAGATGGCCGTGTGTTTTAGGATGACGCAATGGTGCGTACTCATTGAGCTTGACGTTGAGGGGCACGGGGCGGCCTGTGGCCAGCGAGGGCTTAGTACTGGAAGGAACGAAAGTACCTTCGGAAGGGTACAGGTCACTGGGGGCATAGTTAGGCGAATCATCAACGACAACCTTGTTGGCAAGCTGGATCTCAGTAGGAATGGAGGGCGACTGGAGGTTGCTTGAGACTGAGAACGTGCGGATGGTGGCATATGTAGGAGCAGCAATCTGAGCGCGGGTAGCAGCGACTTGCCGCAGCAGAGTTGATGGGGCTCGCATTGTTTAGGGGTGTATGAACTGCGGGAGCTTGGGGATGGTCGAAATGATCCAGCAGGTGGAGTTGATGCTGTTGTGTTGGTGGTGATGGAAAAATTAGTCCCCAAGGGAGGTTTTCTGGGAAAGTTGAAAATTTTAGGCAAGTAGCGATGCTATGATTGGGCGGGAAATGATCACGTGAGTATATATTACAACGTTTGAGTATGTGACATTACAACAACCTATGAAGGTGCAATTACAACTAGCTTGGAGAGATGGTCGGGACATTTGTGACACCGAGACAAGAGGTTCCGGTGAGCCCAGCAAATGGTTGCCCGGATATTTCTTTAATGAATCAATCAATTAGAGAGAATTTTTTAATTTTTTAATTTCTTATTTTTATTTCTATTTTTATATTTTTGATACAAACAAACACCAACTATAATTTTTTTTTTTCTTATCACGTTGGAACTTTTAGATCTGCACGTTTCCTTCAGTTATTACTTTTGGCTGGTATGACGGAAACCGAGTGAAAAATTCGGAGAGACGCGGGTTTTGGTCCGCGGGCAGCGGCTATTCACAAAGGGCGAAATCGGCGCCTTTTAACGGCCTTTTTTTTCTTGTTATTTTAATGTCAGTAGAAGACAAAATGGACTTTTTTTTTTTTCCTTCAACATTTTTGAAATTTCTTTTCCCTCATTTATATAATTTTTTTTTTTTTCAAAAAAATTCAAAAAGGAAAATAATTCATTCTCAGAGTCATTAAAAATACTCACTCCCTCCAAAAAAAAAAATGGACTCTAAACCCATAGACACTCCCGCAGCTAACCAGGCAGCAGCTAATCAAACTGCCACTAAACCCAATCCCTCAAAAGACGTTAAACACCCACCCCGCTATGCAGGATTCGTGGCCGGCGTCTTCTCCGGCATTACAAAGCTTACAGTCGGCCATCCTTTCGATACAATCAAGGTCCGCATGCAAACCTCTGCAGAAGGAAAGTTCAAGGGCCCCATGGACTGTCTTTACCAGACCCTACGCAAGGAAGGCGTCCGCGGTCTTTACAAGGGAGCTACTCCTCCTCTTGTTGGATGGATGGTCATGGACAGTGTGTAAGTTTTGTTTGTTTTATTTATGAGTTGCAATCATCTTCGTTTTATTTTCCTAACATCATTTCAGAATGCTTGGATCTTTGCACAATTATAGAAGATGTATCAAGGATTGCGTTTACCCAGATCACTGTGAGCTCCCATTTGCCGGCAAGTGTGTTGCAGGAATTCTGTCTGGCTGGACCGTCAGTTTTGTTGCAGCTCCCATTGAGCACGTTAAGGCCCGTTTGCAAGTTCAATACGACGCTTCTACCAAAGTTTATTCTGGCCCTATCAACTGTGCGGCGTCTCTCATCAAAAATCATGGCATTTTCAACGGCCTTTACAAGGGCCTGCTTTCAACAATGATTTTTAGAACAAACTTCCTGTTTTGGTGGGGGTCTTATGATATATTCAACACTTACTTTGAGAAGAAAACTTCTATGAACAAAGTCATGGCCAACTTCTGGGCCGGAGGTCTTTCGGCTACCATTTTTTGGATCACCGCATACCCCGTCGATGTGGTTAAGCAGCGCATCATGACCGATGATCTTAACAACCCTAAGTACAAGTCCTGGCTCGATGCCTTCAAGAACGTCTACAGAACTTATGGCTGGAAGGGTTACTTTAGAGGTTTCGGGCCTTCCATTCTACGATCTTTCCCTGCCAATGCTTCTGCTCTTGCATCTTTCGAACTTGTCATGAGACTCTTTAACCAGGATGCTTCGGAGGAAGAAAAGGCTGGAATTCTGGAAGAGTAAACCAAATTGTGTCAATGGGTTGGTACAAAAAAAAAAACTGAGAGATGAAAAAAAAAAAATAAAACTCCATGCATTTTAATAGTATAGTAGAAAAATGTAAACTGGCTATTCTAACCAAACAAATACAGAAATCACTCGTTCATTATGATTATTGATCCTCATAAAAAGATCGTCATTGATTCATATCATTGCCTTGTTTCTTCCGGTAAACTTTCGCTTTTGCCTGTTTGAGATGTTCCGTCCTTAATTTCCTCTTCTTTCTCTTCCCCTTTTTCTTCTTTTTCTTCTTTTTCTTCTTTTTCTTCTTTTTCTTCTTTTTCTTCTTTTTCTTCTTCCACAACTGTCTCGATCTCCCAAGGCTTGCGCCGGCGCTGAGCAGACGTCTGTGACGATTGTTGTAACCCTAGCTCAGTATCTGGAATATCCCGAATTCCTGGAATCGGCTTCCCAGAAAGAATCATCTCCACAACCTGTGCATATGATGCAGAGTATGGCACCTCGCATTCTTTCTTCTCAGAATTACTTCTTTGATCCGCTTGTACTGGTGTCACATCATTGCTTTTTAAATTCGATTTAGTTTCTTCTTCTAGCCACTTGGTATATGAATCCACATTAATTTCGGTGCCAAACTTTCGAGAAAAGAAAAACGACCTTAGCCTTAACTCGGCCTCTGTGTCCATCGATTGTAGGCCTTTGGCTGCAAGCACAGACTTAAGTCCAGCCTGGTACCCTTCATCGGTATCCCAGTCATAATCCCGAAGCTTGATAAACCAAGACTGCTGTGTTTGTGGAACTTGTTCAACTTGTTCAGTCATTGTGATGTATGCAAAGCTTTTTTGTTGGTTGGATAAAAAAATAAAAAAAATAAAAACAAAATAATCCCGTTAGCCATCTTTGTGGGGGAAGTCCAATCGGCTGATAAGAAGACCGAAAAAGTTATTGGGGAGGGTAACGGGGGTAAATCAATTGATTGAAAAAAAATAAAAATTAACCTTCAAATAATAATAATAAAATACAATAAAAAACCATACAAACAATTCTTCTAAATCATGGAAACTGGCCTGGAGGTGGTCCAAAAATCTGTCCCTCGGGGACCTTTATTAAACTTCCTCCCGCAGAATCTGCACCGGCATATGATACGGAATTGCCCCACCAAGTTAGCTTCTTGGGGTGGTACTGAACTGCAAAAAATATAATGATTGCTGAAAACGCCACGCCCGCAGTAATTGACGACGACAAGACATAGGTATACTTTTCCCACCAGCTCAAGTATCGGCGACGAATATACCACATAAAGGCTATCGACAAGTACAACGATCCTGTTTGGTAAGTCAAATTGTATGGTGCATACGACAACATTCCACCAATAACCAACGTGGGCTGAAAGTACTTTGTTTGGCGCGGGAAAAACTTGCGCAGTAGCAAAAAGGGAATTGTTGCAACAGCGCCAATGAGAAAACACCACTGAAGTAGTGGATACAAGTGACGAAATACACGCTTGGGACCAATGACACCCCAAATAACAGAGGCTGCATAAAAGGTATTGGGGCCTGGGCAAGTAAACTTCTCAGCCTGGTGCTTGGTGCACAAGCCATCGATATTGGAAATCTGCCAGTTGACTACACCCACTGAAACAAGCACTTGAATAACGGTTGAAATCATTTGACCTTTAAACACAGCTTTTGGTGGAAGCTTAGCATAATGAGCCATCTTTTGATCTGTAATGTAATTCTGCGCTTGACCATCAATGTTATACCCATAAGCTTTGAGAATGTTAAGGGCTGTACCGTTACCAGGCAATGCATACCCCACAATGAGCTCCACCAAAACATTCAATCCAAAGGAAAAGCCAGTGACTGAGTAAATAAGAGTGATGGGAATCAAAAAAACGAAATTGATGCCAATTGTAAAGAAAATACCCCAAATGGGCGTATTTGTGGGGAAGGCCCGCACACACGCAATACCAAGTCCAACAGCACTCACCATAACTGCAACAAACCACCAGTCAGGTACTTCAGGATATTTGCTCATCATTTTACTATGAGGATCATCGTGGCTCTCATAATTTGATCGCATAGGGTGCTTAATAGTATCCCACAAGTCACGAATACTGAAAACAATGGATTTCCAGTCAATCACAATGGTGTAAATAATGGCAAATGGATAGAGAGCAAAGTAAGCACCATAAAGAACCAAGTTTGCGGCAGTATAGTATGGTGGAGAGTACTTTTGATACTTTTCATTATCAAACAAGCCATTGGTCAAAATCTGGCGCACATCATACGGCTCACCTGTATTCTTAAACAAGTGGTTGGAATTGATGGGCAGGTATGATGTCCATTTAAAATTTGTCCAGTATAGAGCCGGAATAACACAAAACCCAGCAATCAAAGCACCTGCATACTGATTGACTTGTGAGTAAAAAGGTATTTCCAATGGAGTATTGTAATTGAGAACAGCCCAGTCAAAGCTTGGGATGGGATTGAGTCCCAGCCCGCTAATACTACCAGTGATAGCAGCAAGATTAAAGTTATTTGGAGAAATCCAAGTCATCCAGTTAAAGTAGGAAAGAGCCTCAAAAAGATAGGTTGGAAGCCAGTAATATATAAAGCTGACGCTAAATGTCACCAAAAAGAAACCATATCTGCTAATTTTCCAACCATTTACAACCTTATTTGGTTCCTTGGCTGCCAGGGCACGGTTAAGAGCCAAAGTTGGCAAGATTGTGGGCCAAACAGCACGGACAGGGTAAACAATGAGTCTTCTCATGATTCCTGCAAAACCAAAACCCACAAACTGAGTGGAAAATACCAGCAAAAACTGATACCCGATTGAGGCCCACTGCTCGTCATAAAACATGGGCAGTTTTTGGGTAATGATGTTGTAAAGCGCGGCATAGGCGCCACCAATTGAAACGTTAAAAATTATAGAGGCGAACATTTGCTCTTTATAGGTCCATGGCCCTGGGTTAATACTGTAGCGATGGCCTTTAATTGTAAAACCCCAGTCCGGTAGTAGAGCCATGAGGTTACCACAGGGAAGCAACAAGATTTGCAAAATGCCACCACTAAGACGGATATTGGGCAAACGTGGAGAAAAAAATTGATTTACACCTGTTCCGATAATAGTCCACAAGAGTCCCAGAAAGTATGCGCGGAAAGTGTCGCAGGGTGTTGTAGGGTCGTCATACGGATCACACACGGCGCGAACTTCTGGGTAGGGAGAGTGGTAGTGGATAAGAACGGCTTCAATTTTGACTTCGCGTTCGAATGTTTCTTGATCTCCTTCAAAAGCTTGAGGATCATTAACATAGATTTTAATCTTGTCCATGACATCTTGGGGGAAGTTGACATCATCGTCGTGGTATTTGATTGCTTCTGCTAGAATATCGAGGCCTTCTTGAACACTCATGTCCATGTACTTGTCGTAGTAATAGGAGGCCACGGGATCATCTTCATCTGAACTAGGGTCTTTGCCAAAACGAATCAAGACCTGCTCGTCCACAATGACTTGTCTTGTTGATTTTTTTGTAGAAGAGACATCTTCATTACTTTCATGAAGTTTAGACTCCATTTTTTTTCTTTTTTTTTCTGAAGCTTGACAATATATATATATAAAAATAGAAAAAAAGGAAATTTAAGAAAAATGAAACCTTTATATATATTGAGGATTTTTTAGCTTTAATTATTATCAGGTAATTTTAAATTATTTTTTTTTTTGAGGAGGGATAGTAGAAACTAATTTACAGTTGAGTACACGGCTTTCATAGTTTTCAAAACCCATGCCCAATTCATGCGATCCCCAAGTATATATGTGTGTGTATGGAATTTGATTTGAAGTTTTGAATCTTATAACTAATTAGTTAAATGAAGGAAATAGTTTTCAAACAGCGAGATACAATTGTAGTTAATGATCTAATAGCAAAACAATATTGATGATTTTTTTGAATACATATTTAATTTTTATTTTTATTTTTATATTTTGAAGCCATTTTTATTTTTGTTTTGATAAAGCTTTCTGGACTATCCTATTTGAGAAATGATCGATCAGAGATGGCCGATAAAGAATTAGCTAGGGATCAATTTATATATACTTGTTTACGGAGACCATTTTATGCATAGAAACATGGAATTTCTTTTTAAAATACTTTATAATTTATTTATTTATTTATTCATTTATTTTAATTTTTTTTTACCATAAACGGATATTTATTAAAAGCGTGGGCAATCCAATTTCATTTTGGTCTAACAATTCAAATTTCAGATTCAAAACCCCAACTTTTTCCCCATAAACAGTAATATGAGGCTTAATTACATAAACACTTACCGTTTCTCGGTCCCTAGGATAAATAGACTACATGAGCGGGGAATAAATAAACAAAGACTGTAACTTACGCATCGGCGTGACAAGATATACACGCATAGAAATGCTCGGCTGGAAAACCCATACAAGCTCGCCGAGTTTCTCCTTTGCCCTTAAGCGGCCGTTCCAACCTCGGCTGTTCTTTCTGACTCTTGCCTTGAATATACTTTTTTAACACACATACATACATACAAGCACATACAAGCACATACACATACACACAACTCCCCACCCATCGCTACTCCAGATTTTATGTTTTGGCTGTCCGCGGCTGCTCGCATCCTCAGGCCTCTCCTTTTCTCCCCCCCCAGTTTTTTGGACCACCCACAAACACACACCATTTCTCCAATAAATATATAAAAAAGTCAAAATCCTCCCTCTCCTCCTTTTTTTCTTCCTTCTACATAATATTTGTCCATTTATTATCCAACCAATCCCTTTAAATTTTTTTTTTTTTAAAAAAATATACTTAATATCATAAGACACAATGGCCTCTAACGACAACGTTGCTCATGCCCTCGCCGGTGCCGGCGGTGGTGCTCTCTCAATGGTCGTCACCTATCCTCTCATCACCCTCTCCACCAGAGCCCAAACCGAATCCCGACGATCCAAGAAGGAACAGGCCGATGCTGCCCAGCGTGCAGGCAGCGCCACTGCTGCCGAGGACGAGGCCAGTGTCAAGAGACCTACTAGTGCCCTCGAGGCTGCTCGCCAAATCATCCAAAGAGAAGGTGTCTCCGGTCTTTACTCGGGACTTGACTCTGCTCTTTTTGGCATCTCGGTAACCAACTTTGTCTACTACTACTTTTATGAAGGTACCCGTTCTTTCTACGAGACCTCCAAGCGCAAGGCCGGCAAGAGCCTTAACCTTTCCACTCTCGAGTCCATGGCTGCCGGTGCCATTGCCGGCTCAGCAACTGTGGTTCTCACAAACCCCATTTGGGTCGTCAACACCCGTATGACTGTCAAGGAGAACTCAGTCAAGGACCCCAAGACTGGTAAGATCCGCACCCCAGGCACCCTTGAGACTGTCGCCAAGATTATCCGTGAGGACGGCTTCAAGCCCTTCTTTGCCGGCATTCTTCCTGCTCTTGTCCTTGTCATCAACCCCATTCTCCAATACACTATCTTTGAGCAGATTAAGAATACCATTGAGAAGAAGCGCAAGCTCGGCCCAATCGACTTCTTCCTCATTGGCGCCATTGGCAAGATCTTTGCCACATCCATCACCTATCCCTACATCACCCTCAAGTCCCGTCTCCAACTCAAGCAGAAGGACGGCAATGCCACCAACTCCAGTCTCATTGGTGGTCTCATCCAAATCATTAAGAATGAGGGTGTCGGTGGCCTCTACGGTGGTATTGCTACCAAGGTTACCCAGTCTGCCATTACTTCGGCCTTCCTCTTCTTGTTCAAGGAGCAGCTTTATGCTATTGCCGTCATTTTCTTGACCTTTATCCGCAAGATTAAGCTTAGAAAGTAAACTAGGATTTTGTAGATGGAAAAGGGGAGCGAATGACTTTTTTTTTAAAAATTTTTCTATTTAGTATATATAGTATATACATGAAAAAATGATACTATTTATTATTTGCCAAATATTATCCCACAAAACAAGAAGGTCCACTCGTGCGCTTTTTTTTTTTTTTTTTTTAGAAAGAATGGTCTTATTCAAATATGAAATCTTTTTAAAATCTTTTTAAAATCTATAATAGGAAATATGTATATATATATTATTTTAGTTTACATGGCCCTGATGAAAAGTCCAAGGCAAAGACAGTTGACAATGAAAAAAATCAAGGTTGCTGTGAAAAGCCCGGGGTAAAACGTTGACACACCCAGAAACTCTACCAAGTACGCCTGACGCACCCACAAGACTTGTGACCCAACCCACAGTCCCGCCATGGTCAAGCCAACCAACACTCCACAGCCCTTCTTTTTGTTCTTATCATCAGCACACGTCAGGTAATTGATGAGCGAGGGAAGGTAAAACGGTAGCAGCACCATATACCACATAAAGTATTGGGCCGTGCACACCTTGTTGAACGTCACAAACGCAAATGTCTGCAAAAACAATGTCTTGGGCACATCCCGCTTCGCAAACAAAAGAGGCAGCAGAATTCCGCTCAGCAGCAACTGAGGGAAAAAGGCCCACGCTGATGGCTGGCCCAGAACCTTGTATGCAAACTCTCTAAACCCATTACCGCTAGCAACAGCTGCCGCATAGCTCTCCGTGGCTGGTGGTGACGACGACATGTATAGCAGCGTTGAATAAGGGGAATAGTTATGGCGATGGTCAATGCGTGACAAATGATGAAGATAAGTATGCTGCAAAAACGGCCACCCGTAAATCTGGTACATCCACAGGGTCAGGAGCAAAAATGTTACCGCACTCGTAACCCCAAACACAACTCTATCTCGATTGACAAAGTTTAAAACCGCTGACTTTTTCGCAACACTGGCCGGAAAGATCGAATCTCGGCCTTTGTTCCGAATCTCATTCTTCTCTTCTTCTTTTTCTTTTATCTCTGGGGTATTGCTGGCAAGCGACCAAATCACTGTTGGAATGTAAATGATGGGGTATATCTTAAAATGTACGGCAAAGCCAGCCACCAGGCCTGCCAAGGCAATCTGGCGTGCAGAAACAGCATACACAAACACCATGACAATTGCACCCAGCAGGCCTTCTGATGATCCCCGAGTGGAAATAGCAGACACCATGGGGTTAAGTAACCAGACTGCAGAGGTATAGAGTACAGCTTTGGACTCTTGTATTTTCTGGATGCGAATGAGAATGCGCAGAATAAGCACGCCCGCAACAATATCTCCAACTGCAAACAGCACCTTGCCAAAACTGAAAAACCAGGTGCTTGTGGGAACAAGTAGCCAGGCTAATATAGGCGTGTATCGGTATGTCTCGCGGTCGTACGGGGTTCCAGAGACGGTTACCGGAGCCCCGTTTACTATTGTTGTGGTTGATGACGCCATAAACCGCGATGCATCTGTAAAGACGAAATAATCAATGTCTGTGAACCGAGGTTCCATGTTGGCATCTTGGTAGAGACCCCAGAAAAATATAATGATTCGCTGGATAATTGCAATTGCTATCGCAACTTTGGGTCGCAAAATGAATGAAAGAATCTTGTTGCCTTTAGACACCACAGCCACTGGTGGTTTGCCAGTTTGTGTGTTTTTTTCTATAAATAATCAGGAACCAGTCAGTAGTGAAATAAAAAAAAAAACAAAAAGAGTAGTTCAACATACCTCTCGATGCTTTTCTTATGGATGCATGGGTATCTGAGGTATCAATGCCTGATGAAAAAGATGCCGCGGTTTCAGCGGGGCCTTGGGCAGCAGAGCTTTCCAATGGATCCTGCACGCCCATCACAAGCAATCAAGGGAATAACGATGAAAAATGCAAGAAAATAATAACAGTAAACCACAAGGTCTAATACAATAGAACAGTGTTGATAAAACTGTTCTGTTCACAAGGCCAGTTGACTGAATTAAAAAAAAGCGTCCTTGGTGGGTTGGTAAGAAGAAAACAACAGCAAGACAATAGGGGCAACAAAAAAAAAATGAAAAACACCCACACACCCACACACACACCCTTACATTCCTGAAAATGCAATTTCCATCTAAGCCCCCAAATAATTAAAGAAATTCAAAATGAACAAAAACAAAAAAAACAAAAAGGGTACATAATTAAATATATTTAAAAATTTCAAAGAAGATGTTTATAATTTACATTATAGGAGCACTGGATTTTGGCACCTTTGGATATGTTGTATAGCTCTAATGGTCGCTGTCTATCAACACCCTTCTCTCCTTATTTCTTTGTTTAATAGCTATTCTGCTCCATTGACAAGTGCATTGCTTTTTTCACGCTTCATCCCGTCAGTGCGTTTAACCGGAAGATCTTCATTTTCTGGAGATTCAGAGCCACTGTAACTTGTTTGGAACCCGTGCTCTTCCCGATGCGGCAGACCATCTTCAACCTCCTTCATCTTGGGGTTGCTCAAAATTCCTGCTAACATGCGGCTGTACGTGATTTTGTAGATTGGACTCAAAGAATTAAAGAAGTGACGACCAACCGGATGCCCTTGTATTCGGTGCAGAAATCTAATCACAGTTTCTTGCACAATTGATATCGGGTGGAACAACCCATATCCGATAAAATACAAGTTCCGTGTCCCAATAGACGCAAGAAACCGAATGATGTCTTCGTCGTCTTGAACATTGTCCGCAAGTGTGGTATAAATCAACCCAGCTTCTTCAATTGAAAAGTTTTGCGTCTGCAGTCTATCCAAATGAAATTCAAAGTCAATCAACTTTTTCGGCCGCTGTTGCCAAACCTTCTTCAAGTCCTGGAAAAAATACTTATAGCTCCGTGACTCTCTCCACCCTTCAATTACAGGTGCATAGCACTGGAAATCTTGAAACTTTTGCGTCTCACTGGTCCAGCAATACCCATAACCAGGAACAACATCATATTCAGCGGTTGAATCGGATGGCCAAAGTGCTGTCTTGCCGAACTTATCTTCTTCATAATTTGACGCTATCCGTACAAACCGCTTTATATATTCTCTGCATCGGTTCCGCACTGACGACTCTGCAAAATGATCTTCAACCATATTTTTCAAGTCTTTCATCAGCTGCAAGTCATCTTGGTTGGTTATTGCCGCAATTGTCTGTTGGTAATACGCATTGTTCTTGTCTTTATCAACACTACTACCACTACCCCCTAAATTACTGCTCACAGATTTGACCGAAATTGGGGGCCCTGGTATTCCAATTGCTGGAGAAATCTTCATTTGATTGTTTTCCAAGTCTATTAAAATGTCCCACCATTCCGGGTGGTGTCCGAATGCCGGGTTTTTGACGCCCGCAACGTAACCAGGTGACGAGAGCAGGTCATCCACTTTACTAAGGTCTGTATAAGGAAATGCATGTGTAGTAAAAGAGCGGAGAATCCCCCCAGAAGCGAGAGAACATGCCGCCAAAACTCTATCTGAAACTTCTCCAGAAGGATTATTGAGTCCCACAAACAAAATTCGCTTCTGTGTAAGTAAACTGTTAATTAAAACTAATAATGGTGGTGTGAAAGCGCCATAAATGGTCAGTTCCGGATGTAATGTGTTGAATGGCTGATTGATAGAAAGTAAAGTGTGTATTAAATTAATTAAAGAAAAGTCTCCCACAGATTCAGGGTGGAAGTCTGTTGGTACTTTGATGGGTATTTTCATATCGTTAAACTGTACTCGCGACTCGTAAAAATGGGTATCTCGGGTTACGTTTCTTGCCACTAGTCGTTGACCATTGCTCTTGAGGTCAAGATAATATAATGGCTTATCTCCATTAGAGGACTTATTGTATCCAGATGACACCAAGTCAATGCTGCTATGGTTCCCAATAAGGGTGTTACTAAGTGGTGGGGTTGTTGCCGGAGAAAAGGCTGAGCTAAAGTTGATGTGGTTATTGGGTGCAGAAGAAACTGATGAAAGAGAAGTTGGAGAAGTTGGAGATGGAGTAAAGTGAGAGTTTATTGTCTGTCGTTCTTGAAACTTTTCAATGAACATATCCGGATTGCTTGAAGATGAAAGAATTTGTCGCTCAAAAAAAGAAAATTTTGGTATCTGAGAAAGGTCAATCGAATTGATAGAGTTGTATAACTTTTTTAACGAGTCTATAGAAGGAGACTTAAAGTACTCATCCAGAGAAAGAAGCAATAGCGGCTTGAATACATGAAAGAACGGATGTGGGGTGATGATACACATGGCCTTAACAATGGCACCGCGTTTAACATCCTTTGTAAATTTGGTATTGACAAGGTTCAAGACATAATACTTGGTGGCTGCTTGCTTTCGCGTCTCGCTTTCAATGTGATAGACTAAGTTTGGATTTCGCTCTTCGTGATAAAGAAAGAATACTGTCCAGTCCTCTGTTCGAGCATGGGACTGATCAGGAAGCATAAGCTCAGCAATCAGTCTACATTCATGTTAATTCAAAAACCTTTGAACGCACGCGTTTCTAATGGTGATGGGATATGATGTGCTTATAAGGGGGGAAAAGTCCCTTTGAAGATACATACGTCTGATCGCTTTGGATTGAATTAGGATACTGATGTTTAACCGTAGGCCCGGAATTAATGTCGAACTCTGCTGTGAGAACATGCTTGACATGCTGGTTTTCAGGTGCCGGGTCAATCACCGGGTCCGATAAGGGGTTCTCTTTAACAGCAACCATGGTTGCAAAATCTCACAATATAGCGACTGTTAAAAGGGAAAAGGAGTGATTGTACAGAAATGGTAGTACATAAGTTGTCTGCGCTTGGGAGCCGATGAGGCTGTAATTATTACTGCTGCTACTGCTACTACTAATATGCTTTAGGCTTACCTACAAAAAGGGGAAGGAGAAAAAATTTTTTTTTTTGGGTTGAGATGTGAGCGATCTCTGCTAAACTTAGCACAAAGAAAATTTCCATCCTCCTCCTCCCTTCCCCCTCTTTTTATAAAATAGCACTTCTCAAGCCATAAAATAAAATAAAAACTAACTAACAGATCCCATTTCAAAAAAAAAAAAAATAATATAAATATTAGAATACCTAACTGATTCTGTTTAAACAGACGATTGCTTATGACTATAATTGAGGTCAAAAAAAACATTCTCTTAATAAACTAGAATCATATGAAACAGCAAAATCTTGGAAACATTACCTAAGTCGATAATAATATTATTACCCAAGAAGCAATATCATATCATATAATACACAAAACATTTTATAAGTCTTTTTCAGTTAAATAATATCAGACAATTTTGTTTTATATAGAAAACCTTTCAAGCCTCATGACCATAAATACTAGTAATACCGGATATATATGACTTAGCCAAAAAAATAAAATAAATGGAGTTTTCTGGACTTAGCCATTAAAGTTATAGTTGGATTGATTCACAGCTTAAAATTTTTAGCAATAACTAAATTGTTCTTTTCCTGTTGGAGTTGCAGAAAATATTTAATTATGCTTACATGATATTTTTTTAATTTTAATTTTAACTATTATTAAAGATTCCAAAAATGTTTGACTCTACATCTTAATTGAATAATTATTGAAATATGAACTTACAAGTTTCACAAAAAACAAATCATGACATATACAATTTATCAGAACATTTAAACCTATTTATTGTGTTAGCTAGAAAAAGAAAAAAAATTACACATTAACAAGACGTTGTCTTTTTTTTTATTGTTTAATTATAAAATCAAAATGTTTAAGGAAACTGTCCTGGAGGTGGCCCGAATATCTCACCATCCTTTAACACTAGAAGACTACCACCAGCCGCATCTGCACCAGAATATGACACGGTATTTCCCCACCAAATTATCTTTCGAGGCTTATACTGTACTGAAAAAAATATAATGATGGCAGAAAATGCAACACCTGCCGTGAGCGAAGATGAAACAACATAGTTATACTTTTCCCACCATCCAATATACTTTCTTTTTATGTACCACATAAATGCCATTGAAAGATAAAAGGAACCAGTCATATACGTTAAATTATAAGGTGCGTAAGATAAAAGCCCCCCAATAACAAGTGTGGGTTGAAAGTATGCCGTTTGTTTCTTAAAGTACTTTTTCATCAACAAGCAAGGAATTACTGCGGCAGCCCCAAATAAAAATGACCACTGGAGAAGAGGATAAAGACTTTTAAAGATTTTCTTAGGACCAACAACACCCCAAATAACAGAAGCTGCATAAAAGCTATTTGGTCCAGGACAAGTAAACTTTTCTGGCTGGGTTTTGGTACACAATCCACTAATGTTGGAAATTTGCCAATTGACAACCCCGACAGAAACAAAAACCTGAAAAATAGTAGATATCATTTGCCCTTTAAATACAGCCTTTGGTGGCAGTTTAGCATAATGTGCCATCTTTTGATCAGTAATATAACTTTGCGCTTGACCATCAATATTATACCCATAAGCTTTTAAAATATTGAGCGCTGTGCCGTTTCCAGGAAGTGTATAACCAATAATCAGCTCTACCAGAACGTTTAAACCAAAGGAAAACCCAGTTACTGAATAAATCAACGTAATTGGGATAAGAAAAATAAAATTGATGCCTATAGTAAAGAATATACCCCAAACAGGTGTGTGTGTAGGATATCCCTTAACACAGGCAATCCCCATAACAATAGCAATTATCATTACTGCTGTAAACCACCAGTCTGGAACTTCGTCATATTTACTCATCATCTTACTGTGAGGATCAGTATGGTTGTCATATATGGAGCGTCGGGGGTGCTTAATAGTCTCCCAAAGATCTTTAATACTTAGTGAAATGGATTTCCAATCAATAATGATTGTGTAAATGATTGCAAATGGATAAAGTGCAAAAAATGATCCATAGAAGACTAGGTTTGCTGCAGTATAATAAGCTGGAGAATATTTTTGATACTTTTCCTTATCAAATAGCCCATTTGTTAAGATTTCACGAACCTCATAAGGCTGGCCAGTGTTTGTATAAATTAAGTTGGAGTTGATGGGAAGGTATGCTGTCCATTTAAAGTTTTTCCAGTATAGTCCAGGAATAACTACAAACCCTGCAATCACCGCACCAACAAGCATGTTTACTTGAGCATAAAATGGAACTTCTAAAGGATAGTTTGAATTAAGAACAGCCCAATCAAAACTTGGAATTGGATTGAGACCCAGTCCACTAATGCTACCTGTGATGGCTGCCAGATTAAAGTTTTGAGGAGAAATCCAAGTCAACCAATTGAAAAAGGAAAGAGCCTCAAATAAATATGCTGGAAGCCAGTAGTAAATGAATGCTCCACAGAAAACTATTAAAAAGAATCCATATCTGCTAATTTTCCATCCATTGACTGTTTTATTAGGTTCATTAGCTGCAAGTGCTCTATTTAGTGCCAAGGTTGGAAGAATTGTTGGCCATACTGCTCTGACAGGATAAACAATCAATCGTCTCATAATTCCAGCAAATCCAAACCCAACAAATTGTGTCGAAAATACCAAAAGGAATTGGTACCCAATAGTTGCCCATTGCTCATCATAAAACATAGGTAGTCTTTGAGTAATAATGTTGTAAAAGGCCGCAAATGCCCCACCAATCGAAACATTGAAAATAATTGATGCAAACATTTGCTCTTTATATGTCCAAGGACCTGGGTTTAATTGATACCTGGTCCCACAAATAGTGAATCCCCAATTTGGAAGAAATTCCATTAGCCTTCCACATGGAAGCATTAAAATTTGTAAGATGCCACTGCTTAAACTGATATTGGGCATACGGGGAGAAAAAAACTGATTGACCCCAGTACCTATAATTGTCCATAATAGTCCTAAAAAGTATGCTCTTAATGTATCACATGGAATTAAAGGATCATCAAAAGGGTCGCAAACTGCTCGTACTTCTGGATAGGGCGAATGGTAGTTAATAAGAACCGCTTCGATTTTAACTTCTGTTTCATATACTTCCACATCACTAGCATACTTCTCTGGACCTTCCACTAATAGTATTAGCTTTTCCATAGTACTCTGAGAAAAGTTGACATCGTCGTCATGATATATTATGGCCTTTTGCAAAATCTCCAAGCTTTCTGTAATACTAGTGTTAAGATATTTTTCGTACAAAAATAAGGCTGCGGGATCTGGTTCATCTAAGGTAGGGTCTTTCCCAAACCTTTCTAAAATATACTCCTCTGTAACACTTTGTGATGGTATCTTTTTGATACCTATATTCACATCCCCAAGTTTTTCGGACATTTCCTTATAATATTGAGATTGTATTGTTGTATGCTTTTTTTTTTTTTTTTTTTAATTTTTGAGGAATAACTACGGATATAAGGTGATATATATGGATGCGTTTTAAGGCCAATATACAATTATATACAAGATATAATTAATGGTTTAAAATATACTTAAAATGTTTTACATATAACGAGACAATAAGATCGCAGAAGCATATAAGGTATTATCTTAAGAATTATAAATATTGAGAACACCTCTATTCGGTGCATCCTTTTCATGCAAATAGTGGATAAACATTAGAAACGTCTTTTGGGCAATGGAAATAACCAAATATGAAAATGGGTGGTGGGTTTCTCCTAACTAGTTTTCCAAAATATATAAATGAAATATAAATTAGAGTCAAACAGTCGAAGAATAATGATATAAAGTGATGAAAAGGTATTTCTTAGTTGATAAAATACAAAACTTTGAGTTAATTCATCATTTTACAAATTGTTTTAAAAATCTGCAAGTCACAAAACTATTTTGAACCAAATGGAATCGACGGCCTGTTCATAAAAATATATGACGTTGAATTCATTGTTCAATTAGTTTCAGCTTACTGTATTTGGCATTACCGGAGATGCTTGCCCGCAAGGCTGTCATAGAAAAACATTAATGAATTGTCAACTTAATGCAATAGCAAAGAGAACATAATGTGAATAAGTCATTCAAACTTGACGTTTTTTTAAGTAATAGTAAGTTTAACATATTGTTTGAAACCGGAAATTGCCTTTTTCAAATTTAAACTAGTAAAAGTCATCTTTGTTTTTAATTTTAATTTTGACTTTATATTTAATTTTGTTTTTAATTGACAAATTTTTAATAGCCACATTTTTTTCTTTTTTTAGTTTAAAGAAATGCAAAGTTTTGTGTAATCGTATATCATAAAATACTGTTTTTATTATGTACATAGTGCTCAAAAAATTTATCATTCAATTCAATAATGAGAAATCTTAGATTCACTGATTTTTTTGTCTGGATTTATCAAACTCTTGAAGAATTTTTCTTAGATTTTCAGGTGTTGAAATATATTTCTCCTTTTGTGCCAAAAGACTTTTTGTTTCGTCTGGATTTGGAGGGTTCCTTTTCTCGTTATAAACACTATTAAATGGCTTAGTATTTAACGCCTTCTCAAATGCCTGATCTATTTCTGCTTCTGGGATATTCGGAATGTTAAGATCTTGAAAAGATGATAAAGCTGCTAAAATTTTGTCAACGTTTGTTCGAGAGCTATCAGTTGTTGAAGAATTCAAAGAGATAACGTGAGTTAAGTAAGTATCAGGTTTTTTTTTGACAAAAATTGGTTGAAACCTACGAGAGCATTTTTTCATATCATCTAATGTCTTAGTAATTTCCTTCGGGGTTTTTGCAGGGAAATAAGGGTGGTGATCTTCTCTTGCTAAGACACGACCAGTGGTAACTTTCCAAGATCCACCATCCAAATCTGGATGCTGATATTCTCGATTGTATAGTGATTGTTCATGTATTGAACGGTACTCAAAAGCAATAAAAACCGGGCAGATTAAAAACTCTTGGCCAATAAGTTGATTGGGCAAAACCCTAGGGCCTTTTTTACCCAAAATTTTTGGATTTTGCGCAATTTTATTTTCATTAGGATAAAGATTAGCTATAACATTGGCGTTATACACAGTTGAAAGGGTTGAAATTTCAGATATAAAATTTTTTCTGATCGACAAAAGAAAAAAAGTGCTGTCAGCAATAATAGCTGAACAAAGACTTTCTTTAAAAGGAATTCTTGATTGTGAGCTAGGTAGATTCGAAAGTCCAGCTTCAAAACATTCTATTGCGTACTGATAAGTATGATCTTCGATGAGAGAAGAAAGTAACCGAGTTTCCTTTTTTTTAAAGAACTTGAGAGAAGTCTTGATGGGTGTATTAATGACTACATCATTATTAGGGATAACTTTCCATTTAGGAAACAAGTTGTTTAGTGTTTCACTAACGGTGGTTTTTCCACATCCAATAAGTCCAACATTCATAAAAAAATACATATTAAATACCGGAATATCATCCTTTGCAAATAAACATACATCAGGAAGATAATGATCAACTTTTAAAGGCCTAACTTTATGGGATATTTGGGGCAAGCTGATTTTTTTTGATGATTCAAATCGCTTTAAATGTTTGTCTCGAATTTTTTCGGTAGTAGGAAAATAAACTGAAAAATTCTTGTTTTTGTTAGATTATTAAAACCAAAATTAAAAAGTGATATTACTCACTTCTTCGGTAGGAGATGTTTTATTTTTCTTGTTTTTTTTTTTAGTATTGGAAATTTTGTTTTTGTCAACTAATTTTTCGGTCTTAGAAGTTTCATTATTCTTGTTTACTTTTGATGATTCATATCGATAGTGGGTATTTTGAATCAATCGAATGTTAAAAATATTTCCCGAAAATGTTAAACCGCCAAAAGTATTTTGACATTCCCCACATATTAGCGAGTTAAAATTTACTCTCGTTAACGATCGTCTAACAATGTTGTTCATTCTATGGTTTAAAGAGCATCAGGATTTAGGTTCAAATACTGATACAAAAGTGATCAAAAAAAAAAGTGAACTGCTGAAATTTTTATCTACTATGATCAGTTTCCAACCTTAGGCTAATTAGCCTAAGGTTGGCATTATAATGCTAAGCATACATAATTTTTTTTGTATTGATTGATAATTAATAATTGATTACTAATTATTAAACTGATTGAATCCACCAAATTTTCATTTTAAGAATCATTTTAAGAAAACAGAAATGTTAAATCAGATTTAAAATCGTATGTCAACGAGAGCTAGAGATTCTTTAACGCAGCATTTTTATTTTTATTTTATTTTCATATTTTTCATTGAATATATGTTTTTAAATTAGAAATTTGGGCTCGAAAAAATTTAAGAATGCTATGTTTTTTTGGTAGAAGAACCATATCTCCTTTGATTTCTTATAGTTTTAACTCACGATTTAATCAAACTATACCCAAAATTTCTAGAAATCTGAGCCTTCAGATATTTGATAAAAGGTTATTTTCTACAACCTTTTGTCATGAGTTTCAAGGCTTAGGTAAAGGGAGAAAAAAGGGATTATCTCCTCAAAAATACACTAAAATTTACTCTAGCATGTTAAAAAGTGGACCTTTAGTATGGATCGATTGTGAAGTAAGTATAACACACACAGTTTGATTTTTGTTTAATTTTAGTTTTGCTGTATATTAATTTTTTAGATGACTGGGTTGGATGTATCTAATGATCATATAATACAAGTATGTTGTTTTCTTACAGATACAAATCTTAATCTTCTTGATGATAAAGGATTTGAAAAAGTTATTCATTACCCTAAAGAGATATTGGACAATATGAACGAATGGTGTATTAAGAACCATACCAAGGTATGACCAAAATTTAAATCAGTTAAATTATTATAAATCTAACAAGCTTACAGAGTGGATTAGTTAATGAAGTTTTAAATTCTACAAACACTGTTCAACAAGTTCAATCCAGTCTACTTGAATATATAAAAAAGTATATCGAAAAGCCAAGAATAGGTGTTTTAGCTGGAAATAGCGTTTATTTCGATCGATTTTTTATGATGAGAGAATTTCCAGATGTTGTTGACTATTTAAGTTATCGACAAGTTGATGTATCGACAATAAACGAGATTGGTAAACGTCATAATCCCCGATTAATGATGCAACTTCCAGAAAAAAAGTATAATCATACCGCAAAAGAGGATATCATGGAAAGCATTGAAGAGTTAAGGTGGTATTACAAATATTATTTTGTATCAAACAAAACGGGATTATAGTCCAAAAGACTCCCAAACGTACTATTTTAGATAATAATGAAAAATCATGGTTAACATAAATCCTTTGTCATTTGAAAACAACCTAAAGTAAAAAAATTAAACTAAAAATACACCAAAAGAGTTTATAAAACCGAATTGTTCAGTTATTCTATTAATATAATGAGCTGAGAACAGCAATAAGGCTTGTTAACATGTATCACAAGCGTTACTTTGGGAGGGTAGGTTGGTGATGTAAAGAAATATTTGTGTATTTACTTTTTTTCGTTTTATCACCACCTAGTTTATCATAAAGATAAAGGCCACCAAAAGTTAAAATGATTCCAAACTGTTGCACCCCTGAAACTTTTTGTCCAAACCAGATAATAGAGACCGAAACGACAGCAATACGTTTGATAAGACTTGCAACAGAGTAGGTGACCGGAGATACCATGCCCAAAACTTGAAAAGCAAGCATATTTTGCAAAAAATGAGATAATCCATTTAACAAAAAAGCAGAAATTAAAAAATTTGATGCAGAAGAATCTTCAGCTGAAAAAAATTTTCCGGCACCATGAAAGTAATCCGAAAAAAAAGAAATCCCTTCTGAAAAAAACCATAAGGGCGATGTTAAAATGAATGCAAGCGATGAACAATAACACAAAATATTAAGCTTATCAATGCGCGGAGTATTATCAATATCGGGAATTCCACTAGTTGAATCAGGTCTATGCGTCAATAGCTTTTTCGAATAGATGTTTTGTGAAACAAAAATCAATGAAGCAATTAATGCATAAATGATGCCCTTTAGTTGAGAAGAAAGTTGGGTAGAACAGGTCATTATGACACCACATGTAAGTGGAATAAGGGTCAAATAAGTCCTAGAGGGATATTTAACTCCAAATACAACTCTATAAGCTGCAACTGTGAAAAGTGGTGATAGAGCCTTAATGGTATGAACTAATGAAACTGGGATTTGAGAGGTAGCCATATGCGAAAAAATATGGCCAAAAAGCTGAAAAATACCCATAGGAAGAGTGGACATGATAATCTCCTTGGTAGGTGATCTAAATCCAGAAAGTGAAACAGTTCCAGCTGGAAGAAGTTTGTAAAATTTATGAGATATTTGAGATAACTGGATAGTAGACAAACCCAGACAAACTGCTAAGAAAAACTGGATCATAGTAAGGGTGACTGGATATGGAAAAACAGTCAGTATATATTTATTAAGAGTGTTTGAAACGACAGATGATGTGTACCAAGATATACACAATAAAATTAATGGGAGCGATATTGGTGCTGCTAAAGAACTAATTGTCTTCTGAGTGAGAGATCGACTTCTAGGACGGTTTCCGGTAAATGATTGAGAATTAGCGTTTTCAGAATATTCTAAACTATTTTCGACATGAGAACCATGGTTGAGACTAGGACTTGCTGGCCGAGCAACTGCATGGGAAAATAGGGCACGTCGATCGGATGTTATAAATGGAAGCCTATTTGTTGAATTTCCACTAGATGTGCTACTACCACTATTGCTCCGACTTCGACTTCGTTCAAAAGAAGAGACACCAATGATACCTGGGTTGTTTCTATGGTGGGATTCTGATATGTTCTGAAATGGCTGAGAAGATGTTGGAGATTCAGTATACCCTGAAGTACCATGAGGTGGTGTAGAAATACTTGGTGATAAGGGTCGTGTTTGCACTTGAATATGAGGTTTTCCGACGTCCTTATGGAACGAAGGGAAAGACGTGGTAGTAGCAACTGTAGCCATGTGAATGTATTGATACCAAAACGTAAACCAAGAAAAAGGGTTGATAACGATGGAAAAGAATAAAAATCAAAACAAAAAAGAAGAACAAATGCTTTGAAAAGTTATATGACGTTTTGTTTTTTAGCCGAACAATGTGGCTTAGTAACCATAAAAAGGAGTTGTCACGTACGTTCTTAACACAAAGGTTTTATTTTTAGTGCTGTCAACAACTATTGTAACAAACGACTTCGGTGCACCAGTTTTTGTAACAATTCAAAGGCTGGTTAAACAACCTCTTGCTACTCTTAAGCAAAATGGTTGACTTGTATAAGAGGCCATATACACTGGCTCACCACCAACCTAAAAGGTTAACAGGTATATTAACAGTTTTTTTTGCGTCGATTTTATTTCTTCTATCATGTTTTTATTCATTGAAGTGGTATCATCCTGAAAAAGCAGGATGTGCCATGTCATATATGTATCAATCATATGCAAAGCTGAAATCGTTCGATTCTAATCATACTCGGCTTGCGAATCGATATTCATTATTTCTTTATCGAGATGCCAAATATGATGGGACTCCAGACGAAAACTTTAAACCTGATGGAGTTCCGGTGTTTTTCATTCCAGGAAATGCTGGATCATATCGCCAGGTCCGTTCTATTGCATCGTTAGCAGCAGAGATAACTGCTTCATCTAGAAAAACCATTCCAAGACTTGACTTTTACACAGTTGATTTCCAGGAAGATTTTACAGCATTTCATGGAAGAACATTACTTGATCAAGCTGAATACGTCAACGATGCAATTCAGTATATTTTGAAGCTATATGATAAGAGCGATCCGGATATTCCACATCCTAAATCTGTTATTATTATTGGCCACTCAATGGGTGGATTCATTGCACGTTCGTTAGTTGTTTTGAATAACTATTTACCGGAATCAATTAATACGATAGTTACTTTAGCTACCCCTCATACAATGCCACCACTTACTTTTGACTCAGAGATGTCTAGAATTTATAATCAGGTAAATCAGTATTGGGCAAAATCATTTTCAGAAGAAAGTGTAAATCGAAATCCTTTATCATCCGTTGCATTAGTGTCAATAGGTGGTGGTAAGTTGGACAATATGATTCAGTCTGATTACACATTAGTTTCTCCGTTGATATCCCCCAGTAACGCCTTTTCAACTTTATCAACAACTATTCCCGGTGTTTGGACTTCCATTGACCATTTGGCAATTGTATGGTGTCACCAGTGCAGATACGCGTTGGTAAGATCTCTTTTGGATATTGTGGATCCATCGCTGTCTTCTAAAACAAAGCCATTATCTCAAAGAATGGAAATTTTTGCAAAGTATTTGCTTAGTGGCTTCGAACCTTATCAGTATAACAAACAAATGGCCATCAAAACCCCAAAAAGATTTGTCATAAAAGTAAATGAGGATTCACAATCTTTATTTCAAACTTCCAAGATCAGCAATCATATTCCTCTAAAACGTCTTAATCTTTTACCACTTGATAAAGAAAATAACGATAAAAACCAAATGGCACATATTATCGATGATCCAGAATCTGGCATTTCTTATTTACTATGCTCAAAGTTAAAGAATACTCCGGATGAAGATACAATCAGTTTAGATCTTACTGAATCTATTGAAGGCCCAAGAACTTACTTTTACAGTTGCACTGAAATACATTCAGAAGATGCCAAAAGCATACCATACTCGACCAAACAAAACACGGAATCTTTTGAAAGTGGCTATTTCCCCAATGTTGGGCTAAAATCGGCTCGCTACCACTTATTTAATGTATCTCAAGAATTAACAGATTTCGACTTTATTGCAGCGTTAACTGATTTACAAAAACAAGGAAAAGGGTCATTAATAAACATCAATGGGGGCTTTAACCCAACTACTGTTGAGGTTAAATCTACAACATTGAGTCTTTTGTTAAAAGGATTTAAAATCAAGCTAAAACCACTGGAGTATATTGATATATCATTGAAAAGTGCAACATCAGGTTTAATTTCTTATAAAGCTAAAATTAATTCTAAGAGTATTTGTGAGCAACCCTCAAGTTCTTCCGGGTTTACCTTCTTGATTAGACAGTATGTTTTAGATCCTTTTGAATCGAAATGGCATGTTAATGCTGGTGAGTCGAGACCTGTTTACATTTCTTTTCATGGTGTGAAATCACCCTTTGTTCCATACAATAAACATCAAAGCGATAATCTCCATCTTCAAGTTTTTTCTCCCTTTTTTACTGAAAATACAGACAAATGTGGACCTGTTACGATAAAAATATCTGTTGATGTGTGGGGATCTCTTTCGAATTATGTTATTAGATATCGCACTTTAATAGTTCCATTTGGATTTTCAATTACTGCTTCTATTTTGTGGTTGCAGTTCTGGCTATATCTCAAAACAGGAGAATTTATCTCATTTTCATCAGGACTTGACTGGATTGTCAGTAACCTTTTGCTTCGAATTATTCCAGGAATTATATTATCGTATGTTTTTTTATCGTTTGAAGCAACTAGAAACATTTTATACTACCTTCTGCAATTTCCTTATCTTTTCATCACACGTTCCACGCCATTATCATATTTACCTCAGTTCACGCAAAATGAAACATTGATTGGGGAGTCACAATTATCACTTTTACTTGTTGCACCACTTGGATTCATTGTTTCTTTAGGATTTGTCATTTTGGTATACTATGTTATATTTTTCCCCATCTCAAAAGTTGGAAAATATCTAGCAAATATTGATAAAACAGATAATGAAACTAAAAACAGCTTGCAGAAAGTTAATTTATACCCTATAATAGTTGCATTAGTTGTTGTATTTGGATTGTCGTTTTTTATATTTCCTTATACTTTAGCTTTATTTGTCGGCCTATTATACATCTTATTTTATTATGGGAAAGCATCATATTATTTCTACAAAACCGAAGGGTCTGCTCTAGAAAATAGTTTGAGAAAAGAGAAAGATGATATAAAAGCAATTTCTGTGGCATTTATTTCATATAACATGATAGAATCGTTCTCTATGTTGCTTTTCCTTTCTGTCATTCCCGTTGGTGTTCCTATTTTTATTGCATGGATTCATCAAGTGATTGAAAACTCCTTGTTTTCTAAGTTTTCTTCACATCATAACATTCTCTATCTTATTCCAATGCTTTTATCAATAAAAACAGTTGTTAAATTGACCGATATGATAGCCCAATGTTCTCCTCGTGGAAAAAAGGCATCGGCACCAAGTCAAAATCAAAATCAAAATCAAAGTGCTACCCCACTACCTCCTGCATCTTCGCCATTAATTTACCCTGCTATTATCATTTTAAAATATTCGGCAGCCTTTACCTTTATATTTGGATTTTTACATGTTTATTCAATTCAAAACTTTTCATTTTTATTTTCGATATACCTATTTATTTTGGTTCATTGGAATAGAAATATATAATTAACTCTTGAAATAAATTCGACAAATTTCATTGTAAACGAACACCTGCAATGGGGCCGGCACGCTGGTCCTCTTCATTAGTGAAAATACTTTCAGACATTTTCTTTTTTTCTTCTGACTGTCTTTTAATTTGTTTTTCAATTTTTCCTTTACCAGGGCCTTTACCATGGAACTGATGAGATAAATGTTTATATGCTTCTTTTTGAGATAGCAAACGCCCAGTTTCATCGCGATATTCCAGATTTATTTTGGGTTTGTAATTTTCAAAACGTTTTTGTGCAATTTGTGCGTCTTCTTTATCACGTTCCATGTTTTCACGTTGTGCTAGAGTCTCTCGATCTTTTTGTGTTAGCTTGTCAAACTTTCCAGTAGCCCGGTCTTTTTCACGTCGATGAGCAATTTCTATATCTCTTTCTATGCGTGCAAGCTTCATTCTTTTGTTCCAGTCTCTTTGTTCCCGTTTAATTCTTTCCTCTTCTAGCTGCTCTTTTGTTTTTTCCTTAATTACGCCACGAGATCGCAAAAGTTTAAGAGCGTCAGCCATACCTCCTGATAATGTGGGTTCGTTTGGAGCGAGTGCAAATGGCGCTTGAGATGCTTCTTCCTCAGATCTCTTAGCTTCATTAGGATTGTCATCTTTCTTTTCTGTACGGGATTCTTCAGATGTAGAAAGTGAAAAGGAAATACTTTTTGTTTCATCTCTTATAATATTTTCTTTGCTCTTTTCTGTTTCGGGTTCTTCGCTAGCTTTTCGTAAAACTGCCAAAAAGTCTGTCGTTTGGTTAATAACCATTCCGCTGTCTCTTAAATTTGTTGATCCAGCTGCATTTATTTCCTCTTGTTCTTCTCGTAACTTTTCAGCAATTTCTTGTGGCGTTTCAATTCTTTTAACTTTCGATGTATGCTGAATTTTTCTTCTTGAAGATGCTAATAAGTTCTGCAGTTCTTCATCATCTTCTCCTTGATCTATCTCTTGATAATCATCTTCCCTTTGCCTTTTTCTTCCAGCTGACGATGCATAATCTGACGTTTTATTTGATTTTTTTAGAGATTTCTTCTTTTTCTTAATCTTGGGTGCTTTTCCTCCAGATATCGGAGCTTGGTAATCAGACGACTGTGTTATTGTTGTATTAATAATATCGCTAAATTCAAATTCATCCAAGTCTGCAACTTTTTTTGTTTGTTGTTCCTGATGAGTTTTAGCAGTCTTTTTCTTTGAATGATTTGTCGATGAAATAGCGATAGATGAATTGTCTAGAGTAAACCCTTTTGATTTTCTGTTGTTTATAACATCATCATATTTCGATAAAATGCCACTGTTATCTTCATCGTCATAATCATCATATTGCAGTCTTTTTATTCCCTTTTTTGCCTCTAATTTTTCCTTTAGATTTTCCTTCTCTACTATATCAGTAGATTCAAGAACGTCACCTTCTTCTTCTTCGTCTAAAACAGACCTATCCTTTAGAGTCAAAATCACACTTTCACCTTCTTTAAGTACTTCACCAATATCATGAGCCACCTTGACACCAGAAAGATCTTTGGATGTATATAGACCTTCAATAGTACTGTTGGTCTTTTTAGGTGGATTACTCACCATCAAACCACCTGACGTTTTAGCTTTTTGAGACTGGCGTAGTTTTTTCAGCCAGTCCAAGGTAGAAATCTCCTCGTCTTCTCCTCCTCCTAATGCCAAAGTAGATGTTGACTTTCTTAAAAGTGCCTTTTCTTTTTGTTTCTGGATTCTCTCTTGAAGAGCAAGATTCCTTTTCTTGGCGTTTTCCTTCTCTTGCATGTCTATCCAGTTTTTTCGAGCCTGGGAATCTTGATCTAACGAAGAGGTACTGTTAACATCAGTGTTTGATTCCTCAGTTTTGACAATAGGCTTAAGACCCAGAGAAATACGAAGTTTATTGGTTTCTTCAAGTGATATTCCCTTAGAATCACCAATATCTACCTTTCCTTTTTTCTCAACTTCGGGTAACGCTACCTCTTTTTTAGATTTAGAAGGATCATTTTTAGAAGAGTCTGGTAACGGTATAGGCCGTAAACCGAGCTTAACTCTTAACTTATTGGTTTCTTCGATAGAAATCTCAGAAACATTATCATCTTTAGTCATATTTTGATGGGTAAGTAATAACAGTAATTTCACAAATTTTTAAATAAAATATCCTACCAGAATAGAGAGCGCTGAACCTAAAATAGCTTTTTATTAGAATATGGTACGAGTGTTGATTATGAAACTGGTGTAATAGTCAACATGGAGAAAATCTTAATGGCCTAGTAAAGGAAATTTAAATAAAAAAAATTGGTGGTGGAGAAATCAGTACCACAACCAAAAAAGTAATAACATAAGATACCCACAATGAGTATATCAGCCTCACCATGTCAAACGATTCACATCTTTCTTTATGATATCTGATTCTTACTTTTTCCATAATACAATTTTTTAACTGTTTTATATTAATAGTGGCTTCACATATAATTAAAGAAAAATGGCATTATCATCTTCGCACGAGCAACAGGTAGATGAGTTTATTTCAAGCAATGAGATGGGAAGAGAGATTGAATCTAGTCTTTCTAACATGGTATGCTAATTTTTTTTATATGTTAATCATAAACTAAATTTTTTTCACAGCTTAAACAGTTAAATGGATTAGAAAGAGATTTAAATCGAAAACGTGAGTAATTTTTATAGCTATCAATATGATTTTGACTAATAATTCAACTGTCAATAGTTGATGATGTGGGTTCGAGCATGGACAAGCTCGAAAGAACATTAATTAGAGAAGCCGAAGAAACAGAACGTGCTAAAAATTCTACAATCAAATTAAATGAAGTATCAGCGACTAATGAAACTTCGAAATGATTTATATTTAAGCTTTCATTTTTTATATAAATATATAAGATTTCCTTATTTTAAGGATGATTTTGTGGTGAAAATAGCCTTGTGTAATTGTCAGTATGATGTGTGTAATTTTTAGAATATTAAAATTTTTAAACATAGATTAGTATGTTACGCCACTTCGCGTTTTCCAAAAAAAAAAAAAAATCTAAAATCAACATTTTTTAAAGAAATAATTATTGTCATGGCGGAAAAGAAACAAAGTAAATTACAAGCTACCAAAGGTAGTAATTCTTTAGATAACGGGAACAAAAGACTTTCAAAAAATCAATGGCGGCGGCAAAAAGCAAAGCTGAAGAAGACCGAGCAGCACAAGAACGAGGATAAACAAAATGGGGACATCAAAACACAAGCATCTACAAATGGAAATATAGTTGAGGATAGGAAAGTTGAAATTTTATCAGAGGATACCAGCGAACGCGAGCCTCTCAATGGCTCAACAAAATTGTTTGAAACAGCAGTAGATATTGCCCTTAACGATCCTCAATTTGCAGAATTTAAACAAATTATTGATAAATTCCACACGGAAGAAGCTGGAGAAACTGTTGACAACAGCGGAGATATATTTTATAGTGATGATGAAGGTGCAGGGAGTGGAAGTGAGAATAATCAAGATTCCCATGATGGACAAAAACTAAGCAAAAAGAAGTTAAAGGTCATGTCTAAAATGCCACTGGTAGAGTTGAAATCAATTGCGCCAAAACCAGAGCTAGTGGAATGGTTTGATGCAGACGCCCCTGATCCTATACTTGTTGTTGAAATCAAAGCACAGCGTGGTGCTGTACCTGTTCCAGATCATTGGCAGGCTAAGCGGGAATATTTATCCACTAAAAGAGGAATCAAAAAGGCACCATTTGATCTGCCAAACTATATTAAAGATACTGGCATTATGGAAATGAGAAACGCTTTGAAAGAAGATGAACAAACTTTACGACAAAAAACACGAGAAAGAGTTCAACCTAAAATGGGAAAGCTTGATATTGATTATGTCAAACTGCACAATGCATTTTTCAAATTTCAAACCAAACCTAGACTGTATCGGTTTGGAGAATTATATTATGAAGGAAAAGAAGCAGAAATAAATATGGATAGCTTTAGACCTGGAAAGCTTTCTGCTAGACTTACTGAGGCACTAAGTATTCCATTGAATGCACCTCCTCCATGGCTATTAAATATGCAAAGATATGGTCCGCCGCCGAGTTACCCTGGTCTTAAAATACCAGGATTAAACGCACCAATTCCACCAGGTGCTCAATGGGGATTTCAGCCAGGTGGATACGGAAGACCCCCACTTGATGAAAATGGAAAGCCACTATATGGCGATGTTTATGGTATTACTCAGGCTGCTGAAAAAGTCAATCTCGGGAATCCAATTGAACGTACACCGTGGGGTCAATTTTTCCAAGACGAATCTGAGGATGAATCCGATAATGGAGAAGAGCTTGAAGGAGAAGAAGAAGAGGAAATTGGAGAGCCTGATTTTGATGAAGAAGGTCCAGAGTATGCTGAAGAAGGTCCGGTTGATATTGAGCCTAAAACAGTTGAATCTGCTGAGTTTGAGCTACGTAAGAATATCATAAAAGAACAAGAGCAATTTGAAAAGCCACGAGAGCTATTCCAGGTTCTCAAAGAAAGAACTTCGGAAAAATCAGGGTTTATGGGCCACCAAAAAGTTTACGAAATTCCACCCTCTGGTACAAGAAATGTGAGTCATTTGTTTGATAATGAGAATGCTTCTAACATTAATAAGGTTGATACTGTACAGAATGATTCATCCGTTAATTACTCTTCAAAGGAAGAAGAAATTAAGCAACGAAGTTCAAAGTTTCAAGATGATTTAGATGAATTGGTAAGTATCGGTATTTTTTTTTCCTTCTTATTAAGACTAACAAATCAAATAGCTTGAAGGCGAATCACGAAAAAGATTACAGCGTGAACAAGTTCAGAAAAGTGGTAAAAGATCTAGAAGATAAGACTATCCACAATAAAGATTGGCATCAGTAAATTAATTTTATGTAAATTTCATTCTATTATTAATATGTATTGATTATCGGGTCTTCTTGGTGCCTCGGTTTTTCGCCTGGTTGGTATTGGATGTAGAACTTCCGGTGGCTGTAGATGCTGTAACAACAGGTTGGGCTGGTTTTTCTGACCCACCACCTTCTTTGGCCTGTTTACTTTCTTCTTGTAGCTTTTTAAGCGCTTCTGGATCTAAATTCTAGTTAATAAACAATTCAATTCAACTCAATTTGTGACAATGTTCACACATACCGATTCCTTCCATAAGTTTGGGAAAAACAAAAACCATGGCAAGTGAGGCAATCATCATAAGATTCATTGGACTCTTAAGGAAATTAAAAATGCTGAATGATTCTCTTTGGGCAACAAACTGTGGTCTGAAAACAGGATTGATAACAAGAGGATATTCAGCGGAAGGTCCCACATCCGACTTGTAGTCATGGCCATCAAAGATTCTATTGACAGTAACTTGCTCAGGAGAAATTGTAACCTTCAACTTAGCACCACGAGTCTCGAGTAAGCCCGAGTTAAGAACAACAAGATATTCTCCGGCAGAAACATTAGAAAAAATGAAGTTACCTTCAGTGTCACGCAAGTAGGTTTCTTGAAAAGGAAGCTCGCCATTAGAAGAATCGCTTAACAATTGGACAGTTGTCAAAGAAACTTCTTTATCAGAGAGGGGTAGTATTCTGTCATCAATGAAACCTCTAAGAACATATCCCGAACATATCCGAGAAAAGATAAAAATGAAAAATGGTAATAAAGCCAACATTTTTGTTTTGTGATTTTGTTAAAGGCGCACTAATATTTTCAATGTTGGTCTGTGTATGAGTTCCTGTTGGTGTCTGTTGGAGTCTATGCAAAGTAGAAACATAATATTAGTATAGTAGTAATATATTATCTAATTATTAGTAATTATATCTTGATTAAATTGACATTTTTTTAGGCTACATCCTGTATCGGCCCTAATTAAAATTTAAGGTTAGGGTAAATTCATAGACAAAAATTTTAGTTTTAGAATAATATTATAACAAAACCGTTAGAATGTCATTAATTGATATCTTTATTCATAAACTCTACCTGATTCTTTTTACTGGTTTTTTTTCATTTATAAATGAAATTAGTAGAGTTACATATTTATTTCATTTTATCTATGATTTTTTGAGTGTATTAATTAAAAATGAATAGTAGCAATTCTAAAAATGAGCAGAAGTATGTATTTTTTATGTTTTAATGGATCAATAGTTCGTTACTAATAAGAATGTTACAGGAAACGGCCTTTAGATGACAACAGGTCTGAAAAACAAAAGGTTAAGAGAGTTTTAACAGAGGAGGAAAAAATACTTATTGATATCAATACCGTTGAACATGCTGTTATTTCACTTAAACGTGCACTCAGCACAATATTTAAATACACGCCTTTGATTGAAAAGGCTAGAAAAGGTCCGACGGCAGAACAAAAGTTTCATTCGAAAAAAATGATGTTAGCACGCTATATTATGGAACAAAAAAAACAGAAGCGGTTGGGTGTTTTTAGTAATATCCAGTCAGTTTTAGATGACGAGATTCCAAAACCTCAATATGTACAAGCACCTGAAGCATCTGTGGATGACGAAAGAAAAACATTTGAAAATTATTGCGAGAATCAAATAAAAAACTATATGAATGACTACAGTGATTTTGAAGCACCTCAGCAAGAGAATAATAGAGAAACTGAGATATGGCCACCACCATTACCACCTATACCTGATTTTAATATACGTCATACAGTGTTTACCCATAAATCGATGGGCACTTTATACCATGCTTCTAAATCTTCAAATAAATTAGAGGTTCACAATGAAAGATACGAGTTTCTTGGCGATTCGATTGTCAATATGATGTTTGCCATTATTTCTTGTGAAAAACTTCCAACTGTTACTGAAGGTGATCTTACGGCATTTCGCCGCCAGTTGATTTCAAATAATACATTGGCTCTATGGGCTAAAATCTATGAATTGGATAAAAGGTTGCGAATAACCCCACAATTTGTGCATAATAATACTTATGTAGTTGGTGGAAATGATCAAAATAAGGATACCCCAAAGTATGTTGCGGATGTATTTGAAGCTTATGTTGGAGGGTTGTGGACTTTTCATCTTAATAACGATGGTATTGATGCAGCTTTTAAAATTGTAAAAAAATGGTTTGAAAGTCTTTCAGAGCCATTTTTTGAAGCTATTTGGAAAGCTGCCAATTTGGCACCCCCTCCAGAAGTGAAACACATCACGGCAGAAAAAAATGAATTGAAAAACAAGTCAACCCATAAGGATAACAATCAAAAACTACCCGTGAAGCGAAATGTGATGGGGTTGGAATCTATGAACAACTCTATAAATGGCTTAATAGATAACAGGGTTCCAAATAAAAATGCAAAATCAATACTTTATGGTAAGATTGGTAATGCTTCTTTAAAAATTACTTATGAACTGATTGCTACTGATCATGACTCTTTTACGGTGGCATGTAAAATTGGTGATGAAGTATTGGCAATTGGAAAGGCTAAAACTATAAGAGACGCTGGATGTTTTGCTGCTATGGCAGTGATAGAAGATGAAGATATTATCTATAAGTACTCAATGAAACGGGAATTGCTATCTTCAAGAGGAAGATCAGAAAATCAGCAAAACTTTGGATCGGATAATGGTAATAATCAAGAAGGCGAAGACAGTGATGATGCAATAATTATTGGGGTGTCAAATTGTGATGACCATTCTACGAAAACCAAATCAGATGACTGTAACAACGACAATGGAGACGGTGATGATGATGATGATGATGATGACAACTCTGTGATTATAACAGAAGAAAATAAATCTTTAAAAAATTCTGCAGAGACAGATATATCTTTAAACCCTAAAAAGGTTGATATTGAAAAGAATAAGGACTGGTTAGAAGGTATTGCAAGTGAGCGAGATCTTACACCGGAGACTATCAAGAAGTATGCGGAAGACCCTGTTAATACTTTGAAAAAGTTTCTGAAGCCAACTGGGAAGAATATTGAGTACGAATACAAGGAAAAAGAAAATGAATGGGAGTGTACTTTGTTGGTGGATAAAAAAATAGTTGGCACAGGTACTGGATCTAAAAAAAGTCGAGCAAGAAAGAGAGCGTCGTTACTTGCCTTGTTGACAAATCATCAGGAACTCCATAAGAGCTTGGATACAGGCAGCAGCATTTCTTAAAGGGTTTTTGCATTAGATATATATTAGGTATAATAATAATGGTTATTTGGAATAGACTTCTTTTTTTTTTTACACATAAATAACTTATAAGTTATTATTTGCCGATCAGCAATTACACATGGTGAATAATACAATCAAGTTTTTTTTTTTTTTTTCTCTTTAAAGGTTTGTTTTATATACAATTTAAATAGGCAATATATATGTATCTTAACGCCGCATTACTCAACGGTGTCAACATCTTTTAAGAGTTTTTTCAGCCGCACATTTTGGAAATCATTGCAACCTTTCATGGTAATCTACCATTTTTTTTTCAAAACCCAATCAGAAGCTGCCCAATTAGAAAGGTAACGTCTTTAAATACGCAAATTTTTTAATTTTTTTTTTTACACTTTATATTATGGGGAAAATGAGAGAAAAAAAAGTAGTAGAAGGAATATATATATAATAATATAAGAATTAAATCATGTCGTTAATAAAAATGTATCATTGAATTTTTTTTTAATTTTTTTTTAATTTTTTTTTTTTTTGTAATTGTCGTTTAAGCAAAAGCGGCAGCCGACTGGGCATCCTCAGAGGGCTGGTTCTTGAATGCAATGGAGCACTTGGCCATTGTCGGCGAGCTTCGGGAAATGGCGTCTGTGAAGTAGAAGTTAGAGATAGCCTTGGTGAGCTTAGCATCGGAGACAGGGGCATGCTTGTTCTCAGCAACGAGCTGTTCCTTAACACCGACGGCAGCCAGGGACGAGGGCTCGATAATCTCGTGGCGCAGAAGGTGTGGCGCTATCTCACCAAGTCTGTTTCTAATCTCGTATATGTCATCGTAAGGCAAGGGAGAGCCCAGGTATTCAGAAGCGGCACGGATGATCTTCCAGTCCTCACGGGCAACGCCTGGGGGACCGACAGCAGCACGGGTGGTCTGGGCACGGCCCTCAGTGTTGACATAGGTACCAGTCTTCTCAGTGTAGGCGGCACCAGGGAGGATAACATCGGCAAACTGGGCGCCAACATCACCGTGGTGGCCCTGGTAGACGACAAAAGCGTCCTTGGGGATGTCAGAGGGGTTGACCTCGTCGGCGCCAAGGAGCCAGACAAACTTGGGGGTAGTTTCGGCGACTTCCTTGGAGGGAGGAACGAAACCAACGTCGAAGGCGCCGGCATGAGAAGCGGCTCTCTGGAGGACATTGTAACCATTCCACTCCTCAGAGAGGAAGTTAGACTCGTGCTTGGTGACAAAGTTACCAATGGTCTTGAAGAAGGCGCCGGCGTCAGGGTGCTCAGCAATGCTGGAACCGACAATGATGAGGGGTTTCTTAGCAGCAGCGAGCTTAGAGCCAAACTCGCCCTTAAGAGTCTCAACAAGAGCAGAGTGGTTTTCACCAAAGTGCTCGACCCAGAAGGTGGAGTCAAAGCTCTCGCCAACGAGACCAATTTCAAGGTTGGATCTAAGGAACTGCTTGCGGATGCGGGCGTTGAGGACGGCAGCCTCGTGTCTGGGATTGGTGCCAACAAGAAGAATGACGTCGGCCTCTTCGATACCGGAGATGGTAGAGTTGAAGAGGTAGTTAGAGCGAATATCAATACCATGGGCAGGAGGAAGGTTGGAAGCGTCAGTGGCAAGGTTCTCAGAGCCAAGAGCGTTGACAAGGTCCTTCAGGGCGACGAGAGACTCAACTTCGACGAGGTCACCAGTGACGGCCTTGAATTCATTGCCAGTAACATTGAGAGACTTGTAGGAGTCAGCAATGACGGAAAGAGCATCGTTCCAAGTAGCAGTCTCAAAAGAGTTGCCAACCTTGATGAGAGGGGTGGTAAGACGCTGGGTCTTAAGGCCATCGACGGCAAATCTGGTCTTGTCGGAGATCCACTCCTCGTTGATGTCGTCATTGACTCTGGGGATAACACGCATGACCTCGACACCACGAGAGTCGACACGAATGTTGGAGCCGAGAGCATCAAGAACATCGATAGACTCGGTTCTCTTGAGTTCCCAAGGTCTGGCGCGGAAAGCGTAGGGCTTTGAGGTGAGGGCACCGACGGGACACAGGTCAATGACGTTGCCGGAGAGTTCCGAGTTGAGGTTCTTTTGGAGGTAGGTACCGATTTGCATGTCGTTGCCACGGCCGGCAGTTCCAAGCTCAGGGGCACCAGCAACATCGTTGGAGAAACGAACGCAGCGGGTGCAGTGAATGCATCTGTTCATTGAAGTCTTGACAAGAGGGCCAATGTCCTTGTCTTCGACGGCACGCTTGCCAGAGACTTCGTGGAAACGGGAGTGGTCACGACCGTAACGCATAGATTGGTCCTGGAGATCGCATTCACCACCCTGGTCACAGACGGGGCAGTCGAGGGGATGGTTGGAAAGCAAGAATTCCATGACACCTTCACGGGCCTTCTTGACACGCTCAGTGTCAGTGCGGACGACCATACCAGGGCCGACAGGGAAAGCACAGGAGGCGACAGGCTTAGGAGCACGCGCAACGTCAACCAGACACATTCTGCAGTTACCGGCAACGGCGAGCTTTTCGTGGTAGCAGTAGCGGGGGACAGTGACGCCAGCCTTTTCGCAGGCCTGGATGAGGGCGGAACCAGCCTCGACTAAGACTGTCTTGCCATCGATGGTGACTTCGACCTCCTTTTGTCTAGAGGTGGAAGATGAAAAGGGCTGGGAACGGCCTGCGACGCCCACAAGACGGGATATGCTGGAAACCTGCTTAGATAGCAGACGAGATCGTGAGAGCATTGCTGTGTGTGTATGTGTGTGTAGGGGGAGGGGAGGGATGGTTGTTGAGAGAGACAGGACTAGCCTGGGAGGGATGAGGATGGTGTGGAGATGGATGTGGTTGGTTTGAGAATTGAGATATATAGGGAAGGAAGTCAGGATTGGGAGGAGATTGTGTGTTGATGTATATTTTTTTTTTTTTTATTTTTCCCCTATGCTGTACGGGAAAAAAAAAAAAAAAAAAAAAAAAAAAAAATTGGCGGTGTTTTGCTAGAATGCATGAATAACAAAAAACATGGCGGCGCCAATTGGCTGAAAATTCCTGGTCTGTGGATAGGCTGCAGGCAATAGTGGCATTAGTAAGCAACGCGTTGTGGTGGTGGGGGGAGGAAGAACATCGGCTAGCCAAGTGGAGGGTTTCATAATTATAAAGCAGGCTAATATATATATATTGGGTTAAAAAATGAACTCAATGTTGCTAAAATATCATAATGACCTTCATGGATCTTCAATTATTATAGGTGTTCTGCCGGGTAGTTGCTGGGCGGTGCTTGAAGTGTCCGGTCAGCACAATTGACGGGCGCTCATTGGCGTGGGGCTCTTAGAAAACGCATTTGAGGGTTAGGGTTTATTTTATTTTTTTATAATAAAATAATATTATATAAAGGGTAAGGGTTTTTATATTTAATTGATTTTAATTTATTTTTTTTTTCAAAGACATAATTTTTTTTTTTTTTTTTTTTTTTTTGAAGTATAAATATCTGCAACTTCCCACTTAATTTTTTATTTCTTTTTTCCTTTTCTTTTCTCCTTGTGTTCAATCCCTTCAATTATTGTAGACGCTTGCTCTTCTTTTTTTTAAAAGATACTTTTTTCACGGCAAACGTTCTCTACATGAAGGGAGAGACCAAGACGGCTATCCTAGCTGGAGCTGCAGACTTTTCTCTATGACTGCTTTGTTTCCTTACCAAGGTTAGTACATTTTGCAATCTATTGTATTTGGTTTGATTGCATTGATTTTTAGTATATATATATATGTATTTACAAAAGAAAAAAAAATTAATTGAATTCTAAATGTCTTTTAAAATTTTTTTTTTGATTTTTTTTCTCTCGGAACTTGAAAATCTTGTTTTGAATATAAGTCTTGAAATTTTCAGATTTTTTTTTTTTGAATTCTTTAAACGGACCTCCGATGATGAAGATAAAAAAATTTTTTTCTCTACATTTTAAAAATTACAATTGTGTTTGAGATGTTACAGACTTTTTAGTTAGTTACATTATAAGGTTTTGGTGTTAAAAAAAAACAACAACTTGTAATATACAAACCCCGTGGAGTTTTTTTTTTTGTTTATAAAATTAATTAATTTATTTATTGTGGCATACTTACTGTGGCTTGTAATGTCACGTGATAAACCAATATTATATTTCATTGTTACATCATTGTTACATTATTGTTACACCTCTCATTGGCAGTCCCCGATAATTCCACTTAAAATTGTAAAATTTCACTCGCCACAGCAAGCCACATTGTATTGCAATATCTCAACGGGTGCCCGGCCAATCCCCGCCCGCTCTTTTGTCATGGTGGCTTCATCGGCGCCACAGATGACGGCAAATCACGTGTTATGTCACAACCCCGGTGGCTTGATGGCGCGACTCCCCCAAACGCCACACTGCCAATTTGGGCAATTTGTCGGCTCCGCTGCAAATTTTTCTCTTGTTTGTAATATAAAAAAAACTTCAATTCCCTTTAAATGCGATAATTTTTATATACTTTTTTTTTTTTTTTTACTTTCTTTTCTTTCCTTTCCATTCATTTTTTTTTTTTTCAAGAATCATCTTCCTAATACCCCACATTCCATCCATCTTCAAATGGTTCTGAAATCCTCTTACGAGTCTGGTTAGTAGCATAAACCTCCTCAAACTTATGTGGATCACCAATCTTTTTTTTTTTTTTTTTTTTTTTTTTGTAATAATCCACTAATTACCAATTCTCTATTACTAACTTTCAAATCTTACAGTGGCTCACATTGCCCAGAACGCTGCGGACAAGGTTTTTGCTTTTCAACCCGCTCTTTCCGTTCCTTCAGACTTTTCAAAGCACTTTGACAAGCCAGTATGTTTTAAATCATGATCTACGATCTACGATAAACTAAAATTACCTTAAAAAACCATTTTTCTAACTTGATTTTTTTTTTTTAAAGACTACCATTCGCAATGGTAATGACGGCTTTGCTCAAATTGTTGAGTACGCAACCGCTAACCCATCTTCAACAATTGCAGTTTCCGTTTCCCTCAATGAGCTTTTTAATGCAATTTCCCTGCTTCCTAAGCTTGCAGGATCTTCAACTGTCATCCACATCGACACTTCTTCTTCTTCTACCCCAGACTATGGCAAAATTGCTGCCTTAAGGCATCTCGGCTTTGCCTTTCTCCAGTCCTTTGGCGCTGCAGACTCACAGTCAGTCGCTTTTGCCTCATATCTCGTAGCAAAGTCCGCTGCCCAGCCCGTTTTCCACTTTTTCTATCCTACGGACTCGGCACCAACTTCTCCCATCTCGGCCCAATCGATCCGTGATGCCCTCACTTCTTTCAGTGCAACTGAGGAACCAGTCGTCCTTGCTGAGGCTGTTGAAGAAGCCCTGAAATACACCATCGTCAAGCCCTTTGAGTACATTGGCCCCAAAAACCCTACTGCTGCTATTGTTCTCTTCGCATCTTCCGTCGAACCTTTCCTTCAAGCAGTTTCCCAAGCTTCTTCTGCCGATTCTTATAAATCTATTGGTATTGTCCTCATCCACGCCTACAGACCATGGTCTTCTGCGAATCTTCTTAGTGTTCTTCCTGCCTCAGTCAAGAAGCTCGCTTTGGTTGAGCAGCTTTCAAGAAGAATCACTGCTTGGAGTCCGCTTGTCCAGGACTTTGTTTCTGACCTGACAAACAGCACACCCTCATCCACCCCTCCTCAAATCGTCCCCTTCCAACTCGGTGAAGTTACTCTCGACAATGTTCGATCCGCCCTCAAGGCCATTGCCGCAAATCTTAGTGCTGCTTCTCCCGTCAACAACCTTTTTATTGGCGTCAAGCCCGAGGCAGCTCCTTCCACAGAAACAAACCCTGAGGCTCAAAAGGCTGCAAAGACTTTGGAGTCGGCTTATACAAAGGTCCTTCACCAAATCTTTGAAGACCAAATTGACATTCTCAACTCGGGTGACAAGCCTACCACTGGATTTGAAAACACTCCGGAATACGGCTATGGTGCTTTCCTTGCTACCGCTGAGAAGAAGACCCAACTCGCTCACCAGGCCGAAGAGGCTGTTAAGAGCAACGACTTTGTCTCTGGTTCAAAGTCTAACCTCGTCAAGCACCTTTCTTCTTGGGTCCTTGAGTCTCGTGCTTTTACCTCTGTTCAAAAGGCCAAGCAGGCTAACGAGCAGACTAAAAAGCTCTTGGACCTGCTTCACGCTTCTGCTTCTAGCAAGACTGCCTCTGATCTTCTTAAGAGCGAAGCTCTTTTCCCCCTCAAGTCTTCGTGGATCATTGGCTCTGATGCTTGGTCTTACGATCTTGGCAATTCCGGTGTCCATCACGTCATTTCCTCGGGAAAGAACCTCAACATGCTCATTATTGACTCTCAGCCTTACTCCGAGGTGGTCGCCAACATATCCTCTCTCCGTAAGAAAGATGTTGGTCTCTACGCAATGAACTTTGGCAATGTCTACGTTGCCTCTGTTGCTGTTTACTCATCTTACACTCAGCTCCTCCAGGCTCTTCTCGAAGCTGAAGCCTTTGATGGCCCTTCAGTCGTCCTTGCCTACCTCCCCTATTCTACTGAAACTGACTCCCCTGTCACTGTTTTGCAGGAAACTAAGCGTGCTGTCGACTCTGGTTACTGGCCTCTTTACCGTTACAACCCTAATCTCGAGACTGAATCCTTCAAGCTCGATTCTTCTCGCATCAAGAAAAATCTTAAGGACTTTTTGGACCGCGAAAACCACCTTACTCTTCTTTCCCAACGCAACCCTACGTTTGCCAAGACTCTTTCTGAAAGTTATGGCACTGAAGTTCGCAACCAACAAAAGCATCGCGCAAAGGCTGCTCTCCACAGCCTTCTTGAAGGTCTTTCTGGCCCTCCTCTTACTGTTCTTTTCGCTTCTGATGGTGGTAACGCTGAGAACCTGGCCAAGAAGCTTGCTCGTCGTGCCAAGGGCCGTGGTGTCAAGTCTGTTGTCATGGCTATGGATGATTACCCCGTTGAGGACCTCTCTTCTGAGGAAAACCTTATCCTTATCACCTCTACTGCTGGTCAGGGTGAGCTCCCCCAGAATGGTCGCAACTTCTGGGAAGCCATTAAGGGCTCCACTGATTTGGACCTTGCTACTGTGAAGTACTCTGTCTTTGGTCTTGGTGATAGCCAGTACTGGCCCCGCAAGCAGGATAAGCACTATTACAACAAGCCTTCTAAGGATCTTTTCAACAAGCTCCAGCTTCTTGGTGCTTCTGAGCTCGTTCCTCTTGGCCAGGGTGACGATCAGGATCCTGATGGATACCAGCAAGGCTACAATGCTTGGGAGCCTCTTGTCTGGACCGCTCTCGGTGTTGACAATGTCGCTGCTGCTGATGAACCCCCACCAATCACTAACGAAGACATGAAAGCTGGCTCTGACTTCCTTCGTGGTACCATTGCTGAAGCTCTCAAGGATGAATCAACCGGTGCCATTTCCGCTGTTGACCAGCAGCTCACCAAGTTCCATGGTATTTACATGCAAGACGACCGTGATATCCGTGATGAGCGCAAGGCTTCTGGCCTCGAGCCAGCATACTCCTTTATGGTTCGTGTCAGACTTCCTGGTTGTGTTTCAACTCCTGAGCAGTGGCTTAAGATGGATGAGCTTGCTGACGCTTATGGTAATCACACCATGAAGATCACCACTCGTGGTACCTTCCAGCTTCACGGTGTTATCAAGAAGTTACTAAAGCCTGCTATCAGAGGTATGAACTCTGCACTTTTGGATACTGTTGCTGCCTGTGGTGACGTTGACCGTAACGTTGTTGCTGCTGCTCTTCCCAACAATAAGAAGATCCACGACGAGGTTGTCAAGTATTCTTACCTTATCAGTGAACATCTCCTCCCCCAGACCACTGCTTACTATGAGATTTGGCTTGAAGGTGCCGATGATTTGGATCAGGCCGGTTACACTGAGACTTTCCAGAGCAGACCTGATGGTCCTAAGAAGAAGAAGGTTCTTATTTCTGAGAGCACTCTTGTTGACCAGGAACCCCTTTATGGTCCTCTCTATCTCCCCCGCAAGTTCAAGATCAATATTGCTGTTCCTCCTTACAATGATGTTGATGTCTTTGCCCACGATATTGGTTTGATTGCTATTGTTGAGGACAATGAACTTGTTGGCTTCAATGTCTATGCCGGTGGTGGTATGGGTACTACTCATAACAATAAGAAGACCTACCCTAGAATGGGTTCCATTCAAGGTTTCGTCACTAAGGACAAGATCATTGATGCTTGCGAGAAGATTATGCTTGTCCAGCGTGACCATGGTGACCGTAAGAACCGTAAGCACGCTCGTTTGAAATACACCATTGACGATATGGGCAACGACGTTTTCCGTTCCAAGGTTGAGGAGCGTCTTGGTTACTCTTTTGAGCCTGAGAGACCTTATCACTTTGAGTCCAACACTGATCAGTTTGGCTGGGTCACTGATGAGACTGGTATGCACCACTTCACCACCTTTGTTGAGAATGGTCGTGTTGAGGACACTCCTGAGCTTCAGTTCAAGGCTGGTTTCCGCGAGCTTGCTACCCTGATGAAGGGTACTGGTGCTGAATTCCGCTTGACTGCTAACCAACACATTCTTGTTTCCAATGTTAGTGACGAACTGTTACCATCCGTTAAGGAAGTTATGGCCAAGTACAAGCTTGATAACACTGCCTTTTCCGGACTCCGTCTGTCGTCCGCTGCCTGTGTGGCTTTCCCTACATGTGGTCTCGCTATGGCCGAATCAGAAAGATACCTTCCTCGTCTTATTACCAAGCTTGAGGAGGCTCTTGAGGAGTACGGTCTCCGTCATGACTCCATTGTTATGCGTATGACTGGTTGCCCTAACGGTTGCGCTCGTCCCTGGATGGCTGAGATTGCCTGCGTTGGTAAGGCTTTTGGCGCATACAACTTGATGCTTGGTGGTGGTCACCGTGGTGAACGTATCAACAAGCTGTACCGCAGTTCGCTTAAGGAGGATGAGATTTTGGCTGAGCTTAAGCCCATGTTTAAGCGATGGTCTCTTGAGCGTCATGAAGGCGAGCCATTTGGTGATTGGGTCATTCGTGCTGGCATCATTGCTGCTACTAGAGAAGGCAAGGACTTTTGGGAAAATGTTGCTGAAGAATAAATTTGATGGAAGTTTGATTTAAAAAAAAAAAATTGGGGATTTTTTTTGGTATATAGAGGATTATTACTATTATGGTTATTTAGATGAAAAAAAAATATAATAATAAATAAATAAAAAAAGAAGAAAAAATTTTGAATTTCAACAGACCAAATTCCGATCGGGGAATGGATATGCGGCGGAGTTAACAACCATTGGCAACGAGTATAAAAGGAAAGCAAACCTCCAAATGACCCTTAGAAATCGGCACATCACCACAGATGTTTACAAACTTTTTTTTCTAAAGAATAGGAGTCTACATGAGCGGACATATCGTAAACAACGGAAATTTGCACTCTTTTTTTTGCCAATTCTTCTTCCCGCCTGGACACCGGGTACATTTAACTGACGTGGGGGCCTTAAGGAGGGGGGCATAGCCCGATGTGATATAAAAACAGGCTCATTTTTCTCCACATTGCAGTACTTTTTTTTTTTTCCTCCCCACAACTTATATACCATTCAATTTTCATCGATTTATTCCAACATCCACCCCGCATCTTCACCGAATACCCCCTCCCTCTCCAATCTAAATACTTTCAATCATGTCTGCTGAAAACATTGAAGCTAACCAAGAAAAGTTTGTGGGTGAACATGCCCAAAAGTACGACAATGAGTCGTCTTTCCAATTAGGTCGCGAGATCTCGCGTAAAGTCTTGGAGTACCCCAACCCCTCGGCCCCTGCAGCCGGATCTCCTGAAGCTCTTGAGGTCGCAAAGGCTCAAAGCGGTTCTGGAGCATTTGATGATACCGTGTCTGCATTTTGGGACCCACGAACAACTCGTGTTTTAGACTTTGCATGTGGCACAGGAATCATTTCTGCATACCTTGCGGCCTACTCGAAGCAAGTTGTGGGTGTCGACATTGCCAAAGATATGCTGGACATATTCAATGCCAAAGTTCACAACCAGGGTATCCCTTCTGATGAAGTTCAGGGCTACCTGCTCAACATTTTCGATGATGAAGATGTTGCAAAGGGCAACAAGATTGTCCCAGGAGGACTCGACAACTTCGATGCCGCTGTGACGTCGCTTGCTTATCACCATATTGATGATATTGACCAAGCTTCACGTGCGCTCTTTGCCCGTCTCCGTTCTGGCGGCTGGGTTTACGTCGTTGATCTCTCGATGGGTCCCGGGTTCAAGCCTTCTGCAGAAAAGGATGCTGTTGTTCCTCATCACGGCGGATTTGCCCCAGAAACCATTGGCAACTCACTCAGGGATGCTGGGTTTGTCGATGTCAAGGAAAAAAATATCTTTGCTGCATCATTGTGGGCCACTGAAGAGTACATTTCACGTTTCCAAAAGCATCATACTACCTCGCTTACAGGTAACGACGATGAGACCAAGGATTACAAGGAACTTCATGGTATGCGCATCTACGACGAAAAGGTCGAAAAGGGTGTTACAAAGTATCTCGTCAAGAAGCCTATGCTCCTCGTCGTCGGCAAGCGTCCTTAAATATTGTGAAAAAAATTTTAAATATTAAATACATAATATATTATTAACGTAAAAAAAAAAAAAAAGGGGGGGGTATTATATATTAGGTTATGTTTTTATTTCCATCACTGCCTAGTTTACTCTTCTTCCTCAGAATCAAGATCAATTTCAACCACTAGACTTCCACTTGGCCACAAAGCTGAATCACTCTTAATAGCAGCCTCACTCACATCAATCACCCGGCGCGGCATTGTGGACGCCAGCTGAAACTTATATTCGTGTTGGTAACCGTCTGGCTTGGGGTACGATTCCGGATGGGCATATAAATCAGCAACAGCCTCAGGCCCAAGTTCCTCCAACACTTTGTGACACTCCACAAATGCGTACACAGACTCCACAGTATCCATCCCAGAAAACTTGCGAATCAACCGATCACCCTCATATGTTCGCACACTGATGCGCGCAGCCCGCTCAGAACTCTCAGCAGATGACGGCACATGTTCTGGCCCCAATTGCGCAAGCCGCCACAGTTTCCATTCGCGTTCTTTGCGTTGTCGCTCGGCTTCCTGATGTGCGGCTTCTTCCTCACGCGCCTTTTGTTCGCGCGCTTCCAACTCAGCCCGCATTTTTTCTTCTTTCGCGATTCGTGCACGCTCACGGTCGGCTGCAAGACTGCGCTCGTAAGCCTCATTCTGTTGCTCACGCAGCCGTCTGTCCATCTCGCGTTCTTCCTTGTCGTGCACAAGTGTTGCACGGATGGGCACGTGGCTTTCAATTTTTTCTTCTAGTGTCGACACAAAATGCATAGGGTCATTCTCCTCACCCTGGATCGAAACAAGCGACTTCATAATCACAACGGATGAGTTGGGGGCTTTAGGCGCCGGCGCCACCAGCAGCACATAAGGGAATGTTGTACACTTGAGTGACTCGGCAATTTGGAACCCTTCAGAGTTTTCCACATTGCCCAACCATACAATTGTATCATTGCGATTCAAAAACTCTACCACCCTTGGATCGGTCAAGACTTGTCGATTAAAAGGTGCTGTAAGATCATGCTCGTCACTCTGCAAAACCACAATCAAAAATTTAAGATCCTGCTTTGCTGCTTCAAAAGCCTGTGCAAATCCTCCCTCAAAAAACTTGAGTCCTGTCTGCCCATAAGTCTCCTCAAATGCGCGAATCACGCGCACAGCTGTGTCCTTTGGATCGTACACCTTTTGTACTGAGTGTGTAGCAGTCCGGTTTGCAGGATAGTATCCTGTGAGTCGCGGCAAGAACGGGAACAAGGTTGACAAAAAGTAGAATATGCTGTTGACCACCTTATAACTGAGAGTAAAGGGATAGAACAAAATGCTTTGCAAAAGCGAAAGAAAGCTGCCTTCTTCAATGCGGTATGGGTTTGCAGGTGGCACAGTAACAGGTCTAATTTCAGTATCTGCGTTATTTGCTTGTGCAAGAGTTGTCAGTTCTTCAAGAAGTGAAGAGGTGGTGGGCTGTCGTCGATCCAGGCGTCGTGGGGGGACAGCTGCAGCTGTTGCTGGTGTAGTAGCAGTGCTTGGAGGTGCTGGATTATCGTTAATTACTGGCTCGCGACCATCAAAGTGCATAGAGATTGCAGACTATATAAAGTTAGCTCAAGTCGCAAATTTCAAAATCTCTTTTACTATAACTTACTTCCAGATCCCAATTAGTAGAACGGAGGTACAACAAGGGCAAAAGCGGATCTTTTTCCCAGTTGGTGATAAGTACAAACTGCTGATACTTTTCGGCCTGCTCAGGGTTCAGGTCTTCGATGGAAGACATGTTTGTTTTAAAATGCGACTATGATAATTCCCTCAAAGGATTGATTGGGTTAGTGGCCAACAAGAACAAGTTTCTATTTGGCAGCGGTGCGTGGCAGTTTTAGAGCTGTATAAGCCAAAAGCTTTTTTTTTTTTTGTGGAGGAGGGGAAGGAAAAGTAAAGAAAAAGCAAAACTGCTGGTGGAAAGAAAGAAAACCCATCTTGGCCCTTAACAGAGATTCACGTGATTGATTATTTTACAATTTGCTTACCAGGTAAGTCTAAATAAAGTGTCCTTACTTACAGTAACAATAAGCCTATATATATATGGGGTTTAAATATGCCTATTTGCCCAGGTAGTGCGCCCGCATGCGTTCAGCCCGACCCGCCGGCAGAACATGGATCGGGTTCAGCACTGCAACTCGGTTCCCTTGAGCAACTGTCAGTTGTGTACTAGGAGTTCCCGTCCAAAAAAACGCATAATCCCCAAGCTTAGCATCCTTTGCTTGCTCTTCCTCATAAATGTACCTGTTCTGTGCGCCTGACAACCCGCACAAGACGTAGTTGGTATGATAAGCATCAGGACTCTTTCCAGGCTTGTCACGCAATCCTCCAGCACCCCGTGCTTGGCAACAATAAAGTGTATAATTCTGTAGTGCCTCCCGATCCCATATGCTATCGTTTGATCCAATCATGTTTTCCACAAGGGCCCAGCAACCGCCAACCCAATGGTTATAGCACCCATCAACCAACTTGTTTGTGCGGCCAGAAAAACCACCCTCTGGTTGATGCTGTCTTGAAGAAAGCCACTTAAGTAGTCGGGGCATGTTCAAATGCTTTGCAGCCTCTTTGGGAGGCATGATTAAGCACAATGCAGCAAGAGCGCAAAATGCATAACCTCCATGGGCCTCGACATCTGGGAACGCACTGAACCCCCCTTCAAACGTTTGGCACCGTGAAATAAACCCAGAAACACCTTCAACAAGCTCTGGGGTAAGAATATTTAGTAAAGAAGCGACCGATAATGCGCAATAAACTGCTCGAGTATCACACTCGCCGTTAATGTGCATCTTGAACCCGCCTTCTGGCGTCTTAAGCTTGAAAATCCAGTCGTACATGGCCTTGCGATCAATTTTATCCCAAGAATATTCATCTCCCATAAGAGCAAGTACATTAAATCCTGCATATGTTGGTGCCAGATGACCAATCTGACCAATGTTGCCTCCTATTCCTCCCTCAGGCGAGATACACGAAAATATAGTATCAACAGCTTCTTCCTCAAAATCTGAAACATCGGCATCTAAAACACAAAGAGCATTTAAAGCCCAGTAAATAATCCATGGACGAGAAGCATCCAGCTTCGCCATTTGAGCAGGGAGTTTCCCAATATGGAACTGTAAAAACTTTATATGCGCATCGCGTTGGAGTTTTTGTAGCAGCAGTGTGAGCGGTTCTGAACGGAAAGCTTCAAGACAAACTTCTTCTGTATCTTGTTGATCAAAAGTTGTGACCGTAGGTAAAGTATCTTCAACAAGATTGCTATAGATTGGAATGTGAGGTAAAGGTGACATTGCTTTGTTTAAGTGTTTGCTTCGGTTTTTGAGAATAGTCGCAATAATTGATGTTGAGTAATTGATGTTTGAAGATGACATTTTAGAAAAACGAGCGGGGTTTCGTGAGCTTTTTATATTTGTTTGTCGGGACATATCATTTAGTACAATCAAGCCGCTAGCAGCTAATTGAGCAGGGGTGTGTCTGACTGACGAGTACAAGGAAACCGTTTAAATTTTTTTTACTGATTTTACAGTCCTAAAGAGGTCAGAATAATGGCTTATGTAACTGTTTGGTGGTTTTTTTTTTTTTTTTTAGTGTAGGGTAGGCTCGCGTGGGTATGCGATTGAATTGGTGAGGCGTAAAAAAAAAAAAAAAACGATGGAAAGCCGAGAAACACGTTTCCATACCTATACCACTCATTTTCCACGGCTGTTTGCACTTTCTTTTTACATGATATGAATAGCCCTTTTACTAGTCAAAACTTGAGCGTATGTGGCTGTTCTTTTAATATATTTCCCCCCCTTTATTTTTGTTTATACTGACCTTTATTTGCTATAGAATTTATACTCTAATGCGTTATATCTTCACTCCATAGGAAAGTCTAAAGAGGCTTGCGCTGCTTTGCAAAACGCTGCAAATTTTTTCTTCAATAACCAGATTAAAAGTATCCCAGACAAGGCTTTAAAGAAAGGACTTATATCGGAACTCAATACGATCATTGTAACTCTGGAACAACAAAAGATTGTTCTGGAGGTCCCTCAGCAGCTTGAATACATATCGTCCAAGATAGGGTCCAACTTATTTTATCCATGGAGAGGCCCACCACTTTTGCTAGATTTACCAGATGAACAATATGAAGACCCAGATGGCCCTTTAGCACTTTCGGATTCCCAAATGAAAATCTTCAATTCATGGGAACAACCCAACCATGTTTTAAATGCACAGCCTGTAATGGAGGCTTCTGGGGGTGATGACCTATGTCAGGATTACTTGGATGATTGCTCGATTGTTGCATCGTTACTGTCAATTCACGCGCTAGAAACAAGGTTATCTCGGAAAGTTTTACTAAATAACATTTTCCCACAGGATGAGACCGGTATGCCTGTTCTATCAAAATCTGGCATCTACTGCGTCAAGTTATTCATCAACGGCTGTGAACGCATGGTCACAATTGACCATAAACTCCCCGCAACAAACGACTCTAAGCATACCTTATTTGTTCGTTCTCTTTCAAATCCTGGGCTCTTGTGGCCGGCGATCTTGGAAAAAGCTTATCTTAAAATTATGGGTGGCTATAATTTTCTTGGCTCATATTCCGCAAGCGACACGTATGCTCTGACTTCTTGGATTCCCGAATATATTTATCTCGACGGCTATTTCCAAGACTCTTTAACTTCATCTCGCCTTTCTCTTTGGAATAGGATATATAAACATTTTCATGATGGAAACCTCATGGTCTGTGTTGGTACCGGGCCAATGTCTTCAAAAGAAGCACTTTCCTTAGGACTGATCAGTGACCACGACTACGCTATTTTAGGTTTGAGCGAAATTAAGTCAGATACAAATGACATTAAAAGATTTGCTTTAATCAAAAACCCTTGGATCAATGAAACTGGTCATACCACCCCTATTCAATTAGGTACTCAGGATGCTCCTGAAACTCGAAAAGGCAGCTTTTGGGTATCTTTTGAATCTTTATGCTTAAGGTTTAGCTCATTATATCTCAATTGGAACCCAGATCTTTTCCCGCACAAGCCTAAAGTCAATTTTTTGTGGAGTATTTCGTCAATCAACACGTTTATGGAAACTCAAGTTATGGGTATGTATATTTAATATTTTTGACTTTTTGTCTAACTTTATTTAGCTGGAAATCCCCAGTTTAAAATATCCAACTTGGCACCCTCAGATAACCTCACTTGGTTTTTAGTCAATCAACATCTTGTTGAATCTGGTAGCATCACTGGGTACTTGGGTATTTCGGTTTTTGATTCGGGAGGTAAAAGAGTGTATTGCGCTAGTGAAGCTCCACTCATAAAACAAGGACCTTACCTAAACACTTTCCAATATCTCCTAAAGCTCGAGATGCCTCCTAAAACAACATACACACTTGTTGTAACAGCATCGAAAAAGGAGTCCAAATATACGTCACTAAACTTTACTCTACACTCATACTCTATATTTCCAATTGTTCTTGAGAAAGCCAAGGAAGAATTAGTATTTAAATCTTCTCTTCAAGGAGAATGGACCCCTGATCTATCGGGAGGATCATGGTTGTACCAAACCTATTTGGATAACCCCAGATACTCCTTAAAAGTTCATGAAAAAGCTGATGTTTTAAAGTTGTTGTTATACTCTCCCGTGAAATATCCAATGAATATCCGAATGTTTTTAGAAGCTGATTCACTTTCTCGAGATTTAAAGCGGAAGAGAGAAATCATTAGCAGCGGAGAGTACAAGGTATCTCAAACTACTGCAAATACTGTTTATGTGGAGCCTGGAGAATACACTATTGTAGTCTCATTGTTTGAGCCTAAAGTAACTGGACCCTTTACACTGGTTTGTCGATCTTCGGCTTCTTTTGACCTAACGCCATTGCCTTCCATTAATGCAGGGGCTTTCAACAGAAATCGCATTATTCCATGGAATAACTCAGCACGTGTGGAAATCCCATTCACAGTTAGTATTAAAACTACTGCTTATTTTTGTGTCATTGCTTTACCAGATGGGCCTGAAGACGAAAACTCACAAGCACCTGAAACCATGTCTTTTTACCGCCCGCATATGCGGTTTAGCATATTTAACAAAAGTTTGGGTCAGCTTCTTAAAACCAACGACGAGTTTACTGATAATAGACTTGGGATTTATCTTAGTGCAATCCCTCTTTCTTCCGGCATCGAGTATGTTTGTTTGGTGGAGCGGATGGAATGTGGTATGGGCCGATTTAACATTCAAGTTTTCAGTGGGAGTCCTGTAGTATTTTTGATGTAATGAAATTTTTGACGTAATGTCTTATGTAATTGATGAAATTTTTGGTTATTCTTATTATTCACTACCACCAAGAAAATAAAAAAAAATCTTGACAACAACCAACATTTTTCCCCTTCTTTCTTTTGTTTGCCTTAAAGTAATCCAAAAATGTCTCGTGCAAACAACAAACAATCTCTTGCTGATTTGGTATCTCAGCTATCCATATTCAGCAAAAAAGATGAATACGACGGTATTGTCAATACTGCCAAAAAGATATTGATTCAAAAACCATCCGACAAGCAGGCTCTTCAGGCTCTTATTACGGCTTACGTGGATCACGACAAGTATGATAACCTTTACGAACTTCTCTCAAATGACCCTCAAAAAAACGATTACCTTTTGTATTATGGGTATAGTCTTTACAAGCTTGATTTGCATGATGAGCTTGTAGATCTCTTAGGGGATAGTCAGCAACGTGGCGCAATGCATTTATTGGCACAATCCTACTATAAGCAAGGTCTTTTCACCGAAGCACGGGCTATTTACAAGAAGTTTGTCAACACACCAGACCAAGTCGATCATGAAACTTTTGATCTTTCTGTCAATGAGCGTGCTATTATTTCTCAACTTAAATTTGTTGGATTGTCGTCTGAACCGCCCCTTTTCCCAGCTACCTCCCCAGAATCATATGATCAATTGTTTAATGATGCTCTGATTTCAATCGCTTCTCAAGATTATACCCAAGCTCTTGAGCTTTTAACTAGAGCAAAGGCTATTTGTCAAACTACCCCAGGATTTTCTCCTGAAGCACTGGCTGCTGAAATCACTCCCATTCTTATTCAGGCCAGCTATGTTAATATCAAGTTGTCTCAATATGAACAGGCTGCCAGCATTTTGGATAGTATTGACTATGAAAACTTTAAAGACAACACATCTTTGTATCTCATCAATACCCTCCGGCTTGTTATTGATGGTGGAAAGAAATATAAGAACCCTCACTCGGCTTTGTCCCTTTTGGATTTTGGAATACCTTACCCGGAGTTCACATCACATCTTGTTCCTCTTCAGAAACGGATTTTAACAAACAACAAGTTTTTACTAGAGCTTGCTGGTGGAAAATCTCGTAAAAATTTACTCAATAGACGTAACTTTACTGTCGACAAATCGATTGAAGCGTACTCATTTTATAAGGACGTTAAAGACTTACCCAGAGCTGAACAAATTAAGAGACTGAAAAAGACTCGGCATTCAAACAACTCAAACCCTGCGCTTTGTTTTACCATTGCACAGATTTATGTTTTCGAAAAAGAATATAGCCTTGCTGCAGCTACTATTTCTGAATTCATTTCTTATCTTGAACAGTTTTACAATTTTAGAGAAGCCTATACTCCTGCTGTTTTGTCATCATTTATCAGTCTTTGCAGTCTTGCTGGTAAGACAGGTGGCCATCTGGTTACAGTACTTGAATCAGCCATTAAATACTGGTCTAAAGAGCCAGAGGCTCTTAAAAACCCTGCTTTCCAAAGTTTATTTGCCGATGCTGCGATTGTACTTTCCGGTACTGGTAAGGAAGCATTGGTCAAGGAAAAGCTTGAAGAAATTTACAAGAAAGATCCTTCAAATAATACGGTAGTTGCTGGACTTTTTGGTCTTTCTGATGAAAATATTTCCACTCAACTTGCATCTGAGTCCGCTAAGCTAGTATCTATTGCAGATGCTACCGCTGGAATCAATGTTGACAGTCTTTCTCTTTCTGGGTTAGAGCCTCTTATTAAGAAACGATCTGCACCGGAAAGCGGAAAATCAGCTTTTTCTGAGCCCAAGAGAAAGAACAAGAAGCCTAGACTTCCTAAGGATTATGATGCTGATAAGACGCCCGATCCTGAGAGATGGATCCCTCTTCGTGACAGAAGCACATACAAGCCCCCTAAGAACAAGGGCAAGAAGAAGGTTTTGGCTTCTACTCAGGGTGGCCAGGCTGATGAGTCTCTTGCCGTTACCTCTGGTACCAGCACTCAATCCTCTTCTGGTACCGTGGCTACATCTAAATCTAAGCCAAAGAACGCTAAGAAGTCTAAAAAGAAAGGAAGAAAGTAAATGTTTAAAAAAGTTTAACTTGTATATTTGTTTTAAAATTAAGATTCTATGAATATTTTTATGTAAACAGCGTATCTTCTTCTCTAAGGTATTCGCCAACATCACCTTGTCTGAATGCTATTATAGCATTTGGAGGGGCACTTCTAGTTTCAATGGTGGATTTTGCAGAAACACCGAATCCCAGGGGTCTGTCGTGCATGTCGCAAATAATGAGGCCAGTGTGCTCAGGAACATCATCACTGATCTTGCCAACATGAGCCTTGAGAACATTGTTACCATAAAGGAAAGGCATTTCACCGTTAGTCTTGATCCAGACCTTGAACTTTGCATTCTGGGATAAAATCTCCAAAGCTGTAATATGAATACGGAACTTGCCGGTCTTGGTGAACTTGCCGACACATGTACCCAGAGACATAAGCTGCTTGCGACCAACGCATGTCGCGTACTTGGCCACACCCTCGCTCACATAGTACACACGGTCTTTTTGTATCCGGAAGCAGTAAGGATCGTCTGCTCTGTTAATAAGGTTGCTGATGTTGCGGCCAATATATTGTGCCAGTTTCTCAAACAAAACCTTGGTTTCTTCTTCTGTTAATGGTCTCATTTTAAATGTATATGAATGTTGTGTATGATGATTTTGTAGAAAGGATGGATGAAAAAAAATTTCCCTGTTGAAAAAAAAAAAAAAAAAAAAAAAAAAGTTTTTGGAACGAAAAAAAAAAAAAATTATAGGCCGGGTAACTTGAAACTTTACGTGCTACAAAAAATTTTTTTTTTCGTGATATCCAAAATCCCACTCTAATCTCGGACCATATCACACCAACTCATTATCATCAAGACAAATCTCCCATTTGTATGTTTATGATCCAATCTAAAATTCTCCTTCCCTAATGTTTTCTAGAGTTCTTAGCAGAAACAAAATACCATGGCCGGTGACAACAATAACCGCAAGGGCAAAGATAAGTGGAATCGCCCACGAACCAACGACAGAAGAGACAACAAGCGTCAACGAAGAGACGACAACCAAAAAGAAGGAGAAGGGAAGGAGAGTCGGTAGGTATTTATCAGCTATTTAAATTTATTTTACAGTAATTGAGAATTAACATTTTCAAACAGAGTATGGGGCCCTAGAGAAGACAATGGCGAGCCCAGAGAGCCCAGAAAACCTAAGCGCAAGGTAGCAGTCATGATTGGCTACTGTGGTACAGGATACTGCGGTATGCAGATTAACCCTCCCAACAAGACTATTGAGGAAGACTTGTACAAGGCTTTTGTTGAGGCAGGTGCTATTTCCAAGGACAATGCTGGTGATTTGAAGAAGAGCGGCTTTATGCGTGCAGCTAGAACCGATAAGGGTGTTCACGCGGCAGGCAATGTGGTTTCTCTGAAGCTCATTATCGAAGATCCTGATATTGTTGAAAAGATCAATTCTCATCTTCCAGACCAGATTCGCGTGTGGGGCATCAGCAGAACCAACAAGGCATTTGAGTGCAGAAAAATGTGCAGCTCACGTATTTATGAATACCTTATCCCCAGTTATTCGTTTCTTCCACCAAAGCCTGAGTCTGCTCTTGCAGAGCGACTTGAGGCTGCCAACAAGAAATACCCCGGTGTCAAGAGAGCTGATCCTGAGGGTGAGAAGTTCTGGAGTGATATTAAGAAGAAGCTTTTGGAGGAAGGGATTGTTGAGAGTGACATTAAAAAGGCTCAGAAAATTGCAGAGGATAAGGAGCAAGAAGAACTGCAACAGACACAGCAGAAGATTTTAGATGCTAGAGCAAAGTCTCAAGGCAAGAAAGAAGAAACTTCTGAGGAAAAGGCCAATGCTGAGAAAGAAGCTGAAGAGAAAGCTGAGGAAGAGGCTGAAGAAAAGATTGAAGAAACTGCTGAAGAAAAGTCTGAAGAAAAGTCTGAAGAGGATGTTAATACTCCTGAAGAAAAGGCTTCCAAGCTCAAATTTTCTGAAATGGTCAAGAAGATCAAGATTGCTGAACACGAAGCACGCCGCGCTTACCGCATTACCCCTGAGCGTTTGGAGCTGATTCGAGAAGTTCTTAAGCAATATGAGGGTGTTCATAACTTTCACAACTTTACTATTTCCAAGACGTTTAAGGACCCCAGTTCTCAGCGCAATATGAAGAGCCTGACAGTTTCTGAGGGAAAAATTATTGAAAACACCGAGTGGCTGTCAATTAAGATCCATGGTCAGTCGTTTATGATGCACCAGATCCGTAAGATGATTGCCATGACGGCACTCATTGTCCGCTGCGGTACCCCAGTTTCACACCTTAAGGAGGCATTTGGGCGTGCCGATCTTAACATCCCCAAAGCTCCTGGACTTGGTCTTTTACTTGAGCAGCCTGTTTATGATGCTTACAACCTACGCCTTGGTACCTTTGGCTATGACCCCTTGAGCTTTGACAAGTGGAAGGATGAAGTCGAGGCTTTCAAGTTCAAGCATATTTATGATAAGATTTACTCTGAGGAGGAACGCGAGCACGTTTTCCACAAGTTCTTTTCGTTCATCGATAGCTTCCGCGGAGACTCCACATTTGGTTATCTTGCTGTGGGTCCCAAGGATGTTGGTGCAGAAGAGGAAAAGTCTTCAAATGGCATTGCCGCTGGTGTTGCTGCTGGCGTTGCAGCCGGAGCTGCAGCAGTTGTTGCATCAAAGTTTGTTATGGCGGGTGATGACGAGGATGATGAGCTTCCTCCAGATGCTGATACTGAGGGTTAAGTGATTATTATAGATGTAAAAATTTCAATAAACAAGAGAATTTAAAAAAAAAAAAATAAATAAATAAACAGCCGCACTTCCAAATTCAAGAATTTTTTTTTAAGCGGTATGGTGATAGAAAAATAACCACAGAAAAAAAAATTTTTTTTTTCTTGATCCAACATCAACCCTATTTTACAATACATTTTTCACACTAGACCATAACACTCGCAACAACGGCCATAAATATATATATCAATTATGGACGGAGCACAATATCTCAAAAGCTACGGGTGGAAGCACGGCGAGGCTTTGAAGAAAGGTGGGCTTAAGAAGCCGATTCTGATGCGACACAAAAAGGACACCAAGGGACTTGGGCATGCGTCCACACAACCTGCAGATGCATGGTGGGAGCGGGTATTTGACGGGCAACTAAAGGGGCTAGAAGTGAGTGTGAATGGGAAAGAGTCAGGAGATGGCAAAGGAGGGATTCAGTTTAAGCAGAAGGAGGTAAAGGTGAGTTCAGTACGGAAACAAGACTCGCCTCTGTACCGGAACTTTGTGTTTGGAGGGATTCTTAAGGGAACGATTGGGGTACGTAAGATTGGGAAGAGCGTGGATGATGGAGGAAAAAAAGAAGAAGGAGAAGATGATGATGAGAATGAGAATGAGAAGAAAAAGAAGAAAAAGGAGCCTGTTAGCATTGTTGTGGGAGCAGATGAACCGGCTGGACCGAAACACTTTGTGCTCAAGTTCGATGATAGCAGTGATGAGGAGAGCAGTGATGAAGAAAGTGATAAAGAAGAAGATGAGAGGATAGAGAAGGGAACTAAACGAAAGCGAGATGGTGATAAAGACAAGAAAGACAAGAAAAAGAAGAGCAAATCGGATAAGAAAGAAAAGAAGGAAAAGAAAGAAAAGAAGGAAAAGAAAGAAAAGAAGGAAAAGAAAGAAAAGAAGGAAAAGAAAAGCAAAAAGGACAAAAAGGATAAGAAAAAAGATAATAAAAAGAGCAAAAAGGACCCGCTAAAAGTTAAAACGGAAGGCTCGATAGTCAGCAAATCCAGCAAATCCAGCAAATCCAGCAAATCCAGCAAACCTCCCAAAACATAAAATAGAATTAATCAAGAAATCGACGAGGATAATTTTCCTCTTATTATGCTTATTAGAAATTACAAAAAAAAAAAAAAAATTAGATAGACCTTATTCATTTCATTTCATTTCATGTCAAAAAATGAATTTACTTTTCTTCAACAGCTTCGAGTAGATGCCATTTAAGCCCGTCACTCAAGTCAAACGGGTTATCTTTTTCTTCACCGTGGATGCGATCAACAACTCGTTCTTCAATCTTTGTGATGCGGGCTACTAACCAGTCGCGCTCAAAAAGCCGGTGTTCCGGTAACGGTTTTAAGAAATAATGTGGAGCACCCACGTTGAACGCTGCCCATGGGTTGGGGTCCCGAGTTTGATCGCGGGTCGGCAGAAATAGTGCAAGGTCGCCCTGTTTGAACGACCGGTACGCAAGCTTCCCTCGCGATGCAAGTTCCTGAATGTGTGCATTTTCGCGGTACCCACGGCATTCCTTTTGTAGCTTGCGTGCGAGATGCTCTACATCACTGAACCGTTTTGTCACGCTCACACGAAACAAATCGTAGTCAATGTACACAGAGTTGAGAAACCGCTGGTACCGCAGCTCTGATTGCTTAGTTGCGCGCCGCCGGTACTTTTCAAGACGCAGTTGCATGTCAGCTTCGCGCTTCTTTTCGCGCGTCTCAGACTTTTGGCGAGTTTGATGGCCTTCTATGAGCTTGGGACTCTGTTTTTGTTGTTCCTGCAGCTTCTTCTGGCGCTCCTGGCGCTTGAGCTGTCGCCGCTGTTCGTACGTGCTGCTATAAAGAGAAGAATGCTTGGTTGGCGATTCAATTGAGTCCTTGTCGGTATTAGCGCTGTCAATGCTTTTAGTTTTCTCCACCTTGGACAAGCCAGAGTCTAGCTTTTGTGGCAACAGCTCAGTATTTTGAAGAGAAACAATGCTGTTCCCCATGCTTTGTGCACTAATAAGACTTCCTGAATCGATAATCTTTTGGGTAGTAGTTGCGGATTGACGAACACCCATGTTTTCAGAATCTTCATCATTAATATAAAGATTGTCCTCGTCACTGGTATCTTCATCTTTATTTTCGTCATCGTCATCGTCATTGTCTTCATCTTCTTCATCTTCATCTTCTTTGGGATCATTAGGAGAAGGATCGACCCAATATAAAACAGTTGGGTCAATTTTCTGCTTTTCACCTTCGATACTTTCAGAATTGTTATTGTTATTAGCCGATAATGCAGAACGTGTGCGTCTACCCAGCCCTTTAACACGTTGAATCTTAAAAGATAAAACACAGTTGTCTTCTTCATCAATTTCCTTTCGAATTTGCATGCCAAGTGACTCAAGGAGCTCGGAGTTGCGGATTGTAGACGTGTAAAGCCGCTGGCTGAGATCACGCGCACGTGTTGTTAGAATATCATATCGTGTTTGAACCTTGAGGTATTTGCGCTCTGAAAATATAGATGATCGTTTTTGCGTTTTGAGGGCCTTTCTGAAGCGTGCAATTTGCAACGAGTTTTGGTGTTTATAAGACTGGACCTCTTCTTCAAGAGCAAGACTTAGCTCAATCTCACGATCAAACTCAACTTCAAGTTCGTACAGCTTGTGCTTGAGATCAGCAATTTCCTTTTGGAACGAGCGTCTCTCGGTATTAAACTCGCTTTCTTTTGTTGAGAGGTTTGCCATGAGATCTAACTTCATGACTTGGGCTTCTTCAAGACCAAAGTTCTTTTGCTCAATTTCCGCAGAAAGTCTTCCATTCTCCGCATTCAAGCGAGCCACTTCTTGGTCTTTTTCCTGAGCTTGCTCTTCAAGCAACTTGATCTTATCCAAAAGTGCTTGATGTTGTTCGTCTGTAGCAGAAACCTTAATCATGGAGGTACTATCTACGACTCCAGGTGCATGGAACTTGTTTGTCCATGAATCACGAAACTGATTTCGATGCAACATGTCTTCCAGCTTACGTATGCGAGCCTCGTAAACTTGAATTTTAAGATCAACAGAAGAATCACCTTTGGGAGGGAGTTCCTCGACCTTATTGATGGGAGGGTCAAGACCCATACTGCGCGATAAAAGAAGAGACTTTGAGTATTCTGACATGTTCCCCTCTTTAAAAACAGACTTACGGCGTAGCAATTGTTGTTGCATTTTTTGATGCTCGACAGGTACTGGTTCAGGGAACGGATTAATTTTATCTGTTTTGGTCACGAGTGCTGCCAGTTCCTCATACTCCTCTTCAAGTCCATGCGATTTGAGGAGCTGCAAGTACTGGTCCATGTCTTTGCGCTCTAGGGCATATGACTTGTACTCGGTAGAGTTGATGAGGGTGATTTCCACGTCAGGAACATCGCTGGCGCCTCCAGGGCCGCTGCTACCGCCACCGCCGCCAATCCGTTTGAGCATTCCGAGGCTACCTCCAAGTTGGCGGATCCACTTTGTGCGCCGCTTGATTTCGTCTTCTCGCCAACCAGCCATCATTTCTGCGGTTCTGTTAACGCGGGCCTTGATGTGTTCCATCCACTCATCGCGACGAATTAGCTCAAAAAGCAAAGCACCGTAAAGGTACGGCATGTCAATGGCACGTGCTACAACCATGCGGTCGGCTTCTGCGGATTTTACAGTAGCGGCCAAGGTAGCAATTTGTTGGCGCAGAGGGCTTGAAAAAAATTGAATTTGTGAAACTGTGCGAAGTAATGCTACTGATTTTTTTGTATTAAAAGTCTTTGAGAGGGCCCAAGATTTGTGAATATTCCAAAGCTCTTTAGTAAGATCCTGGGCTTTTGATAAAAACTCGCGGTCATGTAGTTGAATTATTCGCATTGAGTTTTGAATGTTTTTCAAAGAATCTGAGAGATTGGACACATATGAGCAGTCAGACTGGATTTTTTGCACAATAGTGCCCACATCTTCAGTGATTTCGCGGTATGTTTTCCAAGAATTATCAATGGAAGATTGGTTATCTGAAATAATGGGAGCTGTGGGGAGACTGAACCAAGCTTTGGCGACGGCCTCCAGGGCCTCGATCTTGACTAGCATTTCATTAGCTTTAGCGTATAGGGTATCTACTGTGGAAATGATTGTTGCGCGTTCCTTTTGGAGATTTGAGCTTGAAGTCTCAATTTCGAACCGGTCAATCCAATCCGAAAGATGAGTACTATTTGAGTGACCAGCCAGGAGCGACTTGTGGACGGGTAATTTTGTGGCTGTGTCTAGGGCCGTTTGCCAGTTTGTTTCTGTGGTTGTTTCTGTGAGAGTTTTGGCGCTTGCAGCGGTCGACTCTAAAGACTTGATGATTCCATTAGAATGATGGCGAAGATGTGTTAATGAGACATCGACTGCTTGTTTAATGACAGAGATTTCGATAATGTGACATTCAATGGCGTCAAATAGATGCTGGGAAAGAGTTAGGAGTGCGTTTGCCCAATGGGCGCGCTCGATAAATGTGTTAAGGACGGTGACTATAGATGTAGGTTGTGGCGAAGGGGCCTGAGGAACTGGAGGTATAGATAAAGGGATTATTTTTGGTTCGGTTATCAGAGAGTCGATATCAGCATTTGGAGAGAAGAGAGCCTTGTCGAATACAAAAACTTGTTGCTAGGATTAAGTTAGAGGGTGAGATTAAATGGAAAAAAAAAAAAAATAGGAGGGGAGGGGAGGGGAGGGTAAGACGGTTGAACTTACACCGTGAGACATAGACTCAATTTTAAGCTGGGTAGACCTTGAAGTCAGGAGAATCTGGTGAGATACTGGAATGCCTTCATTTTCCTGTATCCAAGATTTGAGGTCTGCTAGACTGTTGAGCAAAAAAAAAAAAAAAAAAAAAAAAGACGTGTTTGTTAGTCTGAGGTCAGTGGACTGTGGCGATAAGCCGCACGCATATATATCACGGTGGTAGTTGAGATATTGATTGCACTATTATACCGAGAAATCCAGGAAAAAAAAAAAAAAAAACAAGCATTAAACATTAAACATTAAACATCAAACATACCTAAGAAACTTGTCTGGATCGGCTTCAAGAGTATTGCCAGTAAAGGCATTATAGAGAAGCATTTGGCTGGAACCATTCATAGTGGGGGAGAGGAGATGTTATTGTTGATAAGTTGTGGTGGGGATGATCTGCGGCTTTTGCATGCAGAAGAGTATATGGCAGTGACAGCAACAACGACAACGACAACAACGACAACGACAACGACAACGACAACGACAACGACAACGACAACGACAACGACAACGACAACGACAACAACAGCAGTCTGAAGATATAAGAGTTGGGTCGTATTATTATTCTTTAAAGAAAATAAAGATTAGTAGATATCAGAGGAAAGATGTCTAAAAAAATTAAAAAAAATTCTATGCTGGAGAGTTGAAATGGTGGACGTTATGGTGGCAATAATAATAATAATAATAATAAAAATAATAAAAGTGATAAAAGAAAAGGAAAAGGAAAAAAAGAAGGAACTCAAATAAATAAAAGAAAAAAAAAAAAGGGATTGTATTGTATTATATTATATTTGATGATGTATTAGTTTTTAAAAAAAAAAAATAATCCGGGAAATAGAAGTTGAGTGGATTTTTTTTTTTTTATTTATTTATTGGTGAGACATGATAAGGTATGATGGGAGGAGGAGTGGAGGGAATGGTTTGTATGGGAAAGTTGGAGTAAAAAAATAAAATAAAATAAAATAAATAAAATAAAAATGAGTAAAATGAAGATTATCTATAGATTGATTGATTGATTGATTAAATTAAGAATTAAGTAGAAAAAAACGTAAAAAATGACAAACTGGTTAGATTTTCTTATTCTTTTTTATTTTTTTTTTATTTTTTTAGGATTTTAGAAAGGTAATTCTGGGATTTCAGTGAATGGAGTTGTTGTTGTTGTTGTTGTTGTTGTTGTTAATTAATTAGATTTTTTTTTTTCCCTCTTTTAAAAGAGAAAAGTAGCAGCTGAAAGCTAAAAAAAAAAAAAAAAAAAAAAAAAAAAAAAAAAAAAAAGTAAAGATCATGTGATAAAGATATTGTAATATTATTAATTGTTATGTAATACATTAAGTAATTTATTTATAATAACTTATAATGTTACTAATAATAACTAAGTATCTTACTCTCTTGGTAACCTTTTTTCTTCTTTTTACTATATATACAATACTAACACAAACAGCCTATCACCATTCCTCTACTGTTTTTTCTTTTGGTACCCTCAACTACTAAATCTCATATAACCGGTTTTCACTCAAAACCCGTTTTTTTTTTTTTTTTTTTTTTTTTTTTTTTTTTTTTCAAAACACACATCATTTAGAAAAAAAAAAAAAAAAAACAGAAAGAGAGCTTCTTTTAATTCTTAATTTCTTATTTATAATTTATAATTTAAAAAAATAATAATAATAAAATAAATGCTTTCGTTTAAATCCTCAGCAGCGTTGCGTCTTGCAACAACAGTTCACATAAAAAGTAAAGTTTTGTCGAGCACACGAGCAATGGCCTCAAAAGCCGCTTGTGTCAAACCCACATTTATTCATCTCCACCACCACCGCCCCCTCTCAACCTTATCAGTTACTACCATCGCCACCACAAACAAGAAATTCTCAACCACCATCAACACCACCACCACCACCACCACCACTACAACAACATCAACAACTACTAAAAAAAACTACTACTCAACCATGTCTTCTCCTTCTGACACCTCCTCAGCTCCTAAAAAACAAGACGCCTCTACTCAGGCCTCATACCCGCTCGAACCCACGCAACTCGGCACCTGGTCATCCGACCTCAAGGCCGATGTTGTGACTGCTCTTGCATCAACTGTGATTGTGAACCATGGAGCCACAACTGCATTGATTAACCGTGATGCTCGTAGCCGTGGGTTAATTAATGTATACTCTAATGCAGTTACTCCTGAGGGTTCACCTACAATGAATCAAAAACAAAGTGGAAGATGTTGGTTGTTTGCAGGAACAAATCAGTTAAGAATTGGAATTATGCGTCGACTTAACTTGACAGAACTGGAATTATCACCTTCTTACTTGTTTTTTTATGATAAATTAGAAAAGGCCAACTTCTTTTTGGAACAAATTGAACAAACTGCAACCTCTGAAGAAGTTGAGTCACGTTTAATCCAACACTTGTTAACAGACCCTGTAATTGATGGTGGACAGTATGACATGTTTGCAAATATTGTGGCCAAGTATGGATTGGTTCCTAACTCTGTGTTCCCAGATTCATTCAATACACTTGCTTCTCGGAACATGAATTATGTGATTACCACGTTGCTTCGCCAATACGCCCAGGAGATTCGTGAGGCAGTTGCTGATGGGGCCGATACTGCCAAGTTGCGAGCTCAAAGAGAGGCTCACATGGCACAAATCTTTAAGTTATTAACTGTATTTTTGGGGACTCCTCCAGGCCCCAATGATGAGATTGTGTGGGAATATGTGGATAAGGATAAGGAGTATCACTCGGTTAAGACTACGCCTCTTGGGTTCTACAAGGATGTCGTACAGTATGATGTCGCCGACACTGTGTCATTGTTGAATGACCCTCGTAATGAGTATAACCGGTTGATTACTGTTGATCGGTTGGGTAACGTTGCCGGGCGGCCGTATGTGACTTATGTCAATGCAGAAATTGATGTTTTGGCTAGTACTGCAGTGTCATTGATTAAGGCCAATGTTCCTGTATTTTTCGGTACCCATACACCTATTTATCATGACCGCAAGAGTGGTATTATTGACACAGCATTATGGGATTATAAGTTAATTGGGTTTGATCCTAAACAGAATAAAGCTGATCGTTTGCGATACCATCAATCATTGATGACACATGCCATGTTACTGACGGCTGTTCATGTGGACCCAGAATCTGGTGAGCCTGTGCGTTGGCGCGTGGAGAACTCGTGGGGGACAGAGCCTGGAATTAAGGGCTATTTTATCATGTCTCACGATTTTTTCAAGGAGTATGTGTACCAGATTGTTGCACAGAAGAGTGCTATTGAGGATGAGGGAGTCAAGGCTGTGATTGAAGATTGGGATAACCAGAAACCCATTGTATTGCCACCTTGGGATCCCTGTGGAGCTCTTGCCAAGTTGTAAAGTTTGTATACAAGAAAGTAGAAGAAATAAATCAAGTATAGAAGAACATACATTACTCTAGAAAGAGAATTTAAAAAAAAATTTTTCATGCAAAAAAAAAATCTATTAAGACCAGCTATTCATTATATATATATCGTTAAAAAAATTCATAAACAAAAAAAAAGATGGGACCCAGTTAAAAATTCACAACCAGTGAGAATTTACCAGAAGTCACCGTGGTTGTGCATGGCCTCAGCAACCTTGACGAAACCAGCAATGTTGGCACCCTTGACAAGAGAAGGAAGAGCATCGCCCTTCTCAGAAGAGTACTCAACAGCAGTGTTGACACAGTTGTTGAAGATGTTAACCATAATCTCCTTGAGCTTCTGGTCAACCTCTTGAGTAGACCAAGAAGAACGCTGGGAGTTCTGGGCCATTTCAAGACCAGAGACAGCAACACCACCAGCATTGGCAGCCTTACCAGGGGCGTACCAGATACCGTTGGGGGACTTGAGACGCTCAGCCTCAAAGACATCAATGGCCTCCTGGGTGGAGCCCATGTTGGAGCCCTCGGCAATGAACTTGCAGCCATTGGCAACAAGAGTAGCAGCCTCCTCGCCGGAAACTTCATTCTGGGTAGCAGAAGGAAGAGCAACGTCAACCTTGCCAACGTGGACCCAAGGTCTGGCACCCTCAATGTAGTCAAACTTGGCAGCGTACTTCTCAGCAAGCTCAGAAAGAGACTTGCGCTTAAGCTTAAGCTCAGCAATCTCCTCAATCTCAGCAGGAGTGAAAGAAACACCCTCCTTGGCAATGAAAGCACCCTTAGAGTCAGAGAGGGAAGCGACGATACCACCGAGCTCAATGACCTTAAGAGCAGCGTATTGGGCAACGTTACCAGAACCAGAGATGGCGACACGCTTGCCCTTGAAGTTTTCCTTACCCTGAGTAGCGTACTCAATCATCTTCTCGACGTAGTAGACGACACCGAAACCAGTGGCCTCGGGTCTGATGAGGGAACCACCCCAGGAGAGACCCTTACCAGTAAGGACACCCTCCCAAGAGTTGGAGTACTTCTTGTAGGCACCAAAGAGGTAACCAATTTCGCGGCCACCGACGTTAATGTCACCAGCGGGGACATCAGTGTCGGCACCAATGTGTCTGTGAAGCTCAGTCATAAAAGCATAGCAGAAGCGTCTAATTTCAGAGTCGGACTTGCCCTTGGGGTCAAAGTCGGAACCACCCTTACCACCGCCCATGTTGAGGCCAGTGAGGGCATTCTTGAAAATCTGTTCGTAACCAAGGAACTTGAGGACGGAGAGATTGACAGTGGGGTGGAAACGGAGACCACCCTTGAAAGGACCGAGGGCGGAGTTGAACTGGACACGGTAACCGCGGTTGACTTGGACTTGGCCAGCGTCATTTTCCCAGACAACTCTGAATTGGATGATGCGCTCAGGGATAGAGACGATGGGGATGACCTTTTCAAGGTCGGGTCTCTTCTCAAAGAGGGTAGAGTCCTTGAGGGTAGAGAGGAGCTCGTTGTAAGCCTGCTCGAATTCGGGTTCAGAGGGTTGGACCATTTTGAAGTGTGTATAGGTTTATATGGAAGGGGTGATTTTTTTTTAGTCTATTTATATTGTTAGAATTATTATTGAATTGAAAAAAAAAAAAATTTTTTTAATAAATAAATTCGGTGGACTAAAAAAATATATAGATAAGGTTTATTATTATCAAGAGCAAGGGTTTTGATTGGCTGCAGATAAGAAGAGTTTATTGTGGAATCAGCCAAATGCCGCAATGCTTGAAAGATTTTATTTTTTTTAAAGCCGGGCAATTAAAGAGAAAGAAAAATCAAGAACCGAATTGAAATGAAATCATCATTAAAAGATTTCATATTTTAAAAAAAAAAAAATAATAATAATAAACATACCAGACAAGCTAATGAGAAGCTGGAGAGGAAATTATCTGGTGAGGATAATGTTGAAGTAAAAGAAAGAAAGAAAGAAGTAAAAAGAAGTAAAAAAAAAAAAAAAAATTTATGAAATTTAAGGGAAAATTCAAGTGCTTTTATAGTTTTTAAAAAGGGGAGGGGTGGTTGAGAAGAAAAGAATAACTTTGCTAGAGAGCAAAAAAAAAAAATAAAATAAAAATTAAAATTGGATATATATATTTTGGCTGTGGTAGTGGTGGTGGTTTGTTTTTTTTTTTGTTAAAATAAAAAAAAAAAAAAAAAAAAAAAAAAAAAAGCTGCCAGGCTTGGGAGGACCAAAAAAATATTTTTTTTATTTTTTTTCTTACGGCCGGTCGATACCCTAAAATGTTCACCTGCATAAGTTTTTTTTTTTTTTTTTCTCTCTCTCTCTCTCTAATGACATATTTTTTTTTTTTTTTAATATTAAAGTCTTTTAATTTTTATATTTAATATATAAATTAATTCTTATAATATCAATCATTGAATCTTTAATTATAATTCTAAAAAAAAAAAAAAAACTTTCAAGTGCTTTTTTTTTTTTTTTTTAATGACTGATAATGATGATGATGATGATGATGATGATCTTCACCAGTGGGCACACGCGTGTGATTGGCCCTGCGTGTTCGGGCGGGGCCAGCCGGAGAGCGTGCCAAATAATTCCGAAAGCGGTGTAATTATGTAATGGCTTATGTAATTTCTATATATTTAAACTATATATATACAACAAACTACTAACAAACTGGCAGGTTGGCAAAAAAGTTCAACTTTGAAAGAAGTTTCTCCCTTAAATGAAGCTTCTTTTGATACGGGATCACGGCTTATAGGTATATAGGTATATAAAATTTAATAATTAAAAAAAAAAGAAAGAAAAAGAAGGAGGATAAGCCCCACGGCCATTGCTATTAATCCTAGTCACATATGTCAAAGTAAGTAAGTAGACTTTAAACGAATTAATGAAGTAATGAATCAATTAAAACCCTAAAATGGGATATTCCGCGGCGATGGCAACTATTCAAGCAAGTAATCAAAAGTTATTTTGAAAGAGGGGTCCTTAACAGAATGATGACGGGGAGGGAAAAAAAAAAACAAAAATAAGAAGAAGAAGTTTTCTACATGTAGATGTTATTTCCTAGAAATGTCGTATAAATGGAGAATAACATATAACAAGGTAGACCAAAAACAAAAAAAACAAAAAAACAAAAAAACAAAAAGTCAGCCAGCCGTGATGTCAAAAAAAAAAATTTAAAAAATTTAAAAAAAAAAACCTAGTCATGTTCTACAAATACACGATGCCCCGACGGGTAGTTTTTATTCATCTGTTGTTTATTTTTTTCCTTCATTCATGACGAGTTAACTAGTCGAAATTTTTTGTTTATATTTCTACATTTAGAAAATCATTTAATGAAATCATTTAATGAAATGATTTTTTGTTAATTTTTTGTTATTTTTTTTGGTTATTTTTTTTTGTTAATTTTGGTTATTTTTTTTTTTAAGGAGGAGAATTCTCCATGTTATTAAACTGTCTCTCTCTCTTTTTTATTTTTTTTTCTCCACTAAAAAGAAATTCACAAGCCAGTTAGAAAGAAAAAAAAAAATTTTTTTTTTTTTTTTAAAAAAAAGTCTCATCATCTTCATCATCATCATCATCATAATCGTTAAATGCACATATATATATTTCATATGACTTTGAAAAAAAAAAAAAATTTTTTTAAATAAAAAAAACTTAAATAAAATTTTTCAATGGTCTCATTACTTTTTATTTTTTTCAATTTTTCAATTTTTCACTTTATTTTATTTTATATATTTTCTTTATTTTCTTTATTTTCTTTATTTTCTTTATTTTCTTTATTTTCTTTATTTTCTTTATTTTCTTTATTTTCTTTATTCTCCATCTTTAAATTTATTTCTTCTTCTTTTTCTTCTTCTGCTTCTTCTTCTTCTTCTTTTTCTTTACCCAAGTAGGAAACTGTTATCACGCAATCTCCATCCATTGGCCAGATAAGCAAAACCCTTTTGTCCAAAGCTTAATGCCGAAAGAGAGAGAGAGAGAGAGAGAGAGAGAGAGAGAAAAAAGCCTAAAAATTAAAAATTAAAAATAAATATAAATAAATTAAAAAAAATATATTCAATTGAAAAATAATCTCCTCGTTTATAATAATAACTTAATAGAATTGTATATTTTTATAATTAAGAGACTTTTTTTTTGTTTGTTAATAATTAGGTCCACTCAATTTTTTTTTTTTTTTTTTTTGGAATAAGGATGAAATCATATTAAGAATATGGGGTCAACAAGTTTTATTATTAATTGTGGGGATAGAGGGAGGGGGGGATTGATATTATTATTTATTTATTTATTCATATTCATTTATTTAATAATTATCAACAAGAACTCAAATAATAAACAATTAAGGTCTCCCGAGTCTGTCCGAAAGCTCTTAATAAACCCACATTGCTTGTTTTTTGTGATCTTTTGATCTTTTGGTCTTTTGGTCTTTTTGTCTGTTATTATTTCAATTAATTAACTTCAATTCAATAAAACCGAAAAAAAAGGCCTGTCGTCATTATATATTACAATAACCAGCTTTGGCTAAATCAAACAAGGCAAGGCCCACCATAGTTGTCGACTTGCATATAGATATATATTTATGTATTTATGTATTTATGAATTTATGAATTTATGAATATACCAGAGCATATACTTATTATTATTATTATTATTATTTTATTATTATTATTATTTTATTATTTTATTATTTTATTATTTTATTATTTTATTATTTTATTATTTTATTATTTTATTATTTTATTATTTTATTATTTTATTATTTTATTATTTTATTATTTTATTAATTCTAACACTAACGCAAAAGACTTTTTTTTTTTTTTTTTTTTTTTTTTTTTTTGGCTGCTCTCTTCTCCAGTATGTATGCAAAAGTGGCTGCTTTTTTTTTCTTCTTCTTCAAATTCTTCAAATTCTTCAAATTCTTCTGCTCCTTCTTCATTTTCAAATTCATTATTACTTTTATATATTCTTCTTCTATTATTTATTTATTTATTTATTTATTTATTTATATAACCAAAAACTGCCCACGTGCTCGTCTTTAACCTCTCTAGTTTGTGGCCTGCTTTTTTTTTTTTTTTTTTTTTTTTTTTTTTTTGTCTCTCACAAAGCAACCACCATCATTTAAACAGCTTTTGAGACTCCAACAACAGTTAAAACTAAAAAAAAAAAAGACGCCATTTAAAAAGCTTATCGACAACAATAGATAAGCTTCAATTGATTATTACTATTATTATTATTATTTATTGTTACGAACAATTTTCTTAAAAAAAATTAATAATTGATATCTTGATAACTCTTATCAAAAAAAAAAAAAAAAAAACTTAAATATAACAAACAGAAAAGAAAAAAAAATTTAATAAAAAAAAAAAAAAAACCCCAAAGTCAATTGATCAATTGAAAGTCATAACTTTGAAAAGAAGAAGAAAATAAAATAAAAAAAAAACATCCGCCAATTGCCATTCTTAATTCCTAGAAAGTTTGTCGTACACTACAATTGTCACTTTTAAAGTCCTCTCAGTCCACTTAATTTAACTCCCTCACCCCTTTTTTTTTTCTTGTTATTATTATTATTATTATTATATTAATTCTCTCTCCTATTCTTACCCCGTAAACTCTCTGACCATACTTCCGATCATACTGCCACTATTAAATTAAAATCCCAACCAACCGGGGAATTTCTCTTAAAGAAAACGAAAAAAAAAAAAAAAATTAATCCTACCTACCTACCTGCTTATTTTTTTTTTTATTTATTTCTACTTTTTTTTTTTACTTCCTTATTTCCCGCTCTTGTAGTACTACTAAGTAGTAGAATATAATCAATTCTTTTCATTCTGGTCTCTCATGGAACTAAGTCATCCGACTATTTAGGCGCCAAAATTTGACAATTTCTTCTCAGTAACCTTCGTATTCATTAATTATGCCCAGTCTTTTCCTTTTTTTTTTTTTTTTTTTTTTTTCCTTTTAATTAATCCTTCTCCCCCCTCGCTTAAGTATGTGCGTAGTTTTGCCAATAAACGTAAAATCGTTATCGTGGCCAATATCCGCTCTGGATTGTGTGTTTATCATTTCCTAATCAGGTCTTATCTGATCTAATTTTCTGCGGCTCAATTATTTTCTTTTGTCTATTTTATAATAATTTTTCATCATCTTTTTCTTCTAATTTTCTTTTTTTTCTTTCTTAACTTTTCAAACAATTTTCCTCTTTTGAAATTTAATTTCTACTTTTCTTCTTCTATTTTTTTTTTTCATTTTCATTTTTTATTTTTCATTTTTCAGTTCTAGATCAAATTCATCTCTGTTTTTTTTTTTTTTCATATATAAGTTATATATATTTAACCTAAGTTCATACCTCTCCTATATCTCGTTGATTTTAAATATATAAATATACAAAAAAATTAAATTCATGCTTTAATATTTTTTTAATTTCAATTCCTTTTAAAAAGATCCGATATCGGGACCTCAATTAATTGTTATAACAATCAAATTTATACACACAAAACAAAACAAAACAAAACAAAATAACTCTTTTTTAATATATATATATC